TCAAAATAAAATGTAGAAAACGAGAATTTAATCCGTTTTTCGATTTTGTGTTTTAAAATTAAAAAACGGATAACGAAAAACAGGTCATAATCCGTTTTTCCATTACACATTTACACAAGAAACACCAACATCGAAAAACCACGGCAAAAATTTGATTTTCCATTCTTGATCTTATTTTGAAGCTTATTTCTCCTCTTTGTCTAATGTACTAGTATCAGCCCCTCCAGGATTTGCGCGCAATTGTTGATTGATGAATGATTATTGCGGGGTAAAATGCTTGATTACGCGGGACATTTTTCCAAAAGTTTCTCTTTGAGTTTGGAGGCGTGTGAGTCTGGCATGCAGCATTAGCTGCCAGGGAGCTATGGATGATGTTACCGTGTGGTTTATAGAAGGGACAGGGGGAGGTGATCCATGGCAGACCGGTGAGCGGGACCCATGATGAGCAGTGTTAGATTTACCGCACCATGTTGTGCATTCTGCTGTGGTGCGTCTCACTGTGGAGGGTGCGTCAGGAGCGCGCCCGCTGCTGCTTTGGAACAGGGAGAAAGACTCTCCCTGTTGCTCTGATCCCGGAGTCTGCGTGGTTTTGCGTTCAAACATTGAGAGATTCTGGAGGGAGTGACTATAGCAATCACTGGCTTATACTATAGTTAAAATAAACATAAAGTAACGTTTTTAGCGAATATTGAAGAGTTTTTTTTTATCTCAATGTCATAGCTGCTGAAGCCAAAACACTTGTTATAATGTGAAAATGTATGGTGATTTTATATTTTCCTTTGTGTTGTAGATTGTTGACCCCAGGACCCCCATTTTTCAAGAATGGAAAATCAAATTTTTGCCGTGGTTTTTCGATGTTGGTGTTTCTTGTGTAAATGTGTAATGGAAAAACGGATTATGACCTGTTTTTCGTTATCCGTTTTTTAATTTTAAAACACAAAATCGAAAAACTGATTAAATTCTCGTTTTCTACATTTTATTTTGAAAACGGAAAACGGGAAACGGCCAATATTCGTTTTTTGTATTTTCTTTCCTAATCAAAAATAGAATGGCCGCGACGTACACGGACCCTTTTTCTAATGTTTCTGTATCTTGTCAGGTTCCAATCATCTATGTGTAGGCCTCTAGCGCCCCCTATCGAAGTAAGTCGCCACTTCTAGTGTTTCCAATCTTTGGCATATAATTTTTGTCAAGAAGGGAAACAAGCATTGCAACAGTTACAGACCTATGGTTCCTTTTAGGCAAGTTTGTGATGGTGCCTTCATTTAGACTAATTCAAACTGAAAGGACTTTTAATTCTTTTATAAAATTCAGATTGTAACCCATCACTACGGTCATTTACTATTCTTTGCTCACCGACAGCTACCGCTGGTTCTTTTGTGGTTATCTCCAATTGAAGGCAAATCCTGAGACTCTAGAAAGGCTCTGGTTTCACATCAGCAGCTGCTGAGAACACAAACCTGTGGAGTGTTAAGTCATTTGGGGCTTTGCGTGATCTATTGTCATTATGACGTCACATCTTTAACTGACGAGCCGAGATGAAAACATGTTATGAGCTTAAGTTAGACCTCAGCTCTAAAGTGACCTCATTGTGAAATAAAAACTGCAGTTTGGGTTTTTCCATTTTTATTACAATTTCCTCTCAGCGTTTTACTTGAGCTCCTTCACCGCCAAACCTGCAACAACAACAGAACCACGGTCACCACGGGAACAGAACCACTGCAACTTCAGACTTACACTCAAAATGACAAACTAGTTCAAGGAACAAAACCGTATTAGACATTTACCAGAATCATGTTTTAAATGTTTAGTTAAACACCACACATCGGGATAATGTGTGGCTCTCAGGTACATGCACGGAGGGGTGTTTTGACCAATCAGCTGCTGATCAGAACGGGAGCCAAACAAGCTGATCCGGTTGCATTAAAGTGTGGATTTATAGAAAACTGAAGATTTTAACAAGAAAAAGTTGAAGACAAAGGACACTAGAATCTTATCTCCTGACAGAACCTAAAGCATTATGAAAGCTGCAGGTTCTCCATCAGCTAAGATCAAGCAGTTTCAGTTTACAGCGAGGTCTATGGGACATTTTTTCTGGGTAACATGTAGTCTGCCGCCCATGGGTGCGACAGCTACAAGCTCGTTATACTCCCGTCATAATAGAGCCAGAACAGACTCACCTGGAGGCAGCGACTGCTTGAGCTTCTCTGCCTTCTCTTTGTCGGTGATCACCAGAGTGTACAGGTATCTGCTGCAGCGCACCTTGAACTTCACATTGTCCTTGTTCTTCTTGATCTTTACGGCTGAAAACGAGACATTAGAAACTGCAAACGTCGAACGACATCATGATAAACTCCACTCACACTTAGCGTCCTTCCTCCTGGCCGTCAGCAGGAAATCTTTGATTTCTTCAATCTTACGAGGCTGAAAAACAAGCAAGACTTTAGTTCCCCTGAGGACCAGCTCTAAACATATACGTGAGAGAGCAAGAGAAAGACCAGAGAGCGAGAGAGAGAAACACAGACCAGAGAGCAGCTCTGAACTAAACAGTAAACATTTCAATGCGAGTGCAGGTTTGTGAGTGGACCGGTGGAACTGTGGTCTCTGTTTTCACCGAGACTCAGCACTAGGTCCGTTCCTTTGCTCTGGCAAGCGTGATGCCCCACAGACACCAGTCTGAGCGGATAGGACACTTGCTACAAACACCTGAACATTTAGAGTCAACATAAAGAATTGCAGGCTCAAAGTGAACATGAAACTCAGCTGCTTTAGAGCAGAGGTCTGCATCTGCCTCTGGGGGTGGAAGCGCAGGAGCACAATTCTTGTCATTCTTTCAAAGATAATTTTTAAGGAGAGTAGATGTTACACTTAAGTGTTCTATATTCATGGCAAAGAGATCCATCAGTGACAAGAATAAGCAACATTTGATTTGCCTTCAATGATTTATACAGTTTACAGATCTGACGATGTCAAGGTAAGGACGAGCCAAAACAAACTGGTTAGCATTAGCTGCTCAGGAGCTACATGAGACATGCTAACAGTAACAGCCTTTAAACCACACTGTTCAGAACGTGACCGAGACAACACATCAACTCTAAATATACAGTTGTAACAGAAATCCTCGTGTTACAGTCATAAAGGTCCGGGTTCTCACCATGATGCAGCCGGGTGCGCGGACTGAGCTGCGGAGACACAAACAGATCAGTTCTCGGTTAATCACGGGTTGATGTCACACATTTTCACACAGACATAAGCACATGCGGCGCGCGGACATGTCGTTATGAGGGAATGGGTGAAAAAGCAGAAGATTTTTCGGATGTTCGCAGATTATTGAGGCACAAATGTTTCACTCACTTCAGTCTGACGCAGAGGGGGACGAAGAGGGGCGGGACTTCCGGTACGCACATCTTTATACTTCGCTACGGAGAGCGAGCAAGGACATAACACACGCAGCGAGTTTAATTCAAATTGCCAATAAATATATTAAAATCGAACCGTCTTTGGCTTCGTGAGATGTGTCCATGGAACTGCAATGCTGTAATACTTCTATGGTTCTGTCACTGCAAACAGCCGTCCACTGCACTCAGTTTGTGACCGCGCATCGTGTTGCTATGACTACGAAGGGTACATCTGAATGCGTCCTACTGTATCCTTCCTTAGCATTCTTTCTCGTTTTATTTGAACATTGTGCCATTGACAAAAGTGACTTTAGAAATTATACAGGACTAGAATGATAACATTCACGTGACCAAAGCTGGAAATACACGTGTCTTTATACAGAACATCCATACATTTTAGACCTACATCCATAATTTAGATTCTAAACCATTTCTAAAGATAAGATAGACTTTATTGATCTCACACAGGAGAAATGTACCTCTTGAGGGTTTCTATCCATGCCAGATGTGACTGGCATGGATAGAAACACTCAAGATTGTGCAAACATGTTAAATGCAGGATATACTATGTACAATAAAAAGTGGCTATTAAAGAAACAGTGTCAATAGTAGTTTTTTAGTCCTAATGCAAGTGACTTAAAGTGACTTATTGTACAGTCTGACAGCAGTGGGGATAAAGGCCCTGCGGTAGCGCTCCTTGCACTGAGGGTGTATCAGTCTTCCTGAAGGAGCTCCTCAGCTCCTCTAGTCCTGTGCAGTGGGTGGGAGGTGTTGTCCATGAAGGAGGTGACTTTGACTAGCACCCTCCTGTCCCTCACCTCCTCCACAGAGTCCAGGGAGCAGCCCAGAGTGGAGCTGGCCCTCCTGACCAGCTTGTTCAGTCTGTTTCAGGCCCGCTCTGTGCTGCTCGGGACACACGGCACACGGCAGCGTGGAGTATGGCAGAGGCAGAGGCTACCACAGAGTCATAAAAAGTCCTGAGCAGAGGCCTGCTCACTCCGAAAGGACCTCAGCCTCCTCAGAAGGACTGCAGCCTCCTCAGAAGGACCTCAGCCTCCTCAGAAGGACTGCAGCCTCCTCAGAAGGACCTCAGCCTCCTCAGAAGGACCTCAGCCTCCTCAGAAGGACTGCAGCCTCCTCAGAAGGACCTCAGCCTCCTCAGAAGGTAGCGGCGACTTTGGCCCTTCTTGTACAGGGCGTTGGTGTTATGGGACCAGTCCAGTTTATTGTTAATGTGAACACCCAGATACTTGAAGCTGTCCACCAGCTCAATGTCCTTCCCCTGGATGTTCAGCAGCATGTGGGAAAATGGTTCTCTGCTGAAAAATTAATGATGCTGGTCGGACCAGGACCAGTGCCAAGACATGACCTAAAACAAGACCAAGTAGAGGCCCAGACCAAGACCAGTGAAAAACAGTTGTGGTCTGAAAGTCACGTGCCCCAGCAGAAGCTCACTTTTGTCAAAACTGATCATTAAATTTTACACTTCACTAAGAAACAGTGTACTTTTGTGGACATCGTTCTTTAAATTAGTTTCTCAGGGAATAAAAGTGCAATATTTTTTTACTTACCTTATGAAAGTATGAAAATATCAAAAGGCCCATGAGCGGACATGAGGGAACTGATGTGGGGTCACCATTGTGAGCCTTAATGCAGAAGATGCTGATCTTTCCTTATATGGGGATTTGTTTCGTATTGATTGCTTTGCCCCGTAACAGGAGCACACGTGTTGCTGAGACGATTGCTAAAGCAATCCCCCCCAAGATATCTGGATTAATGAGACAATCACATCACATAGAAACCACAGATTAAAGCCAAAATGGTGATGTCACACAAACACGAGTGAGCTCGAGTTTACTGTTACATAGAAGTCAGGAGCAGAGAGAGGAGCCAAACGTCCCCATGACCTGTATACAGGCTGTCTTTTGCACCAATGATCACACACACACACTTTTTAATCACATTTATTGATGAGGCACAAAACTCAAAGAATCGTATGCATAAAACATGTAGTGCAAAATCATGAGAACAAACCTGACCACAGCTGCTCAGACTGAATACAGCTGTCTGTAAAGTTGCAGATATAAAACAAAAGCATTATTCTCCAAAGTGACATCAGTGCAATCGTTTTTGTGTAAAAACAGGTGTAAAAGTAAAGTGGTAAAAAACGTAAAGATAAAGAATTCAAGATTTAGATTTGCCCCAAAATAAAAATGAATTAAATCTTAAACAAAGAAATTAGGAAAGATGTTTTAAAGTTTTCACAAAGAGGAAAAACCTATCCCTCATATTTATGTTTAAAAATCCTTTATCTTTAAAACAAAAAAACTTTAAATTTCTGTCACAAACACAATATTGACACGCAAGAAAAACTGGAATTATTTTATATTCTGCTACAGTTCAACCGAGGAGATCCAAATTAAAGTTCAGGTTCCTGACTTTAGCCTCATTTAGTTAACCAGGAATAAACCGGGTCTAAACCAAAACAGGACATTATCGGTCCGTTTGTTTTGTGACCAGAATCCTGTGAGTGAAGCTGTGTCTCTGTGACTCAGGCCATTGTGTCGCCCCCCGGTGGCCTCGCGGTGCCCTGCAGGCTGCTACTCTGAACTTTGATTTTGAAAGAAAACGATGATGCTTTATGTTCACAAAGACACAGTGAATAAATGTGTTTGATGTTATGGGACACAAACAAGGACTAAAATAGGTCTAAACCAGGTCTGAACCAGGTCTGAACCACGTCTCTCTGAAGCTAGATGTCTTCGTTGCCTTTGATGTTGCTGCTGAAGATTCATTACGATTGAAAACAAAGAGTTCAACAATAATTTACAGATTTGAAACTTTGTGAAAGTAGAAAAAACGTCTTTTGGGAGTTAAAAAAATGTGCACAAACAGTCATCTGCGTTGTCTGCCCTTAGAAGTTCATCTGGAACCAGAGTTCTGTACAACCTCAGTGGATCTTCTGTGTTTTTAAACTGAGGCCAAAACTAGGTCCTAACCAGGCCAAAACCAGGTCCAAACCAGGTCTAAGGGGTTTGTTTGAGTCTCTCAGTTGCTTAAAGTTGGTCTTGCAAAACAGGGAACCAGGACTAGACCAGACCTGGACCCAGACCTGGACCCAGACCCAGACCCAGACCCAGACCCGGACCCGGACCCGGACCCGGACCCGGACCCGGACCTGGACCCGGACCCGGACCTGCACCCGGATCTGGACCCGGATCTGGACCCGGACCTGGACCCGGACCTGGACCCGGACCTGGACCCGGACCTGGATCTGGACCCGGACCTGGACCCGGACCTGGACCCGGACCTGGACCTGGACCCGGACCTGGACCCGGACCTGGACCCGGACCTGGACCCGGACCCGGACCTGGACCCAGACCTGGACCTGGACCCAGACCTGGACCCAGACCTGGACCCAGCGTGATTGCACTCCTAGACTCGGCCTAGACTCGGCCTAGACTCGGCCTAGACTCGGCCTAGACTCGGCCTAGACTCGGCCTAGACTCGGCCCAGACCTCAGAGCTGCTGCACGATGCTCTCGTTGTGACTGGTCTCGTCTTTCATTCGTGTCCAGTGGAAGTGAGTGCTCAGAGATCCGATCTCATCTTCTTCACCTTCCTGCTCCTTCGCAAACTCCAGGAACACCTGAACACAAACGGTTAAGCAGGACTAAAGCAGGACTAAAGCAGGTCAAAAGCAGGACTAAAGCAGGTCAAAAGCAGGTCAAAAGCAGGTCTAAAGCAGAGCTAAAGCAGGTCTAAATCAGGATTAAAGCAGGTCTAAAGCAGAGGGTGTTACCTGCTCCAGAGTGGACTGAGAGAAGTTGTATTCTTCAAAGTTAAACGATTGTTTTGCTGAAAACACAAACACAACATGTTTGAAAAGTGACGCGACAGCAGCAGAAACAGCAGCTCACCTTTCTCCAGCTCAGAGAAGGCTGTGGCCAAAGACTTCACATCCTCCATCGGGATTTTATAAACCATCAGAGTGGCAAAGCTGCAGGAACACCCAGACGTTACTCTCACAGAACACAGTAACAGTAGTGGTCGGTCTCTCTCTCTGTCTCTCTCTCTGTCTCTCTCTCTCTGGTCGGATGGTCTCTCTCTAACTTTCTCTCTGGTCTGTCTCTCTCTCTCAGGTCTGTCTCCCTCTGGTCAGTTAGTCTCTCTCTTTCTGGTCGGTCGGTCTCTCTCTCTCTCTCTCTGGTAGGTCTCTCTCTCTCTCTCTCTCTGGTCTCTCTCTCGTCCAGTACCTCTCCTGTCTGACAGCGTGGGGAAAGACCCTCTGTATCTCTTTGTGCAGCAGCGCCACCTGCTGGAGCCCCGTGAGGTCGTCCCTGAGCTTCAGCTCCAGACTGTAACCGCGGCCAAACTTCCCCTTGAGGTGCTGGATGGACCCGATGCACCTGATTTAGACAACAGAGAATAAACATAAGAAAAATGGAGTAAGAGACGACTAAGCCTTCATATAAGCATGTGTACCGGATCTGTCCTGACACCATGATGGCCACACGGTCACACACCGCCTCAGCCTCCTCCATATAGTGTGTGGTGAGGACAGCGCCTCTCTGCTGCCCCCTGAAGGCCGACCGCATAGCACGCCTGGAAACACACAGAGACACATGAGCTGCTTGGTCTCTGGTCGGTCTCCCTCTCTGGTATGGTCTAGTCGGTCTCCCTCTCTGGTATGGTCTAGTCGGTCTCCCTCTCTGGTATGGTCTAGTCTGTCTCCCTCTCTCTGGTATGGTCTAGTCTGTCTCCCTCTCTCTGGTCTGGTCTGGTCTAGTCTGTCTCCCTCTCTCTGGTCTAGTCTGGTCTAGTCTGTCTCCCTCTCTCTGGTCTGGTCTGATCTGGTACGTCTCTCTCTCTCTGGTCTGGTCTCCCTCTCTGGTCTGGTCTCCCTCTCTGGTCTGGTCTCCCTCTCTGGTCTGGTCTCCCTCTCTGGTCTGGTCTCTCTCTCTGGTCTGGTCGGTCTCTCTCTCTGGTCTGGTCGGTCTCTCTCTCTGGTCTGGTCGGTCTCTCTCTCTGGTCTGGTCGGTCTCTCTCTCTGGTCTGGTCGGTCTCTCTCTCTGGTCTGGTCGGTCTCTCTCTCTGGTCTGGTCGGTCTCTCTGGTCTGGTCTGGTCTAGTCTGTCTCCCTCTCTCTGGTCTGGTCTGGTACGTCTCTCTCTCTCTGGTCTGGTCTCCCTCTCTGGTCTGGCCTCTCTCTCTCTGGCCTCTCTCTCTCTCTGGCCTCTCTCTCTTTCTGGCCTCTCTCGCTCTGGCCTCTCTCTTTCTGGCCTCTCTCTTTCTGGCCTCTCTCTTTCTGGCCTCTCTCTGGGGTCTCTCTCTGGTCTCTCTCTCTCTGGTCTCTCTCTCTCTGGTCTCTCTCTCTCTGGTCTCTCCCTCTCTGGTCTCTCTCTCTCTGGTCTCTCTCTCTCTGGTCTCTCTCTCTCTCTGGTCTCTCTCTCTCTGGTCTCTCTCTCTCTGGTCTCTCTCTCTCTGGTCTCTCTCTCTCACTCTGGTCTCTCTCTCTCTGGTCTCTCTCTCTCTCTCTGGTCTCTCTCTCTCTCTCTGGTCTCTCTCTCTCTCTCTGGTCTCTCTCTCTCTTTCTGGCCTCTCTCTCTCTGGCCTCTCTCGCTCTGGCCTCTCTCTCTCTGGTCTCTCTCTCTCTGGTCTCTCTCTCTCTCTCTCTCTCTCTCTGGTCTTTCTCTCTGGTCTCTCTCTCACTCTGGTCTCTCTCTCTCACTCTGGTCTCTCTCTCTCACTCTGGTCTCTCTCTCTCACTCTGGTCTCTCTCTCTCTCTCTGGTCTCTCTCTCTCTGGTCTCTCTCTCTCTCTCTGGTCTCTCTCTCTCTCTCTGGTCTCTCTCTCTCTCTCTCTGGTCTCTCTCTCTCTCTCTCTGGTCTCTCTCTCTCTCTCTGGTCTCTCTCTCTCTCTCTGGTCTCTCTCTCTCTCTCTGGTCTCTCTCTCTCTCTCTCTGGTCTCTCTCTCTCTCTCTCTGGTCTCTCTCTCTCTGGTCTCTCTCTCTCTCTCTGGTCTCTCTCTCTCTCTCTGGTCTCTCTCTCTCTCTCGTCTCTCTCTCTCTCTCGTCTCTCTCTCTCTCTCTCTGGTCTCAGTCAAAGTGACTGACCACATCCTCTGCTTGGACTTGGGATCCATCCCGGATGAGGGCTCGTCCAGTAGCACGATCTGAGGATTTCCCAGCATGCTCAGAGCGAAACACAGCTGCAGGTCAGAGCATTACCTCATCAGCATTACAGTCTCAGGCACCAGAACCATGAATGCTGCGACCATTTATGATGATGAATAATAATGGATTGGTTTTACATTGTGCTTTTATGTCTGTTCACATCATGGTTTAGCACAGGGGAGATGTGTTCTAAAAATAACACACAAGTGGGAAAAGCAGTAGCAGCTGTAGGGGTATGACTGTAAAAGACCAGAGGGAGACCAGAGGGAGACCAAAGGGAGACAAGAGGGAGAGACCAGAGAGAGGGAACAGAGAAAAGCACACACTAACTATTGTGTGAAAGACTGATCTTTTATTGAATATTTTTTTGCAGTGAAAGTGAAAGCAGACCAAAGCCCTCACCTTCCTCTTGGTCCCCACTGACAGAGTCTTGGCCTGTTTGTGCAGATGGTCCTTCAGCTCCAGCGCCTCCACCACTCTGACAACACACACCTCCGTTAGTCCAGTTTAAATGTATAGAATACTCATGTAAAACAGTGCAGAGAATGAAGCGTGAAAAATTAAATCAGTTTGACAGCGTTTGTGCTACATGTAACCACGGAAACCAGATTCTACTGAGACAAAGCCAGCAAAAGCTCTTCTCTCCAAGGTGCCGGCCTCTCTCTCTCTGGCCTCGCTCTCTCTGGCCCCGCTCTCTCTGGGTCTCGCTCTCTCTGGTCTCGCTCTCTCTGGTCTCTCTCTCTCTGGTCTCTCTCTCTCTGGTCTCTCTCTCTCTGGTCTCTCTCTCTGGTCTCTCTCACCTTTTGACGATGTCTGGTACATCCTTTCCTCTCACTCCCTTCACAGAGGCGTAGATCTCCAGGTGCTCCTGCAGAGTGACCCTGGGCCACAGAGGACTGAGCTGAGGACAGTAACCCACATGGTCCAGAGGCAGGTCTCCCATGTAGACCTGGGACAGGGAACCAAGCTTGAGCACACACTGACCAGGGACATTGTTAAGTCTGTCTTTGTTTTAGTTTTTCCAAAGACATCTCCTAGACACCGCACTGGTCTCTCTCTCTCTCTGGTCTCTCTCTCTCTGGTCTCTCTCTCTCTCTCTGGTCTCTCTCTCTCTCTGGTCTCTCTCTCTCTCTCTCTGGTCTCTCTCTCTCTCTCTCTGGTCTCTCTCTCTCTCTGGTCTCTCTCTCTCTCTCTGGTCTCTTTCTCTCTCTCTCTCTCTCTCTCTGGTCTCTCTCTCTGGTCTCTCTCTCTCTGGTCTCTCTCTCTCTCTCTCTCTCTGGTCTCTCTCTTTCTCTGGTCTCTCTCTTTCTCTGGTCTCTCTCTTTCTCTGGTCTCTCTCTCTCTCTGGTCTCTCTCTGGTCTCTCTCTCTCTCTGGTCTCTCTCTCTCTCTGGTCTCTCTCTCTCTCTGGTCTCTCTCTCTCTCTGGTCTCTCTCTCTCTGGTCTTGGTTCATAGTGTTTCTGACCTGTCCAGACGTGGGCTGGGTGTCTCCTGATAGCATGTGCATGATGGTGGACTTGCCGGCTCCGTTGGGACCCAGCAGACCCAGGACCTCTCCTGAGAACAGGACCAGGTTTTAGTCTCAGACCAGACTGAACAGAACAGCACAGAGCAGCAGAGGATACAGACCTTTCCTCACGCAGAAGGACACATTCTTCGCCGCCAATTTCCTGGACTTGCTGAAGGAGAATCCTTCTTGTTTCCCTCTGTGGACTTTGCTCACGTTGCTGACAACAACCACAGGTTTCTGAGGAGAAGATACAAGATTATTCATCTGAGGCAAAATGTCTGTTCTATCTCCAGAGTTTTATTTTATTATATTTATCATCTTACACAATATTTCCTGTTTGATGTGTGTAACCTGAGACACTCACACTCCGGCCTCACACTCCGGCCTCACACTCCGGCCTCACACTCCGGCCTCACACTCCGGCCTCACACTCCGGCCTCACACTCCGGCCTCACACTCCGGCCTCACACTCCGGCCTCACACTCCGGCCTCACACTCCGGCCTCACACTCCGGCCTCACACTCCGGCCTCACACTCCGGCCTCACACTCCGGCCTCACACTCCGGCCTCACACTCCGGCCTCACACTCCGGCCTCACACTCCGGCCTCACACTCCGGCCTCACACTCACCTCCGGCCTCACACTCCGGCCTCACACTCCGGCCTCACACTCCGGCCTCACACTCCGGCCTCACACTCCGGCCTCACACTCCGGCCTCACACTCCGGCCTCACACTCCGGCCTCACACTCCGGCCTCACACTCCGGCCTCACCTCTTCACAGGGCTGACAGTTCATGGCCTCCTTGGCCCTGGCTCTCTCTGCTTTCACATCCTCGTCCTCGTTCTCAGTCTCCTCTGGGACGCGCTCCTTCTTCAACTTGGACTTTGACGAAATCCTAAAAATAAACCACATTCACAGAACGACAGGGTTAGCAATAACTACTGTTGTTACTACAGTTACAACAGTAGCAGCAGTGGTAATAAGAAAAATATCTGGGTCCAAAGCACAGCCTTGAGGTTCTCTGTACGTTTACTGTCCCTCATCAGTCCCAGGCCTCTAACTTGTTACACTACAGTGAATCCTTCACTGGTCTCTGGTCAATTACATTTTGTTCCGAGCCAATTTCTAATTTGTTTTCAAAAAAATGGAAAAACAGATTCATCTGGTTCCTGGTCCTGGTCCCACCTGCAGAGCTGGTCTGACTTCATGGTGCTGCCTCCCAGACTGATCTCCATCCAGCGCAGGACGAACAGCAACACAATGCACTGAAGGTAAGGCTGCAGAAAAAACAAACATAAGCAAATACCAGAGAGAGAGACCAGAGAGAAACCAGAAAGTGACCAGAAGGAGAGACACCAGAGACAGAGAGACTTACAGCCACCACTGCAATCAGCAGGTTCTTCCACAACGACTGGTCTTCATCCAGAGGCGACAGGAACGTTTCCTGTAACAGAAAGAGCTGTGAGAGAGAGGCTTTTACTGCTGCTTCAAACTGCAGCAGTATGAGCAGCAGGAGCAGCAGTAGTAGCAGAACTTGTACTTGCACCTTGGTGATGGAGTTGAGGCAGCCCATCAGGGGGTACAGTGGGTTGAACAGACACAGAGCGTTGTGGAGGTTTCTGGTCAGAGCTGGACTATTGTTTACAAAGCCGAGCTGCACCAGCGACGCAGACACCACACACACCTGATGAGAGACAGATGCAGCTGTGGGAGTCAGTGTGGGTCAAATGCAGCTGTGAGAGTCAGTGTGGGTCAAATGCAGCTGTGGGAGTCAGTGTGGGTCAAATGCAGCTGTGGGAGTCAGTGTGGGTCAAATGCAGCTGTGGGAGTCAGTGTAGGTCAAATGCAGCTGTGTGAGTCAGTGTGGGTCAAATTCAGCTCACCATCATGGAGATGACAGAGAAGAAGTCCCTGTTGCTCTGCACCCGAGTGAAGCCGAACGACACAACGTACGTGAATAGGATCATAGACGGACCAAAGCCAATGATGCAGAGGACCTGAAACCACAGACCAGGTCGAAAGCAGGTCTACAGAAAGTCTAAAAAGGTCTGCCCCTGGACTGGACGCTGAGTCTGGACGCTGAGTCTGGACGCTGAGTCTGGACGCTGAGTCTGGACGCTGAGTCTGGACGCTGAGTCTGGACGCTGAGTCTGGACCATGAGTCTGGACCCTGAGTCTGGATCCCGAGTCTAGCCCTAGTCAGGACTTTAAGTCTGGACCCTTAGTATGGACCCTAAGTCTGGACCCGGCTCGTACCACTGCAGTGAGGTTGCTGGAGCTGGGCAGAGAGGCGGTGTGGAAGGAGAACAGGATGGAGGTCATGGAGGACAGCAGCAGGTAGAAAAACGGGATGTCCACCGCCGCCTGACCACACCAGTACGCAGAGGGCAGGAGGCCAGAGATCCTCAGGGTGGACCTACATCTCAGCTGAGGACAGAGACAGAGACACTGAGACAGGAAACACAGAGAGCAGGACGCAGAGATCAGGAAAGTGGACAGACGGCGATGTCTTTTTAAAAACATGATTAATTTGAAAAAAAGATTCCTCAAGCTCGGAACATCTCACAGAGAACCAGTCTTTCTATTCCCTGGTGAAGGGAATATCTACCAAGACAGGGCGGTCTGCCCAGACAAGCAGCTCAAACCAAAATAAACTAGGTTCCGTACCTCTCTGTCTCTGGTGTGGTCCATGGCGAAGTAGGCGGGCATCCCAGCGGCCAGCATGCCCAGGATGATGGACTCGATGTAAACCAGGGCGTACGATGTGGCATCTGGGATTTTCTACAACCACACAGTCCAGTTACAACCGATCCTTTTCCTCTTTCCCTCTCCCCTCCCTCAGTCTCCTTTCTCTCCATTTCCTCCTTCTCCTAATCTCCATCTCTCCTCCTCTCTCCCTACTACTCTCCCTCCCTCTCTCTTCATGACTCACATAGTCAAAAGGTTTGGTCCAGGTGCGGATGCGTGAGGATCCGTTCAGACTCCGTAGCAAAGCGTTGCTCAGGACGTTCACAGTCATAGGCAGAGAGTGGACAGTGGTGCTGTTAAAGGCCAGGGTGAAGCGGAAGCCCTGCAAAAACAAATAACACCTGTTATTTATGAGACTAAAGTTACAGATCCCAGTTTTAAAAATGTGTCATTTATGAGACTAAAGTTACAAAACCCAGCTTTAAAAATGCGTTATGGATGAGACTAAAGTTAGACCTCAGCTTTAACACCTTGTTGGAGCCCGTCACGTTGATGGCAGCGCTGTGAGGAGCTGCAGACATGAAGTCCGTCTGTTTCATCATCTCCACCTGAAGATCCAAGGACTGGAGATGATGCAGCAGGTCAGAGAGGTCTGAGTCTAAGGACAGAGACCAGAGTGAGACCAGAGTCTGAGGACAGACACCAGAGTCTGGGGACACCTGTGACCTCAGACCTCTCTGACCCCTGACCTGAGGAGTTCAGCAGCAGCAGTCTGACCTCTAACCCCTACCCTCTAACTCCTGCCCCGTGACCCCAGCTAGAGCCCTGCACTTGAGCCCTTGGCCCGAGGGCCCCGACGGCCCGACAGCCCGAGGGCCGGGCTTCGGGCCGACGACCGCATAATGACCTCGGACACGGGCCGGGCTCGGGCTCTTCATTTTCAGAGCGGCAGAATAGATTTACGAGCGCACCCACTGAATATAGCGTTCTATCACGCTGTAGTGTTTGTTGTTCTGTGTAGTGTTGTCATTGACGGCACATAGCATTACTTATGTAATGTGCAGATGTGTTGCAGCATCGGGGGCATCATACAGATGCGGCCGTTCACTCTGCACCACTCCGCACACACAGAACTCATTGCAACACATCACTACCATGTATAACTCCGCCCTCTAGCTAAGTCTGCGTTCATATCAGTGCGCGGCACTACATACTACGCTAAAACATTGTTATGGGAGGTTACAAAAAAAAAAAAAGGCGGGCTTGATGCGGGTTTCGGGCCTGAAAATTCAGAAACCATATCGGGCCGGGCCGGGCTGGGGCGCCACCCCCTCGGGCCAGGGCCGGGCTCGGGCCCAGATAATAGGCCCGTGCAGGGCTCTAACCCCAGCCCTCTGACCTGTGGAGTTCTGCAGCAGCAGGCTGGTGTGGTATGGACGAGGAGCCTGGTTCTTCTTGAGCAGATACAGAGGAGTGAACTCTCGGTCTGGAGAGAGGATCCGAATGTTCCCAGTGACTAGCGACAGAACCAACACCGCCCCCACGAAGATCAGGAAGAGAGCCAGACTGGGGACACAGGAGAAGAGGTGAGGACCAGGACCAGGAGCCAAACTCTAAAAGCAAGGCAACATTTCTCTCAGAATCGCCACCTCTCTCTGGTCTGTGTCTCTCTCTGGTCTGTGTCTCTCTCTCTGGTCTGTGTCGCTCTCTCTGGTCTCTGGTCTGTGTCTCTCTCTCTGGTCTCTGGTCTGTGTCTCTCTGGTCTCTGGTCTGTGTCTCTCTGGTCTCTGGTCTGTGTCTCTCTGGTCTCTGGTCTGTGTCTCTCTCTCTGGTCTCTGGTCTGTGTCGCTCTCTCTCTGGTCTGTGTCTCTCTCTCTCTCTGGTCTGTGTGTCTCTCTCTCTCTGGTCTCTGGTCTGTGTGTCTCTCTCTCTGGTCTGTGTCTCTCTCTCTCTGGTTTGTGTCTCTCTCTCTCTGGTCTGTGTCTCTCTCTCTCTGGTCTGTGTCTCTCTCTCTCTGGTCTGTGTCTCTCTCTCTCTGGTCTGTGTCTCTCTCTCTCTGGTCTGTGTCTCTCTCTCTCTGGTCTGTGTCTCTCTCTCTCTGGTCTGTGTCTCTCTCTCTCTGGTCTGTGTCTCTCTCTCTGGTCTCTGGTCTGTGTCTCTCTCTCTGGTCTCTGGTCTGTGTCTCTCTCTTTCTGGTCTCTGGTCTGTGTCTCTCTCTCTCTGGTCTCTGGTCTGTGTCTCTCTCTCTCTGGTCTCTGGTTTGTGTCTCTCTCTCTCTGGTCTGTGTCTCTCTCTCTCTGGTCTGTGTGTCTCTCTCTCTGGTCTGTGTCTCTCTCTCTGGTCTCTCACTCAGGTCTCACTCACGTGTAGATGAAGGCCTTCCTCTCTCGCCTCATGTTGAGCATGTGTAGAAAGACCACAGCGCTGAACTGCTGCCTCCACAGAGCGTGACCTTTGACCTCAGCCTGAGAGAAGGTCAGGAGCCTCTGGTCCATGTCGTCCACAGAGCAGGAGTCTGTATCCTCCTCAGGAGGAGACTGTTGGAACACACTGTAGTCTGAGGAGAGAGAGGGTTATAATCTGTAGTCAAGAGAGAAAGAACCCCCCCTCTCCCCCCTCACCAGCCTGGTCAACCTCTGCCTCGGCCTCCAGCCTCAGGAACACATCCTCCAGCGTCGTCATGGAAACTCCATAGTGAGTGATGCCCAGCGCTGGTGTGGAGTCCAGCTCCGAGAACAGACCTAAGTAACACCATCAAACCAGGTGAGATACCAGGTGTCACACCATGAGATACCACATCACACTCTGTTATGATGTGGTGTGACTTATAGAATGCTGTGGTTTGAGAACTGAGATGGGTGAGGTCAGAGGGGTAAAGACAGAGGTGAGAGGTGTCATAGGTCAGAGGTCGCGTGTTTTTACCTGGGAAAGTGTCCACGCTCTCAAAGGGCAGAGTGAAGGTCAGCTCGCTCTCGTGACGTTGGGACAGTTTGGCTTTAGACACGTGTTTCTGAACCAGAGACGAGACTTTGTCCAAATCACAGACTTCAGAGACGGACATCCTGAAGAGACAAGAGGACATCATGAAGGTCTCCCCCTCTCTGGGTCTCCCCCTCTCTGGGTCTCTCTGGTCTCTTACCTGAGGTGGTAGCCCACTCCACACTTGGTCTTGAGGAACAGAGAGGAGCCCACACACTTGAGCTGCCCCTGGGAGATCACAGCTTTACGATCTGGAAGTAGAACAGTCACACAGTGAGGAAAGAAATGTTTTTCTATCTTTTCTCTTCTTCTGCTTGTCCTCAAACATACAAACAAATGGTTACTATTAGGGCTGGGCGATATGGCAGAAAACTATATCACAATATAAGTAATTCATATCGGTCGATAACAATATATATTGATTGTTTTTCATTTATTTTTAAAAACGTTTAAATTTGTTGTGTCGGCTAACACATGTTAGCAGGCTTGTTTACAGTCACGGGGGAATGAGGCTGGAGCCAAATGTTCACAAGCAGTCTCCCCCATAGTTAGTTCTGGTTTAGTCCTGGTTTAGCTCCTGTTTTGGCTGTTTTCGAGTGTCCTGTGTCCCCGTGGCGGCTCCAGAAAGTTAATCTCTTGCTTTTGCCGAATGCATCGAGTCTCTGCCTCTCCCGCGCCGCACATGCTGTTCCTCGCACGGACATGCATAACCATTGACACGGCACTGAACCACGATCTTTAGATCCATGGCTATTATAATAGATCCATGATCCATGGACGCTACGCATGATGCGGTTGTTGTTTTTGCATTCCCAGAAAGTTCTGCGGTTTGTAGTCGGCTGTGATAGGTCGAGAAGTCTCTGCCTACATCCCCCAGAATGTAGGCTTATGACTCGGCTATACTTCCTGTGTTTCGTTCCTGTTTTTTCGAACGGAGTGAAGTTAAACTATAGAAAGTTCTATCGACCCCGTTTTCTATTGATATCGAACACGTGTCTATCGCAATATATATCGTTTAAGTTTTATCGCCCAGCCCTAGTTACCATCTTCTTTGTTTTTTGAGGTATGGGTCACAATAGGTGCACAGCCTCAGCCCTGGGCCTGGCCCAAGACCAGGACCAGGGAATTTATTGACTTGTGACATAAACTGTTTCAGAGCCAGTTAATGTGGGTTTTATTACAGAGTTCTTCTGTTGTAGAAAGTTAGATGTCTGAGCTTTAAGGATCCTGAAGGGCCGTTACCTGCCAGGATGTCGGCCTCGTCCATGAAATGTGTGGTGAAGACTGTGACCCGCTCGGCACGCCGGCTACGGAGCACTGACCACACCTGGTGCCGTGAGCAGGGGTCCATACCTGCAGTGGGTTCATCCAGCAGCAGGATCTGAGACACACAAACCTCACATTACAGCCTCAGTCCTGGGTCTACGGCCGGCCTCAGTCCTGGGTCGTCAGTCCTGGGTCGTCAGTCCTGGATCAACCGCCTCAGTCCTAGGCCTACTGCCTCAGTCCTAGGCCTACTGCCTCAGTCCTAGGCCTACTGCCTCAGTCCTGGATCTACTGCCTCAGTCCTGGATCTACTGCCTCAGTCTCCCAGGGTGGTCTCTCTTATGCGTTACCTTGGGGTCTCCCAGGATGGCGATACCCACAGAGAGCTTCCTTTTCTGGCCACAGCTCAGGTTCTTGGCCTGAGCCGTCTGGATCTTCTCCAGGTCTAGGTCCCTCAGAACCTTAGAAACCTGCAGGATAGAGAGAGAGCAAGAGAGAGAGCGAGAGAGAGCGTAAGAGAGAGAGAGAGCACAAGAGAGTGCGAGAGAGACAGACAGACAGAAGAGAGGGAGACGAGAAAACACAGAGAGAGAAACAGGAAAGCGAGAAACAGCGAGCGAGAGAGAGAGAGAGAGAGAGAGAGCGAGAGAGAGAGGAGGTGGTGACGCAGGCTTACTCTAGAGCTAACTCACACAAACTAGGGCTTTGACTTTTGCACAAAAATCATATTCGAAGTTTGTTCGTTTATCAATTTAAATATTCAAATATATTTGAATATGTCACTACTTCTGTCTGTGCAGGGAAGCTATCGGAGGTAGCCATGCTCAATAACACAAATATCAATCAATCAATACATTTAAATGTTAATGGGAGAATACATTATGCATATACATTCTTAACACACGTGCACAGAGGTTTTCAGAATTATCTGTAAACGTTTTCATGACAAAAATTTAATGTGACGAAAAACACGAAAAACCCGGAAGTAACTATAACATTAGTGGAACATTTTGGGACACATTTGAAGAGGATCTGATGGATTTAGGTTCGGTATATAAATATGTAACTCACCGCTGATGTTCAGAATTCTTTGTTAAGTTTTCATGTAGTTCCAGAGAGTTCTAGTTAGTTAGCTAGCGTAGCTGTTACTAGCATAGCCACGTATAATTTAAAAAAAATAATGCCCATTACAGCTTTGAATATTAAGGGCTGTCTAACATTCGTTTGTATGTATATATATATTAGTGCTGTCCAACGATTAAAATATTTAATCGCGATTAATCGCATGAATTTCATAGTTAACTCGCGATTAATCGCAAATTAGTCACACATTTGTGTGGGTGTGTGTGTCTGTGGATGTATGTGTGTATGTGTGGGTATAGACCATAGACTGTATAGAAACATCATGGTGTCATTATGATGATGATAAACAATCTGTAAATATTTTGTAAATTTGTTCATGTAAATACTCTATGCTGTTTCTCTGTTTATTTTCGGTATATCTATGACTGTATACTGTTTGCTTGTATTGCCTTTTTTATTAACCCCCCCCATGCAGTGTTGTGCCAGTTCACAGCTTTTCTGAACTAGTTCAAGTTCAGTTCATACATGCTCAAAGTGAACAGAACACGTTCAAAGTTCACATTTTTAATTCTGAACTAGTTCAAAGTTCAGTTCATTTTACTTTTTTCGTGAGATAAATACATATTTTTTTCACACTACGAGCTATATTTATATATTATATATATCTCCTGTACACCCACAGGAGGAGAGCCTTTTGACTACAAAACAGACCAGATTTACATGGTTTTCAATGGGAGCAAAACGGAGTTGCTCCATCTCTGCTCATAAACTACAGACAGTAATGCGCTGCAGTGCGTGTGTCTATACTTTATGTCAAATGTAAACGGTGTAAACTTTGTCGCTAACTCACCCTGTGTTTTCATCACGACTCGGGCACATGTGAAAAGCACCAGCTCACAGCGCCGCACCACAACACAGAGTCGGGGTGCGTTCACAGACGGTGGAAACCGTAGGAATTTTTAGATTTCGGTGGAAAAAGTGCGAGAATACAGGAGGGAGGAACTTTCTCTCGTTGCGTTTCAAAAGAGAAAACAGATTCCAACGTTCATAGTGATGTCGGCCGTTCATGACACATAAAATGAACTAATTTACGTTAAAGTTCTTTTTAAAAAAATGTGTTGCGTTCAGTTCAATGTTCACGAAAAAATGAGTGTGTTCAATGAACGCGTTCTTTTGAACTCGTTCACGCACAACACTTCTCCTATGTGCCCTTCTGGGTTTCTTCTTTGGCCCCCTGTATCTCCAACTACATATTGTTTGTAATCTCTGTCTACAATGTATCTGAACTAGTCCTTTTCTTTGTTTCTATTTTTTTTTCTGTATTTGTGTTTGTCTGCAATAAAAAGTACAAAAAAAATAATAATAAAAAAAAAATTTATCGCGCGATAAAAAAAATGACGCCGTTAATATTGATTTGCGTTAACGCGATATTTTGGACAGCACTATATATATATATATATATATATATATATATATATATATATATATTTTAACCCTTTAGGCGCTGGAGTTTTTTCAAGAAAATATAACATTTTGATCAAGATTTCAAAAGGCTATAACTTTAAAATGGTTTGAGATAAACACATACTGTAAATATCTTCAGTTTGAACCAAACTTTGGGATAGAAGTAGATTTGTCATCTAATTTGCATATTGTAACGTCATCAAGGTGGCGGCCATATTGGAAAATGTAAGTTATTGTATAAAGATTGGAAAAAGCTGTATCTTGGGAGTTATTTGAGATCAGGGAATACTATCAACAGTAAATGTGAATTATCTTTAGTATGAAATGAATTTGGGATAGAAAAAAATTCCCTGATCCAGATTATACATAATGTTTTAGCACTGGTCGGCAGACATATGGAATTGTATTATTTTCAAAGACCTTAAATGAACAAGACAGCCCTCCTTATAGTTTATAGTCATGAAATCTGAAGTTTAGTTTCAATATTTCCCTTTCAAAGAAGTGGTGGGCATACTATTTCTCTCAGTGGAAATGAGGCTCCAGAATTTATCGTTTAGAAACAGAGAGATGAAATGAATGGGCTCAGAACTTGTCAGATCTTCTCAACAATAAACAACAAGCTTTTCAACACTTCTGATCCACTTTTGTGGATTATTTTCTCTCAAGAACTGCCTTCATCATCGTTGTTGTTTTTAAAGGCAGTGAACGCGATTAGCGATATGCTTTTTCCCATGGCTTCTCCCGCCGCGTCTCCCATGTTTGTTTACCCCCGCTACTTTCTCCCACATGCCCAGTGTTATGATCCCCCTGACAGTCCCCTGGACCACGTCCCCTGCTTGGCATTCACAGAATGCTTCCACCGTGAAAAGTATTAACAAGATTCTGCACCACATTTATAGATACAGCCTGTTTAAGTGAGCAATGTTGCTTGTCACAATATTGCGACTTTGGCGCTTAAAGGGTTAATATTCAAATTATATTCGAATTTCAAAATTTGAAGTCAAAGCCCTAACACAAACACATCAGGATTACAGCTGCCTCACACAGCTCCCCCTGGTGTGTCACCTCTCCTCCCCACTCCTCCACCCCCTGGTGTGCCAATACTCCGCACCTTCTCAGCCCCTGGTTTGTCACCTCTCACCTGCTCCTCCCCCTGGTGTGTGGCCTCACCTCCTCCTCCACCTGGTTGCGTGGAATCCCCTTGATGGCGGCGAAGGTGGTGAGATGCTCCTTCACGGTGAGGAGGTCGAAGATTATGTTGAACTGGGGACAGATCCCCAGGAGGTGCTTGAGGTCCTGGGCCTCGCTGACCTCACTGGGAGGAGAACCATAGACGGAGGAGGTGCCAGAGGACGACGGGCAGATTCCACACAGAACGTTCATGAGGGTGGACTTCCCTGCACCACTGTGCCCCAGAAGAGCTGTGATCTGACCCTCATAGATGTCGAAGCTCAGGCCTGGAGAGAGAGACAGGTTGTGAGAGGGTGAGAGGGAGGGAGAGAGGGGACAGGAGAGGGGAGAGAGAGGCTGTAAGACAGAGGTGTCCAAACCGGTTCAGAAAGTGCCGCTGTGTCTGCAGGTTTTCTATCAGACCCAGCAGGAGCAGAGCAGAGCAGACTCCACCCATTTCCTCAAGAGAGTTTAGTCTTAACCTGAATTTTTGAGGAAATGGGCGGAGTCTGCTCTGCTCCTGCCGGGTCTGATAGAAAACCTGCAGCCACAGCGGCACTTTCTGAACCGGTTTGGACACCTCTGCTTTAAGAGGGGACGGGATAGGGGAGAGAGAGGCTGTAAGAGGGGAAGAGGGAGGGAGAGAGGGGACGGGAGAGGGAGAGGGAGAGAGAGGCTGTAAGAGGCGGAGAGGGAGGGAGAGAGGGGACGGGAGAGGGGAGAGAGAGGCTGTAAGAGGGGAAGAGGGAGGGAGAAAGGGGACGGGAGAGGGGAGAGAGGCAGTGAGAGGGGGAGAGGGGGTGGAGGCTACATGCAAAGAGACATACCACCTTTTTGTACTCACCTCTCAGAGCCTCCACAGTGCAGTCCTTCTCCTTGTACACTTTACGAATGTTGTTTATCCTAAAAGAGATCAGAGTTAGATACCAGAACTAAAGAGTCAGTCCTCGTTCAGTCCTCGTCCTGCTTCCAAACCAGAACAAGAGAGACACACCAGTGAGAGACCAGAGAGATATACCAGATTGAGAGACCAGAGAGAGACCAGAGCGAGATACCAGAGAGAGAGACCAGAGCGAGATACCAGAGAGAGAGACCAGGGAGAGAGACGAGAGAAAGAGACGAGAGAAAGAGACGAAAGAGAGAGACCAGAGAGAGAGAGACCAGAGAGAGAGAGACCAGAGAGAGAGAGACCAGAGAGAGAGACGAGAGAAAGAGACGAAAGAGAGAGACCAGAGAGAGAGAGACCAGGGAGAGAGACGAGAGAAAGAGACGAAAGAGAGAGACCAGAGAGAGAGAGACCAGAGAGAGAGACTCTGCATCACCTGATGGCCTCTTTCCCTCTGAACTCTGCGGACACTGGTTCGATGGGGACAGCGCCCCTGGTGGATCCGTTGGCCTCGGAGTCACAGCCGGAGTTCACCTCCACGTAGCGTCTGCTGCGTTTGGACCAATAGGACGGCTTCAGGAAGTAGAGAAGCGAGCGCCGCACCCCAAACTCTCCTGACCAAAGAAACAGGACGTGGACAGGTAAGAGGAGACGCACTCTGAGAGCGGGAGAGTAAGACTGGAGTACGGAACTTTCACCCCACGACTGTACAACTGTAACAGACTCATGTCAACAGTTTGCTTCTGCTACTGTTTCAGATGAATCAGAATGAGGCTATTGAGTACCAGGTTTGAGACAGCAGCATTTAGACAGAAGGAACAGGAGAATTGAGGACACCAGAGAGAGAGACCATAGATAGAGAAGAATGAATCCAGAGAGAGACCAGGAGGTCCTGAAGCGGTCTGACCTGGTAGTACTTGGTCAAGGTAGAGAGCCAGCAGCAGATACAGCACACAGTCCAGCAGCAGCATGAGCAGCGGCACAAACAGAGGATGAGGACCGTTCAGGAGCGAGGAGAAGACTGCTCCATCGCCCTGAGCCTCCAGCTGCACCACCTGCACACACAACACACAGTTATCAAACACACTACACACTGTTATCAAACACACAGTTATCAAACACACTACACACTGTTATCAAACACACAGTTATCAAACACACTACACACTGTTATCAAACACACACAGTTATCAAACACACTACACACAGTTACCAAACACACAGTTATCAAACACACTACACACAGTTACCAAACACACACAGTTATCAAACACACTACAGACAGTTACCAAACACACACAGTTATCAAACACACTACACACAGTTACCAAACACACTACACACAGTTACCAAACACACAACACACAGTTATCAAACACACTACACACTGTTATCAAACACACTGTTAGCAAACACACTACACACTGTTATCAAACACACTACACACTGTTATCAAACACACTACTACACTCCCCCTCTCTGTCTCTGTTGTTATCTATAGTGTCACCTATAGTGCAGTGCACAGTGCCTTGCGAAAGTATTCGGCCCCCTTGAACCTTTCAACATTTCACCACATTTCAGACTTCAAACATAAAGATATAAAAATTACATTTTTTGTCAAGAATCAACAACAAGTGGGACACAATCGTGAAGTGGAACGAAATTTATTGGATAATTTAAACTTTTTTAACAAATCAAAAACTGAAAAGTGGGGCGTGCAATATTATTGGGCCCCCTTGCGCTAATACTTTGTAGCGCCACCTTTTGCTGCAATTACAGCTGCAAGTTGCTTGGGGTATGTCTCTATCAGTTTTGCACATCGAGAGACTGGAATTCTTGCCCATTCTTCCTTGCAAAACAGCTCGAGTTCAGTGAGGTTGGATGGAGAGCGTTTGTGAACAGCAGTCTTCAGCCCTTTCCACAGATTCTCGATTGGATTCAGGTCTGGACTTTGACTTGGCCATTCTAACACCTGGATACGTCTATTTGTGAACCATTTCATTGTAGATTTGGCTTTATGTTTTGGATCATTGTCCTGTTGGAAGATAAATCTCCGTCCCAGTCTCAGGTCTTTTGCAAACTCCAACAGGTTTTCTTCCAGAATGGTCTTATACTATTTGGCTCCATCCATCTTCCCATCAATTTTAGCCATCTTCCCTGTCCCTGCTGAAGAAAAGCAGGCTCAAACCATGATGCTGCCACCACCATGTTTGACAGTGGGGATGGTGTGTTCAGGGTGATGAGCTGTGTTGCTTTTACGCCAAACATATTGTTTTGCATTGTGGCCAAAGTTTGATTTTGGTTTCATCTGACCAGAGCACCTTCTTCCACATGTTTGGTGTGTCTCCCAGGTGGCTTATGGCAAACTTTAAACGAGATTTTTTATGGATATCTTTGAGAAATGGCTTTCTTCTTGCCACTCTGCCATAAAGGCCAGATTTGTGCAGTGCACAACTGATTGTTGTCCTATGGACAGACTCTCCCACCTCAGCTGTAGTTATCTGCAGTTCATCCAGAGTGATCATGGGCCTCTTGGCTGCATCTCTGATCAGTCTTCTCCTTGTTTGATATGAAAGGTTGGAGTGACGGCCGGGTCTTTGTAGATTTGCAGTGGTCTGATACTCCTTCCATTTCAATATAATTGCTTGCACAGTGCTCCTTGAGATGTTTAAAGCTTGGGAAATCTTTTTGTATCCAAATCCGGCTTTAAACTTCTCCACAACAGTATCTCGGACCTGCCTGGTGTGTTCCTTTGTCTTCATGGTTCTCTCTGCACTTTAAACAGAACCCTGAGACTATCAAAGAGCAGGTGCATTTATACGGAGACTTGATTACACACAGGTGGATTCTATTTATCATCATCAGTCATTTAGAACAACATTGGATCATTCAAAGATCCTCACTGAACTTCCGGAGTGAGTTTGCTGCACTGAAAGTAAAGGGGCCGAATAATATTGCACGCCCCACTTTTCATTTTATTTGTTAAAAAAGTTTAATTATTCAATACATTTCGTTCCACTTCACGATTGTGTCCCACTTGTTGTTGATTCATGACAAAAAATTAAAATTGTATATCTTTATGTTTGAAGCCTGAAATGTGGCGAAATGTTGAAAGGTTCAAGGTGGCCGAATACTTTCGCAAGGGACTGTACCTGTGCTACAGTGGTACCTGTGCTAAAGTGGTACCTGTGCTAAAGTGGTACCTGTGCTATGCCGATGGAGAAGGCGCTGGGCGACAGCAGACACAGGAGCCACACCAGCGGCTGGGGAAAGTCTGGGATGAGGATGGTGAAGAGCGACATGCAGCCGAACACCACGGTGAGCAAGGAGCCCACGGTACTGGCAAACTTAGGCTTCTTAAAGAGAGGAGTCAGCATGAAGGAGAAGGAGATCTGAGGGAGGAGAGAAGAGGTCACACAACACTACAGCCTCACATCAGCTCCAGAAAGAGGAGTCAGCATGAAGAAACAGATCTGAGGGAGGGGAGAGGAGGAGAGAGGAGGTCACAAAACAACAACACCAGCTTCTGTGAAGCTTGTGGATCATTATTATAAATGTACTGCATTTGAAATCTGAATATTGATAAAGAACTTGAGGCAGGAGGAGAGAGAGAGGAGAGTGGAGAGAGGGGGAGATCAGAGGAAAGAGAGGAGAGAGGAGGGAGAGGAGAGAGAGGAGAGAGAGGAAGAGAGGATGTAACAAATACATAGGTGGGAACAGAGAAAGGTTAAAATAGTGGGTCTGCAGCAGAGCAGTGGTTACTCACGGAGGAGAGGCCGTAGAGGAAGATGAGCAGGAACACCACCAGGAAGTGGCTGTTGGGGAAGAGGGCTGTGTACGTGGCGATCACAGCCATCAACACAGACATGGAGGAGACCAGAGTCGCGTACAGCAGTCCCCACGACAACCTGAGGGGGCAGTATAACACCACATGAGACACATCCTGCAGAGGGCAGAGGACAACACAACACACACGAGGGAAACACGACGACCTGGGGTAAACACAACAAGTATCTAGACACTGGCTACATCAGCTATGGGTGAGTCAGTTCTAAAACTACACACAAATTGCACCAGCGACAGTACTCTTCATAATGAGAGCGTAACGAGCGACGAAGCTGTTTGGGATGTTGCATGTTCTGCTAGTTGTCCACTTACATGTGGATGAAAATCTGTCTGCTCTCTCTCCTTCTACCCAACCTCTCTCCTTTCTATACCCTACCTCTCTCTCTCTTAGTCTTCTCTACTCTCTCTCCCTTCTCTATCCTCCCTCCCTCTCTCTTCTCTCCCCTCTCTCATGTACGGTCAGAGTGGTCGGAGTGTGAGGCCTGGTGTCTGACCAGAAGGCGCTGTCGTGGAGTCCCATCATGTTCATGGTGTCCTTGAGCCTCTGCTCCTTCTCTGCCGCCACGTTGACAATGAGAAAGGTGACAAAGGGCGTGAAGGCCAGTACCAGGTAGCTGGCAATGAGAGCGTGAGGGAACTTCTGCACCTCCACCGATCCAGGCTGCCCCATCATGACCACACGGAAGTCCAGCTCCACCCACACCGAGCGCTTGGTCTGCATCTAAGAGACACACACACAAGAGGAAAGAGTTAACCGTTTGGTCTCTCTCTGGTCTCTCTCTGGTCTCTCGCCGGTCTCTCACCTGGATGATGGCTGCATCGATCAGAGCCTGCAGGCGGCTGAAGCCTGTGTACCAGTAGTTTGCGGCTCTGCAGTTTGTGGAGCTGGACAGACAGTTGGCTGTGGCAGAAACAACAACACTTAGATTCAACTCGCTGCGTGTGTGCGTGCGTGCGTGCGTGCGCGTATCTTACAAAATGTCTCGGTGTAGTCACTGGGCAAAGGCAGCTGGTTGTAGGGAAACCTCAGCCTGTATTTTGTGGCGGTTTTGTCCAAAAACACGACTCCCACAAAACTGGAAGGTTCATACAGAGAGGCGTTCTCCAGGTCCTCCTCAGAGGCAAACATCTCCAGGTGCTCCTCCACGTCTGAGGAGCAGAGGAACCTCATCAGACCAGAGAGAGACCAGAGAGAGACCAGAGAGAGACCAGAGAGAGACCAGAGAGGGACCAGAGAGGGACCAGAGAGAAAGACCAGAGAAAGACTACATACGCAGCTCCTGGGCCACCTCCTCCATGATGCTGGAGGTGATGTTGTTGATGGGAGTGTAGCCCAGAACCTTGAGGAACGGCGTGTCCTGCTCCAGCTCCATGGTTCCCACGCTCCCATAGTACACATGAGGGTTCAGAGTACTGATGAGGATGAGGAGGCCGAGGAGAAGCAGAGGCAACAGCAGCTCCTGCACAAGAGACGACCAGGGAGAGACCATCAGAGACCAGGGGGAGAGCAGAGAGACCAGGGAGAGACCCGGGAAAGACCAGAGAGAGAGCAGAGAGAGACCAGAGAGAGACCAGAGAGAGACCAGGGAGAGACCAGGGAGAGACCAGGGAGAGACCAGGGAGAGACCAGGGAGAGACCAGGGAGAGACCAGGGAGAGACCAGGGAGAGACCAGGGAGAGACCAGGGAGAGACCAGAAAGAGACCAGGGAGAGACCAGGGAGAGAGGACACATGCAGTGACTGTTGTGGTGACAGAGTGAGACTCACGTGCAGAGACTGTTGCTTGGCTCTCCACTTGATCAGGAGGTTCTTGTAGAGCAGACTGCGGGTTTGGTTCCATACTCCGGAGTCTCTGCGGCGGCTCATGTCTCCACCCGGGTGGACGGGGATGATGTAGGGCCGCGAGCGCACCTCCTCCATGCGGGCCTCAGCTGAAACATAACACAACCAGAGACACATCCAGAGATACACACACAACCAGAGAGAGACATTCACACAACCAGAGACACACACACAGATAGTGACTCACAGGGATCTCAATCTTACACAGAAGATATCATGTTCAGATGAAGACAGTGAGTTGTGTCTGATTTGCTCACATTCTCTCTGTTGGATAAACTTGTGTTATTTATGAAACTTGAGTTAAAGACCTCAGCTCTAAACATTTGTTATTTATGGAGACTAAAGTCACAAACCCCAGCTTTAAAACTCACATATTTTTCCTCCTCCTACAAGAATTGCTGCAAGTGGTTTCTAACCTGAGAATAGAGACGATAAGATACATTTTATTAGTTATGTTATAATGAGGTACATTTCCATTGAAGCCACGAAGCTAAGTCAGCCATTAAAACCTTTATATTATAGCACAATGAACCAACAATAACCAATCCACACTAATGGCTCAGTTCATCTCTATTGATAGTCCGAATGCAGACTAACAGAATAGTATTAAGTGAGTCATTTGTGACATAAAAGTGAGAGTTCGCGTTAGCTACTGCAGCTAAGGTGGCTAACATCACAAACGCGTCCTTAAAACACTAAATAACTGCTTAATGTGAACACTCACGGATTAAATACATTAAAGCATTTCAGGTGGAGGTACCCGCCGGGTCTGGGTCGCATTTGTGGGGGTTTGTAGGCTGGGAAGGATCGGGAATGATGCTAATACTGTGTCGCTGTTTTCCACCTGTCAAATTGGAGTCCCGCCCCCCGAAGCTGAGGAGTCTGAGTGACAGCGCTTGCGGCCAATCAAAGAGGCAAGATTGAGTCCGAATTTCCAACTGTGATATTTCTATAACGTTTAATAGTAGTAGTAGTAGTAGTAGTAGTAGTAGTAATCTTTATTTATATACCGCCTTTTCACTGCACATCGGAGTCTCAAAGCGGTTTACAATTGTTATTTTTGGGAGTGGGGCCAGTACAGGAGGCACATGCCAGACCTATTGTACATATTTTTAGTGGTAGGGGAAACCGGAGTACCCGGAGGAAACCTACGCAGACACGGGGAGAACATGCAAACTCCACTCAGAAAGGCCCTGGTCCAACCGGGATTCGAACCCAGGACCTTCTTGCTGAGAGGCGAGAGTGCTATCCACTCAGCCACCGTGCCGCCCAATGTAATGTAATGTGACATGTAATGTCAGTCACAGAAAGGGTCGTTTCTGCCCAACTTCAGGACCACCTCAAACAATATGATCTGTTCCAAAAATTCCAGTCATACTTCCTGTCAAACCATAGCCCAGAGAAAAGCCCTGGACTTCATGGTAATAAAAAACCAGGGCTCTCCAATACTACTTCTTCACCAGGACTTCACAGCCACACTCCATACTGAAGAGCATTCAAATATTCTTCTTCAATATCAAACAGTAAATGATCACTGTGGCACTGCCCTGAGATGGTTTGAGTAATATCCAATAGAATTATGAATCCGCGGTCCTTTCTCACTGATAGAGCGGAGTATGGCCCTGGGGTAGTTTGAATCTAAGACTCATGTCTCCTGTGGAGTCCCACAGATATTTGTTTCTTGGGCTGACCCTGTTTAACATCTATACACTCCCATGGGACTGAATTTCCTTCCATAGCGATGCCTATGTAACTCAGACTAGACCCAGCCTCTCCCTGCGGTCCCGTCTGTGGAGTGCTTAAAAAAAGCATCTTAAAGCATCTGTTTGTGTTTTTATTCTGACAATACAATACAATACAATCAAGACGATTGTATTTTTAACTTGCTGTGGCACCTTGAGAAGTGCATTGCTTATGAAAGGTGCATTATAAATAAAATCTATCATTTTTTTATGTATGTGAGTGGATATTTTGTATGATTAATAAGAGACCTGCTCTTGGTCCTGCTCTTGGTCCTGCTCTTGGTCCTGCTCTTGGTCCTGCTCTTGGTCCTGCTCTTGGTCCTGCTCTTGGTCCTGCTCTTGGTCCTGCTCTTGGTCCTGCTCTTGGTCCTGCTCTTGGTCCTGCTCTTGGTCCTGCTCTTGGTCCTGCTCTTGGTCCTGCTCTTGGTCCTGCTCTTGGTCCTGCTCTTGGTCCTGCTCTTGGTCCTGCTCTTGGTCCTGCTCTTGGTCCTGCTCTTGGTCCTGTCTCTGGTCTTGCCGCAGAGAGAGTCAAAATTTTCTAGTCCACAAAGACACTAAAGATGTCTCTATTTAGTTGTACACATTATTTAAAAACAGAAGCAGGGTCCAAACATACATACATATAATATACACAGTATACATGAGATGAAGCATAATACATTATACAGAGGGCAAGACATCTCTAAACTGGAGGAAGTCGTGTAAAGAAGCTGGAACAGGAAGTTGCTGCAACACGGAAGATTTTCTCAGAGAAGATCCCAGAACCGAGCCAATCCGAACCCGACTCAAGTGGGCCAGCGAGGGCGCTGAGTCTGAGGAGAAAGGGGCGGAGTCACACAGAGCTGGGGTCTATAACTTTAGCCTCATAAAAAACACATGTTAAAGCTGGGGTCTGTAACTTTAGTCTCATACTTTAGTCCAACAGAAAGTACCAGGACCAAGACCTCTATATACTAGTGATAGAAGAAACTGTACCAGCACAGCTAACCACTTCGTACAGGAGTGAAGTGGTTAGCTGTGCTTCTAAGAAAAATACAGAGCCTTTAGTAATGTACCGAAGAGTGTGAATGAATCCCAGTTGGTCCCAATCTCGGTTCGTCTCTGGTCCAGGACTCGTCTCAGATCCGGACTCAGACCAGACCAGTCCAAGACCTGAAGTAGTAAGTTTAAGACCGGAGCAGGGCCCTCACAAAACCTAAACACAAACATGAAGGAGAGGAGAGAGTTTAATTATTGTGACTTAAAGAAGTGACAGCTTCATCTGGTGGCAAGAGAGGGGAGCTACAGTCTGCTTTTATAATGCAAGACTGAAGGAGGTCTTAAATAGGTCTAAGGCAAGACTAAAGCAAGTCCCCCCAGCTCTGTGTCTCCTGTGTTCTTACATCCGGTGTTGGAGCAGAGTACGCGGATCCAGTCCGGCTCTCAGCAGCAGAGGCATCCAGACCAGACCGGTCCCAGTGTGGTTCAGGCACTGGTCTGTAAGGGAGGCCAGCTCCTGCACACCAAAGTCCCTCCTGGATCCACAACCGGGACTGTCTCCTGGGCCTGGAGGTCCCGGGACAGACCTGTAGTCCAGGACCATCTGGAGCAGGTGTGGCGTTGGGGATTGTAAAACCAGATCCCAGACTTCACTGAAGATGGTGGCTCCAGACCCAAGCAGGATCTGGACCAATCTGGACCTGAGAGAAAGAAAGAGACATTTGAATCATGTCTATGGCAGGTCTTAAGAAGGTCTGAAAGAAGGTGGAGACCTTAGCTCCAGCAGATCCTAACAGTCCTGGTTTCTCTCTCTCTGGTCTCTCTCTCTGGTCTCTCTCTCTGGTCTCTCTCTCTGGTCTCTCTCTCTGGTCTCTCTCTCTGGTCTCTCTCTCTGGTCTCTCTCTCTGGTCTCTCTCTCTGGTCTCTCTCTCTGGTCTCTCTCTCTGGTCTCTCTCTCTGGTCTCTCTCTCTGGTCTCTCTCTCTGGTCTCTCTCTCTGGTCTCTCTCTCTGGTCTCTCTCTCTGGTCTCTCTCTCTGGTCTCTCCCTCTGGTCTCTCCCTCTGGTCTCTCCCTCTGGTCTCTCCCTCTAGTCTCTCCCTCTAGTCTTACCCCTTGTGTGGACTCAGAGCCACAGCATGGCTCAGGGGACACCTCAGGCCTAGCAGATCCTCACAGTCCTGGGCGTCTGGACTGTAACCATGCCTCAGCAACATTTGTAGCGCCTCCTGCTGGTCAGTCTGCACACATTGGTACAGAGGGCTCACCTGACCGGGAGCGTGGCCTATGGAGCGGTCAGTGATGGGGAGGAGCCTCCTCAAGATCCTTAGACAGAGGACACATGTTTTACAACACTCATCACAGACCTGCAGCTGGTCTCTCTCTCTCTCGCCTCTCTCTCTCGCCTCTCTCTCTCGCTTCTCTCTGGTCTTAATCTCTAGTGTCTCTTTTCCCTCACCGGTGTCTGTCTCACCTGGTGTGTCCAAACTGTGCGGCTGCATGCAAAGGTAGTTGCCTCCAGTCTTTGCTACAGCTGAGGTTTGGATCAGCTCCATGAGAGAGCAGCTCCTCAACACAGAGGCTATGACCCTCCTGAGATGCGAGGAGCAGAGGGGAGGCTCCGTCTGCTGCCTGGGCGTCCACCCGGGCTCCTGCACACACAGACACACACACACACACACTTAGAGCTGGGGACTTTAAAGCTGACCCGAGTTTTAAACATGTGTTATTTATGAGAAAAAAGTTACAGACCACAGCTTTAAACAATGACCTCTGACCCCTCACCTTTCCGCAGCAACGCCCTCAGACAATGGACGCGTCCGTACTGCGCTGACACAAACAAAGGTGTGATGCGGTGATCGTCTACAGCCTCAAGGTCACACACCTCACTGAGCAGCAGCACCAGGTCCCTGTGGTCCTGACACACACAAACAGAGGAAACGCACAGTGAGAGAGTGTGCATTGCACGTGTGTATGCGTGTCTGTCTGTACCTTGTACACTGCCTGGTGCAGACATGTCCAGCAGGAGGCAGTGTGGCTCCTGTTCACCTCTGCTCCTCTCCTCAGTAACAACTGCACCATCTCTGAGTGTCCTCTGTCCACAGCTGAGAGAGAGGGGACTGGTAAGGTTCTGATGGCTGTCCACAGCAGGTCTAAAGCAGGTCTAAAGCAGGTCTAAAGCAGGTCTAAAACAGGTCTAAAGCCTCACAAACCCATGAGACAGACATACCAGAGTAGAGGGGGCTGGACAGCTCGTTGGTCTGCAGGTTCAGGTCTGCCTTGGCCTTCAGCAGGAGTTTCACCACGGGCACAGAACCGGTCCCAGAGGCCAGGAACACGGCGGTCTCTCCTTCGTGGGTCTGAGCGTTCACAAAAGCACAGAGATCCAGACACGACGAGGCTGAACACACAAGGAACGGACATAAGCTTCTGAACAAGTGAAACCGGATCAGAACCAGTATGTTCTTTCCATGTTCCAACTGCAGCTGCTTCAAGTTAATTTATCATTCAAATAGTTGTCATCAAATTAAGTAATTCTCTCTCATCTGTCTTTTCCCAATCTCCTTCCTATATCCTCTCCTCTCTCTTGTATCTTAACTTTTCCTTTCCTTTCCTCTCCTCTCCCTCTCCTCTCATCTCTCTCCCCTCTCCTCTCTCTCTCTCCTCTCTCGCTCCTCTCCCCTCGTTCTCCCCTCCTTTCCTCCTCTCTCTCTCCTCTCTTGAACCAGACCTGGACCAAAACCAACAACAATAGTTTGTATGACTCTATAATTGCTACAGTCCCTCTCTCACCTGCAGCTGTGAGGATCTCCCGGACGCAGCCCTTGTGCCCTCGAGCAGCAGCTTCGTGGAGACAGGTCCAGCCACGGTTGTCCTTCACGTCCAGACTGAGTCCAGACCGGATAAGGGAACGGACCTGGACCAAAGACCCAGAGCGAGCCGCTAAAGAGATGCTTCCCACTGAGTCACTGTACACCTCCGTGAAATCCATCCTGAAAGAGGAGAAAACAGGTCTAAAGCAGGTCAAAAGCAAGTCTTAGCAGGACAAAAGCAGGTCTAAAGCAGGAGTAAAGTAGGTTTAAAGCAGGTATAAGTCCCGGCTGTAACATGTGTTTTTGGGAAGTTAAAATACCTCAACTTTGACAGTTTTTTACAAAGCAACGCCAGTTAATGATACAACATTACATTGTCCAGAAGTGCGTGCCTGCATCTAAATATGTCACAGAGTATTTAACGATTTATACGAAATAAAATAGAAAATGCATTAAAGTATTCGTTGCACATTACCCTCCGCCACTGTCTTGAGGTAGTATTTTTTCCCTCAGTAGTCCAAATGAAGAGAATATAATCGAATCTTTTTAGAGGGAACTATATCTAGAGAATTTCAACAGTTAGAGAATTTCAAGTTATAGTTTGGATTAGGATTAGGATTATGATTAATACTTGTCCATTTGGTTATTTGTTTGGCTGAGTGAATTGATAATATTTTCAAGGCTGTTTGGGGGAAAAAGCTTCGTCACTTCACAACATCCGCACGCTTTCCGGGTTTGACAGCAACAATTATCATCATATTATTAAACATTTATATGAATTATTCTCTTGATAAACAAATAATTATTTTTATGATAAAATAAACGAACTTCCACATTAAAATAAAAATATATAAACATGAACTGTATGCCACTTCCGGTACAGATTTGGTTAGCTGCGCTAGCTCCAAAAATCGCAGTTATCTCTGTATTAGCTACTTACCACGAGACGAGTTTAAGCCGAAGGACAAGTAGAAGACACTTTCCTCCTTTGAAATTTGTGCATTTTGGTGACGGTTATAAGGTAATAAATGTGCATGTATTACTATTTGTAGATGTAATAGCACTGTTACAGCTTTATGCTGCTGACATAATGAATGAAACAGTATTTAAAGACATTTTATATGTTAAATATATATATGATTTCATTTCATTAACGTGCATGAACTAAACACTTGTTACTTTGAATTGTCATTGTCTTTACAGCTAAGATTACTGTATATATGTAGTACCAGACAGCATTACACAGAGCAGCTTTAGATTCATTCATACATTTGGGGTTTGATAGAGACAAAATTCAAGGCCCTTAAATCTCTCTGGTCTCTCTCTGGTCTCTTTATGGTCTCCCTCTGGTCTCTGGTCTCTCTCTGGTCTCTCTCTCTGGTATTTTTCCCTGATTGCTCCCTGGTCTCTCTTTTGGCCCCTCTCTGGCCACTTTCTGGTCTCTCTCTGGCGTCTCTCTGGTGGTCTCTGGAGGTCCATTTGTAGGTCCATCTGGAGGTGGAATCACTTTCTGATATCATGGCGTGTCTAAAGCTTAATTCAGCTTTTTTTTTCTGTACAATGTGTTTTGCTGCATCACAAACAGTTTTCTCTGCCATTTTCTCCAGATGTCATTTTGGGATGTTGCATGTTCTCCTTGTGTCACTCTCTCTGTGACAGTTTTTATCATTTGTTGATCGGTCAGTGAGATATACTGTACTATTAGGATCAAATAAAGACGGCAAATCTTTGTTTACGTTGCATTAAAGTAGCAATGTGTAATATTTGCATGTCAAGTCATTACCCACACTCACTCTGGCAATCAGCTCTCAGCCCAAAGAGAGCTGCTCAAATCGTGACTCACAGGGCTCTTTCTCACACAGAGGAAGTGTTCTAATAAGATGAAGACACAAGACTCTTTTTGTTTGACAAACTGCATGTGTTATTTTGAGACTTAAGTTACGTTTAAGTTACCAGCTTTAAACCCATCATTATTTCCCCTCTTAAAGCAGGTTTGGAACTTATTTTTACCACTTGTTTTTGTGACGTTTCTCACTTGGATTGAGAACAACAATCTGTCTGTCCTTAAAATAAGACTTAAGACTGTGGTTAAAGAGTCAACACCAATAAAACATTTTTACAGCAATTTCTTTGAGCAAATCTCTCTCTGGTCTCTCTCTTGTCTCTCTCTGGTCTCTCTCAGGTCTCACTCGTGTCGGTCTCCGGTCTCACTTGTGGTTCTCTCTGGTCTCTCTCTGGTCAGTTTTAACAGCAAAATTCTCCTGTGTGTTTGCAGTTGCGTCATGGTGGAAGTGTCATGCTCGTGGGTTTGTGAAGAAGGACGATCTCTGTCCGACGTCCTGAGTCTTCATCACGACGAACATCCAAACCAGAACCACACTAACTGGTGAGAACAGACCACATGCTTGTGTGAGCAGAGCCCTGTGAGTCACTATTTGACGTTTTGGCTGAATGAGGGTGGTCCTTATTTTTTTACTGATCTAAAGAGGTTAAAGAGTCCAAGACCAGGACGTGGTGGTCCTACCACCACGTCCTGGTCTTGGACTCCTTGTTCTCGCTCTGGTCTCTCTGGTCTCTCTGGTCTCTCTGGTCTCTCTGGTCTCTCTTTGGTCTCTCTCTCTGGTCTCATGGTCTCTGTCTCTGTCCTCAGTGCTGGTCCTGTCCTCCTGTCTCGGCCTGAGGAGGGCGCCCCCTGTGTCCTGTCTCTGAACTGCAGCTCTTCTGGGATCCGCAGGCTGATCTTCGAGACTGAGGCTCGGACTCTGGAGGTTTACGACCAGGACGGGGACTACTGTGGGACCGAGAGAGGAGAGAGGAGAGAGAGGTAACACACACACGCGCACTATTGTGGGACAGAGAGAGGAAAGGATGTCACACACACAGACACACGAACATACAAACAAACATTTTTTCTGTCTTTTATCTCAGCATGAGTGTATGTGTGTGCGTGTGTGTGTGCTTGTGTGTGCGTCTCGATGTCTCCCAGTACTTGGGAGCTCCTGTGTTAATGAGATGTGCCACATAAATAAAGTGGAACACAGACATATGTTTTGTTTCAGTCCAGACTCTGGGACGTTCTACAGAACACAGCTGGATCTGCAGCGGCCCTCAGCCTCCTGTACAGTCAAGGTGAGTCTCTCTCCTCTCTCTCCTCTTCTCCTCTCTCTTCTCTCTCCTCACATCTCTCCCCTTCCATCAAACCTCTCCTCTCACCTCCTCTCTCTCCTCTCCTCAGCTCCTGTCCCTGGGCGGCCGTGACTGTGTTCGTGTGCTCTCTCTCTCGGTGCACCTGGAGCATATCCCTTCAGTTTGTGTACAGCAGAGCATAGACCTGCAGCAGGTCCAGACCCTGGTCCAGGAGATGGGGTCCAGCCTGAGCCCAGGAGCCCAGAGCCTCATGGAGCTGGTGCAGTTCCAGCAGCAGGTGAGAGGGGGCGCTGTTTCTAGCCCAGGACCGAGCCTTGAGCACCCGAACTCTCAGAGCAGTCAATTTGACGGCTTTTAGTGTTGCAAATGTAATGACTCCGCTCATGTGCATCTGTGGCCTTTGTAACGTTGTGACTTTCTCTGTTTCTTTATTGAGTTTACTTTAGTGAAATTACCTTTTTTTTTCCTCCTGAGACCCTGCAACCTCATACGAGGACATTACATTTTTGCCTCTTGGCACAATGATACTACATTTTTTACATCCTTGACCTGATGGCCACATTTAGGGACACTGCCCGCGCCATCTTGTGGTGATATGATAGAATTACACTTAAGGCAGTAGGAAAAAAATGGTGGGAATATCAGCAAAAGACTTCTACAAGAGTTTAAAGAAGAAAAATGCCCCAGGTAAAAATTCTATCAACATTTTATGAATGAAATCAATTTATTTATGCACAATAATGTCTCTAGCTTCATATGGAGTTTGAAATTTGACAAATTTTGATTGTAGTAGCAGGCTAGGATGTCAGTAAAAGTGAAGCACTCGTTTGAGGACGCTAGGACTATGTACCGCTATCTGTTTAGCTAACCGTGTGGAAGATTTAGATGAAGTTACAGTTGTAAATAGTTATTTTGAATCACACATTTGCTTAGTTATGTGGTTTACAGTTGTAAATAGTATATTTAAGTACTAAGTGGTATATGCTAAGTATTGTTTAGTGTTGCTAAATGCTAAATCATAAACAATATAGCTAGGCTATAGCTAGCACATGATAGCCAAGCTATGATGTGTCACTGATATACTGTAGATTTTGATGTTGGTTTTTAACATTATCATTACAGGCACACTTTCATTATCAAGAGCAGAACAATTGCTGTTGGCAATTGCAGACAACTCTGAGATAGAGGACTTCTCAGATGGGGATGATTGTATCATCATCCCACGGGGAGAGGCGGCGAGCTGAGGTGGCCATACTCATTGCCCCCCATCTCAGCCGCCATGTGTTGGAGTTCTCCCCGGTGAATGAGAGGGTCGCGTCCCTCCGCCTCCGGGTGGGACAAGTCTCTCATTGTTGTGACGGCCTACGGGCCTAACGGCAGTGCAGAGTTCCTGCCTTCTTGGAGTCCTTGGGAGGGGTACTGGACAGTGCACCGCCCGGGGACTCCGTTATGCTCCTGGGGGACTTCAACGCCCATGTGGGAAATGCCAGTGACACTTGGAGAGGGGTGATCGGGAAGAACGGCCCCCCTGATCTGAACCCGAGTGGTGTTCAGTTGTTGGACTTCTGTGCCAGTCACGGTCTGTCCATCACGAACACCATGTTCGAGCACAAGGGTGTCCACCAGTGCACGTGGCACCAGGACACCCTAGGCCGGAGGTCGATGATCGACTTTGTAGTCGTATCATCTGACCTTCGACCGCGTGTCTCGGACACTCGGGTAAAGAGAGGGGAGGAGCTGTCAACCGATCATCACCTGGTCGTGAGTTGGATCCGCTGGCAGGGGAAGAAGCCGGTCAGACCTGGCAGACCCAAGCGTGTAGTCAGGGTCTGCTGGGAACGTCTCGCCGAGCGCCCTGTCAGACGGACTTTCAACTCACACTTCCGGGAGAGCTTCTCCCAGGACCCAGAGGAGGGGGACATTGAGTCCGAGTGGATCATGTTCTCTTCCTCTATCGCCAATAAAGCGGCTTGTAGCTGTGGTCGCAAGGTCTCTGGTGCTGGTCCCGGCGGCAATCCCCGAACCCGGTGGTGGACACCGGCAGTAAGGGATGCCGTCAGGCTGAAGGAGTCCTATCGAGCCATGATGGTTCGTGGGACTCCTGAGGCAGCTGTCCAGTACCGGCAGGCCAAGCGTGCCGCGGCCCGGGCTGTTGCAGAGGCAAAAACCCGGGACTGGGAGGAGTTCGGAGAGTCCATGGAGCATGACTATCGGTCGGCCTCAAAAAGGTTATGGCAAACCCTCCGGCGCCTCAGGAGGGGGAAGCAGTGCTTTTCCAACACCGTGTATGGTGCGGGTGGAGAGCTGCTGACCTCGACTGGGGATATTGTAACCCTAACCCTAACCCGGGGATGGTAGCCTTGAAAAACCCCATGCATTGCAGAGCACAAGACTGCATTGGAAAATCCTGTGTCCGATGCATGACATGCAAACTGTACCTGTGCTTGCAAAGTGAACGCAACTGCTTTGCAGCATTTCACACTTGCCAATAGGGCTCTTCCAAACAGGCAGACAGATTGCTTTCTAGAAAAAGAGAGGGCGCTAGTTTGAAAAAAGCCCCGGTTCATAAGCTGTTCAGCAGAATTTTACTGTTTTAGGACTGTTGATAATATTTGCCATTATTTGTTCTAGTATTGTATTTATCAATTCAATTCAGCCATATTGAAGGCTTGAAATAGACAGTTTACACAGTATTTTGCGGTTTTATTTATGTATAGCCAATTTTTTGTCATGTGGATGAATGAAGAAAAAGGGAACCCAAATTGCAGGACTGAAAATCAAAGTAATTTAATAAAATAAATCCAAGGTAATGTAAAAACAGAACTGAAGACAGGACAAACGTTGTGGAGACAATGGACGGACAACAAGTGAGGAAGGGCACAGGGTATATACACACACACAGGGACACACAGGTGAATCATATTAGGGCGGGGCAACAATCAACAGGACAGGCAGGATTCAAACTCAACCCGGTCAAAATGTCCACACCATGACATTTTTAGGCTTTGAAGATAGAGCTGTTTGGATTTTATGTCTAACTTTGATGTTTACATTTTTCAAATAAACTGTTATATACTATTTTAGACCAATGGAGTCTATTTGTATTGTATAGTAAGGTCGACCCACTGTCCTCATGTGAGGACATTGATTTTTGCGAGAAGTACTAATTGGATCAAGCTGAAATTTTGAATTTCAACTAATTAGGACCTTCTGGCCTTCTGGCATACATTTTCTCTTTAGGTTATGAGAGACCCACTGTCCTCATACGAGGACATGTTTTTTCTCAAAAACTACTTCCTGTACAAAATCACAATTTAGGTATTATACTTATTGGGTCCTACTTATCCTAAATAGCAAAAAAATATATAAAATGCACACCAGACAAATGCTCGGGTCTCAGGAGGTTAAGTAGAAGTTCTACTGACGCAAACTGTTTTAGCACTTAGTAAAAGTAACGAAAGGTGAAAAGAAGCTTATTTTTTATAAAAAACTGAACATATTTTGTGGATATTTTCTTAAAATTTCATTGGTTGTTCTGTGTTCGTTCTAGAATCAGACGTCTGCTCTGAGCTCTCTGTTCCCCATGCTGATGGGACCAGGTCTGAGTCCTCTGCAGGTGAGACCAGGACCGAGACCAGGGCCGAGACCAGGGCCAGGGCCGAGACCAGGGCCGAGACCAGGGCCGAGACCAGGGCCGAGACCAGGGCCGAGACCAGGGCCCTTTAATCACATGAGTCTGTTCTATATAATTAAACTGGACTGAACCTGCTGCTTGCTATTCCCTATGCAGTGTCTAAACGAGACGAACGATAACTGAAAAACACATTTTTACAGTTTCAACCTCAGGTCACTTCCTCATCCGCTGAAGCTGCGTTCAATCAGAACGGAGCGATGTCACATGACTCGTCTGACTCGACCTGCTCAGGTGAGAGACACTTTAATTTTCTTTTTAATTAATTTAATTAATTAATTTAATAATTTTAAGTATAATTATCAATGGGCCCAGAACACAGCTTCTCTCTTTGGTCTCTCTCTTTACATCTGCTTCTCTTCTCTTTGAGCAGAGAGCAGTGATTCCCGCAGCCCTGTAAGCCCCGCCCACATCACAGAGATGATGTCACAGCTGATGAAGGGCTGTGGTCAGGCTCCAGGCTCCGCCCCCGACCTGCTCCCTGTTCTGCAGAGCGTGTGTGGTCATGTGACTCAGCTGCGGATCGACAACGAGGCTCTGCAGGAGACCAGCTGCAGGTGACCACTGTTAGGAATTTTCTCCCTCTCCCTCTGGTCTCCCTCTGGTCGCTCTCTGGTCGCTCTCTGGTCTCTCTCTGGTCTCTCTCTGGTCTCTCTCTGGTCTCTCTCTGGTCTCTCTCTGGTCGCTCTCTGGTCTCTCTCTGGTCTCTCTCTGGTCTCTCTCTGGTCTCTCTCTGGTCTCTCTCTGGTCTCTCTCTGGTCTCTCTCTGGTCTCTCTCTGGTCTCTCTCTGGTCTCTCTCTGGTCTCTCTTTGGTCTCTCACAGTGGTGAATTGTTTTGGTGCATAAATAGTTCCTTTGTTGAGAGCAGCTGATGTGACGAGGGCAAACACTTTTCACCGCCCTCGCTGTGGTAAGGCTTTGGTCGCGTTCTCTCTCTGGTCTTACTTTGGTTTCTCTCTGGTTTCTCTCTGGTTTCTCTCTGGTCTCTCTCTGGTCTCTCTCTGGTCTCTCTCTGGTCTTACTTTGGTTTCTCTCTGGTCTCCGTCTGTTCTCTCTCTGATTTCTCTCTGATTTCTCTCTGATTTCTCTCTGGTCTTTCTCTGGTCTCTCTCTGGTCTCTCTCTGGTCTCTCTCTGGTCTCTCTCTGGTCTCTCTCTGGTCTCTCTCTGGTCTCTCACTGGTCTGGTCTTTCCTCAGAGCTCTGGATGCAGAGATGGATCGCCGCCTGGACCAGATGGAGCAGCGGTTGAGACTGCACTTGGATAGACGGCTGGACGCTCTGGAGCAAAAGCTGGACTGTGTTTTAAACCTGATGTCCTGGACCCCTGCCTCTGCCAGACCCCTCACACCCCAGACCGAGAGTCAGACCCAGACCCAGACCCAGACCTCTGTGGGCTGTGACTGAAGCTCTACCCGGATCTAACAAACTAAACACGAGGATTCTGCTTCTAACATTCTAACCTGGACAGTGTGACATCACCGCAGTTGTAGCATTAATGCAGAAGAGGCCGATATGAACATTATATGAGCATTCTGACGGCATTAGCTTAGCGCTATAACAAGAACAGACGTGTTGCTAAAACTACCTGGCGTTTTCCCGGCAGATGACTGGACAATACTCTGGTCTCTCCCCGGTCTCCCTCTGGTCTTTCTTTCTGGTCTCTCTCTGGTGTTTCTCTCTGGTCTCCCTCTGGTCTTTTTCTCTGGTCTCCCTCTTGTATTTTTCTCTGGTTTCTCTCGGGTACATGGATGTCAATAGGAGCCAGAGAGACAAACTTTGTCCATGAGCACTTCCCTCTGGGCTTCATTGAGCTAACGGGTTAGCATCGAGCTAGCGGGTTAGCAATGTCCATCTGAGTGCTCAGCAGCGAGCTTCAAATTAACGTTTAGATTTTGAAAAGGGAAGCTACACCAGTTGTCAAGATGAGCTTTTTGTGAAAATAACCTTATTTTTCAGTTTTACTTTTTTGTTCATGGTTTAGTCTCATTACTGTAACATACTAAGTATGTATGGTCTGTGTTTTTACCGTTTTATCATTAAACTGTGTCCTGTGGACTCTTACGATCTTCTTAAAGCTTGGTTCTGTAACTTTAGTCTCATAAAAGGGCGGCACGGTGGCTGAGTGGATAGAATCTCGGTCGGACACATGTTTAAAGCTGGGAATATAATGTGTAAGAAAGGGCCCTGTGAGTTGAGTCAATTCTGGCTGGGAGCTGATAATGTGACAGAGGATAAGACCAGGACCAGACATGTTATTGAGCCAGGACCTGGTAACATTGAGTCTCATTCCTTCAGTTGAGGTTTGAAAGATGGTACCATGGATCTATTATAAGAATGGTACCAGCTCAGCCACAGCTGCAGTGAGACTAAGAGACCAGCAGGTGGCAGCACAGACCAGAGCAGAGGGTTCTACTGCAGACACTCAGGACAAAATGTAAACGTGCTTGTGTGACAATCATCTCTTTCACAAATGTCTCTCTCTGGTGTGGATAGGGAAGTCTATGCTCAGACTGCTGCCACCGCAAACCGGCAACGGAAATTCAATCTGAAGAGACCAAAGACACAATTAATACATTAAAATTCTTTATTTATTTTGCGCATTGGCCCCAGCAGTGACACTTGCAGCGATGAGATCGATTGCAGCTGAAGAAGATCTCAGATCCCCCGGGGTCAAGCACTGGTGGTGGCTAGAGTATGGTGTGAATGGGGCGTAGTCGGAGCAGGAGCCAGATCAGGAGCCTAGAGCGGGAGCCTAGAGCGGGAGCCAGAGCGGGAGCCAGAGCGGGAGCCTAGAGCGGTGGGTGTTAAGAGCTCCAGGAAGCGTTGCTTGTCAGGAAGTGGCTGCCTTTTTAAACTGCCCGCTTTGCTGACAGAGGGTTGGCAGGAGGCTGGCCGGGCTGAGTGATTGGTTGAGGCTCGGGGCTGGCAGCGCTGTGTGATTAGTTGGCTTGGAAGGGGGAATTTGCACTCGGTCTTTCTGTCTGAATTTGCGCGTTCAGCTTCATAAGTGAAAGAAAATTAATGGATGGAACTTTATTCACAAAATACCTTTTATTCACAAAAAAACACAAACAAATCCATCAGAACATTTGACAATTTCTGCAAATAAATACAACAGTTCATCAAGTGCAGACGATGTTTAAAAGTGCAAATATTTACATTCCATAAAAACCATATGTCCACAACCAGAGAGAGACCAGAGAGAAAACAGATCTTCTCCCAGGTAGCCTAACTCTTGCCTGTAGACACCTGAATGTTACCGTGTGACAGTCCCTGTTCCTGATCGCTCGGTTTCAGGGGTCGATGCTTTCTGGTACGATGTTGATGATGACATCCTCGTTGCCACGGCGCACCACGGTTTTCAGCGTCTGGTCTCGCTTTATGGCAGCACTGACATCATTTGCTGAAGTCACCGTCTCACCGTTTATACTGATGATGACGTCACTCTCTCGCAAACCAGCACTGGAGATCAGAAAAACCAGAGAGACCAAATGTCATTATTTTGTCCATCTTTCGTAGATTATAGGTGAAACACATCATAGTGTTTCTTGTCAAACATATTTTCTGTTTTCAAATAACAGATGTACAGACTGTATACAGATGGATAATGCTAACACAGACTGTATACAGATGGATAATGCTAACACAGACTGTATACAGATGGACAATGCTAACACAGACTGTATACAGATGGACAATGCTAACATAGACTGTATACAGATGGACAATGCTAACACAGACTGTATACAGATGGATAATGCTAACACAGACTGTATACAGATGGACAATGCTAACACAGACTGTATACAGATGGACAATGCTAACATAGACTGTATACAGATGGACAATGCTAACATAGACTGTATACAGATGGACAATGCTAACATAGACTGTGTACAGAATAGCCATATCAAGTGTGTAAATGTATAAAGAGTAGACGCTGCAATGGCTACTGGGGCACGAGAAATGCGGCTGCCATCTTGGACCGATCACCCTACAGTGCGATGCCTGAGCACTGTGCGGCGTATTAAGATTAAGATGAAGAGATCCTTTATTTGTCCCACAGTGGGAAAATTTTTGTGTTGCATCACAAGTTATAGAACAGTAGGAAAGAGGAGCACACGGCACTAGATAAGTGAACACATAAGTGTTTCACTTATTGCTTAATTTTCCATAAATTTCACCCTAACTTTAAAAAAAAAGTATATATACACTACATTGTGTGTTTTGCAAAATACCTATCATACATCAGAATATTCGATTACTGTTACACCAACTATGAATATTAATGTACGCCAAACCATGTGTCTTGTATCATAGCTGCATGCGTGACGTTTAAAGTAAAAACGCCTGAAAATCAGTTAAGTATTCAGCGAGTCAGCGCAGGTAGAAGCAGTAGATAAGGCGTCTACTTTTTATATGTCTGTGATACACAGATGGGCAACGGCGCTGCTGTGTTTGTGGCTGTACGCGGACTATATTTCAGAATAAATTTACTCCACTTGATACGAGCGGCTGCTACAGCTGCACACGCTCAGACATCAGCTGAAACAGCAGTACAGATGGTAACGCGCTAACTAAATGCTAACATAAACAGTCTGGTCTCAGTCCTGGTTCTGTTGCTGGTCCTGGTCTCTGTCCTGGACTCACGTCTCTGCTGGGGTTCTGCTGATCACGTCGATGACATAAGCTCCAGACGTCACATCAGGGATGTCTACCTGTCGCTCCTTCAGCTCCTTCCACAGACTATAACACACATAGTATAAGACCAGGAAAAGACCAGGGAAAGACCAAAGAGAGACCAGAGGAGTCTCACCGAGGTGTGAGGCTCATCATTCTGACTCCAATGTATTTTTTCTTCGGAGAGGATTGTCCTGAAAAAAGAAAGGAATCACATGTGTGTCCTGGCACTGGTCCTGGTTTCACTCCTGGTGCTGGTCCTGGTCTCACTCCTGCTCCTGGTCCAGGTCTTACCTTTGGCCTGGCGTTCCTGAGCTTCTGAGAGAAACTGTTGAATTTTGTCGGAGGGAATCGCGAAGGAGATTCCAGCGGTGACTTTCAATGTGTTTATCCCGATCACCTCCCCGTCCTGAGGAGACCAGAGTGAGACCAGAGACAAGAGGGAGACCAGAGACCAGAGACCAAAGGGGGACCAGAGACCAGAGACAATAGGGAGACCGGAGACCAGAGTGAGACCAGAGACCAGAGAGAAGGTCCCGAGAGAGACTGCAGAGAGACCAGAAAGAGATCAGAGAGAGACCAGAGAGAGGCCAGAGAGAGACCAGAGAGAGGCCAGAGAGAGACCAGAGAGAGGCCAGAGAGACCAGAGAGAGGCCAGAGAGACCAGAGAGAGGCCAGAGAAAGACCAGAGAGAGGCCAGAGAGAGACCAGAGAGAGGCCAGAGAGACCAGAGAGAGACCAGAGGGAGACCAGAGAGAGGCCAGAGAGACCAGAGAGAGGCCAGAGAGACCAGAGAGAGACCAGAGAGAGACCAGAGAGAGGCCAGAGAGAGGCCAGAGAGAGGCCAGAGAGAGGCCAGAGAGAGGCCAGAGAGAGGCCAGAGAGAGGCCAGAGAGAGGCCAGAGAGAGGCCAGAGAGAGGCCAGAGAGAGGCCAGAGAGAGAGACCAGAGAGAGGCCAGAGAGACCAGAGAGAGACCAGAGAGAGACCAGAGAGAGGCCAGAGAGAGACCAGAGAGAGGCCAGAGAGAGGCCAGAGAGAGGCCAGAGAGAGACCAGAGAGAGACCAGAGAGAGGCCAGAGAGACCAGAGAGAGACCAGAGAGAGACCAGAGAGAGACCAGAGAGAGGCCAGAGAGAGGCCAGAGAGACCAGAGAGAGATCAGAGAGAGACCAGAGAGAGACCAGAGAGAGATCAGAGAGAGACCAGAGAGAGACCAGAGAGAGATCAGAGAGAGACCAAAGAGAGATCAGAGAGAGACCAAAGAGAGAGAATAACATAAAAAGGGACCAGTTCCTCCTCTTGGAGCGTTATTGACTCTTTCAAACATTTTCCACAACAGCCCAAACTCTGAGCTTCAATCACCCAAACACAGCTCCACGGCTCGCTACGCTGTCATTATAAACTGTGTGTGTGTGACGTGTGTGGGTGCGTCTACATTACACTTGAGTGTTTAAGTCGCAAGGCGGGTTAAAGGCCTGACTTCATGTATCTCAGTCTCTCAGAACTGAGGCCTGAGCTCTTGGCACGAAGACCTGCACATCTGAGAGACATTAGAGTTTTCAGCCTGACGTGTGCCGCAGTAGAGGACAGAGGGACACGTCTGGAGACCATTACCCAAAACCGGGTCACACGTGGATCTGCTCTTGACCCAGATCTGAGGATAGTTCACATTACTGACAAAACTATGTCAGTAATGTGACAAGAGAGAGACAAGAGAGAGAGAGAGAGAGAAAGTGATTAGAAAGAGACCAGAGAGAGACCAGAGAGGGTGGGGGACGTCCATAAACACTGGTGTGTGTCCGATCTATTTGACCATATGGGACACCAGTGTGACTGTTGAGACCGAACCTGTTCAGAGACAGCTCAGTACTCACCAAATTCACCAAGGGACCTCCGGAGTTTCCATACTGCAACCAGAGAGAAACATAAGGATCACAGACAGCAGGCATTCCAAAAAATATCATGGCTTTTCATGTTTTTCTTCTGAATGTGAATTTTTTTTATAGCTGGGCAACTTAACTTTCAGACCACAACAAAGCAAGGCAAGGCAAATTTATTTATAAAGCACCATTCATACAGACGCAACCCAGGGTGCTTTACAGGCACAGAGAGAACATTGGCAAACAATAAAACATTATAGGAATAAAAATAAAAAATAAATGAAAAGAAAAATATATATATATATATACATATACACACACACACACATACATACAAACACATACATCCTTATAAATGCATGTACATACGATAAATAATTTCCAAAAGAGCACGGGCTTATGTGAAGGCTGAGGCAAATAGCCATGTTTTAATACCTGGAATAGTTTGCAGTTCATGTGGAAGAGTGTTCCACAGACGAGGAGCATAAAAACTAAATGCTGCTTTGCTCTTTTTGGTCCTGATATTTGGGACACACAGTAAACCCGTCCCAGATGACCTTAGGACCCTCTCGTTTTCATATGGAACAAGCATATCTTGTTATGATCAATTTTTTTTTTATTTGTGAGGACTCTTGCTGCTGCATTTTGAATCAGCTGCAGCCGTTGTATGGACTTTTTGCTGAGCCCTGTAAAAGTACCATTGCAATAATCCAATCTGCTAAAGATAAAAGCATGCATAAGTTTTTCAAGATCTTGCTTAGTAAGACAGTGTTTAACTCTAGCTATGTTTTTAAGGTTATAAAAAGCAGATTTGGTGATGGTGTTAACGTGTTTGGTGAAATTTAAATCCGAATCAACAATTACACCAAGATTTTTTTTACTTTGTTTGATATTTGTAACGACAAGGAGTCTAGATATATATTAACTTTGGAACGTTCGTGTTTAGGTCCAAAGACAATAACTTCTGTCTTCTCTGCGTTAAGCTGAAGAAAGTTTTGACCTGTCCATTCTCTGACATGATGCAATGTTTGCAGTGGACTTAAATCCTGAGAAGATACAGAAATACAGTATATAGCTGTGTGTCATCAGCATATGTATGATATGAGATGTAGAAATTCATGATCTGAGTCAGGGGCAACATATGGATATAAAACAAATGTGGGCCCAGTATGGACCCCTGTGGCACTCCACATGTTATCTTTGTTTTTGCAGACTCGTAGCTGTCGGTAGACACGTAAAACTCCCTATTTTTTAAGTAGGACTTAAACCACTGTAGAACATTACCAGTTAGCCCTACCCAATGTTCAAGACTTTCAAGCTAAATTTAATGATCCACCGTATCAAATGCGGCACTAAGATCTAACTTTACCAGCACTGTTTTTCTGGATGCATCATTATTTAGGTGTATGTCATTTAAGACTTTAATTAAGGCAGTCTCGGTTGAGTGAGCTTGACGAAATCCAGTATAACTCTGTCCTTCAATCCATATCTCTAGTTTCTGGATCTAAAGTCCTGGTCTCAGTACTGATTTTGGTCCTTGCCTTAGTCCTGGTCTTAGTCCTAGCCATGGTCCTCGCCTTGGTCTTAGTCCTAGCCATGGTCCTAGCCTTGGTCTTAGTCCCTGTCCTTGTCTTATTCCTGGTCTTAGTCCTGGTCCTGGTCCTAGTCCTGGTTCTAGTTCTGGTCCTGGCTCACGTTGATGATGGCGTCGGTCTGGATGTAGTCCATGTCCGAGTTCCTGAGTCCCAGCTCTCGTCCTCCTCGTTGCGTGGTGCTGACGATCCCTGTGGTCACCGTGTTCTGCAGCGAGAACGGAGACCCGATGGCCACCACGAACTCACCTGGTCTGAGGCCTGACGACCGGCCAAGGACCAGCACCGGCAGCTTCTCCTGTAAGAAGGAACCAGGTGAGAACCAAGAGAGAACCAGGTGAGAACCAGGGCTGAAGAAAAGAGACCAGAGAGAGAGACCAGAGAGAGGGATCAGAAAGAAAGAGATACCAGAGAGAGACACCAGAACCAGAGACTAGAAAGGGAGAGAGAGAGATTAGAGAAAAAGACCAGAGGGGGATCAGAGAGAGAGAAAGCAGAGCGATATAGCAGAGAGAGAGACCAGAGAGAGTGACCAGGAATAGAGACCAAGAGAGGCCAAGTTAGCAATCAGTGATTGTTTTCCCTTTTCATAAACTGCTACTGAGAAAAAGCCACTGAGATACAACATCCAATCTTAAGGTGTCCCACAGGGGTCAGTATTGGGCCCAAAAGTCTTCCCTTTTATTCTACTGTGTCCTGTATCTGACCCAGATCTGGTTCAGCCCTAAATCCTTTGAGTGCAGCTGTCACTCACCCAGAGCCTCATCAGACATTATGTTTCCATTTCTAACTGAGGTTTTATTGGTTGTAACTTGTTTAAGAGTCAACAGTTAATCCTGATGCCCCACCCTTGCCCCAGAGACTACGTCACGTCATGTTCTCTGGCCCAAAACACCAAAGAGACCAGAAAGACCAGAGAGAGACCAGAGAGAGTCCAGAGAGAGACCAGAGAGAGACCAGAGAGAGACCAGAGAGAGACCAGAGAGACCAGAGAGACCACATCTGGATTAAAAAAGACAACAACCAGATGAAGAGTCCAGGGTTCAGTTCATCAGTTCAACATGTGTCTGACTCAGGCTTTGATCCTGTTTTCAAAGTTGTTTCTTTTATTTCGTTTTTATTGATGAAATGTGTGGAGACTGTCATGTTGTACGACAAACACATGTGGTGTCTGTAATTTAATGAAATGGATCTGGGTCATCAAATATCTGCTCCATATTCCAACGCAGGACTAAAGCAGGACTAAAAAAGGACTATAGCAGCTCTAAATAAGGTCTAGAGGAGGTCTAAAGCAGGACTAAAGAAGGTCTAAAACAGGTCACTCACTGGAGCCTCAATCTTGATCAGAGCGATGTCAGCTTTCTCGTCCACATCTTTGATCTTGGCGTCGTATGTGGTTCCGTTCTTGAGTTCCACCTGCAGGACACACATGGAACAGCGTCAGACCTCTGAGACTATGACTTCAAACTAGACTCATCTGGACTCTCTGGTCTCTCTCTGGTCTCTCTCTGGTCTCTCTCTGGTCTCTCTCTGGTCTCTCTCTGGTCTCTCTCTGGTCTCTCTCTGGTCTCTCTCTGGTCTCTCTCTGGTCTCTCTCTGGTCTCTCTCTGGTCTCTCTCTGGTCTCTCTCTGGTCTCTCTCTGGTCTCTCTCTGGTCTCTCTCTGGTCTCTCTCTGGTCTCTCTCTAGTCCCTCTCTGGTCTCTCTCTGGTCTCTCTCTGGTCTCTCTCTAGTCCCTCTCTGGTCACTCTCTGGTCCCTCACTGGTCTCACTCTGGTCTCTCTGTACCTTGACTCTGTGTTTGTTAGTGACCACGTGGGCGTTGGTGACGATGAGACCATCTTCTGCCACGATGAACCCAGAGCCACTGGCCACCGCCACCTCCCGCTTGGAGAACATCAGCCTGAAACACCAGGAGCAAAGTGACCGAGTGCACAGAGTCCAATCCAGGTTATCACTGAGAGATTTGATATGTGTATCTTTAATTTAAATGTACTGTGATTATTTATGCTTTGAATGCTAACTTTTTTGTTTAGCACTGTCTTGTGTATAAATTGTGCTAAACATATAAACTTGACTTGCCTTGCCTAAATCAGGTCTAAAGTAGGACTAAAGCAGGTCTACAGCAGGTCTGAAGCAGGACTAAAGCAGGAAAAAAGCAGATCTAAAGCAGGACTAAATCAGGTCTAAAGTAGGACTAAAGCAGGTCTAAAGCAGGTCTGAAGCAGGAAAAAAGCAGGTCTAAAGCAGGTCTAAAGCAGGACTAAAGCAGGACTAAAGCAGGTCTAAAGCAGGACTAAAGCAGGTCTAAAGCAGGACTAAAGCAGGACTAAAGCAGGTCTACAGCAGGACTAAAGCAGGACTAAAGCAGGACTAAAGCAGGTCTAAAGCAGGACTAAAGCAGGACTAGTGCTGTAGACCTGCTTTAGTCCTACTTTAGTCCTACTTTAGCAGGACTAAAGCAGGTCTACAGAAGGTCTGAAGCAGGACTAAAGCAGGACTAAAGCAGGTCTAAAGCAGGACTAAAGCAGGACTAGAGCAGGGAAAAAGCAAGTCTAAAGCAGGACTAAAGCAGGACTAAACTAGGTCTAAAGCAGGACTAAACTAGGTCTAAAGCAGGACTAACACAGGCCCCCCTCCCTCCGGATGTTTGAATATTCAGTGAGAACATCCAAATGGCGTGTGTGCGTTTCCAGAGCAACACAAACATGTTTGGTCACCAAGGGACCGGCTAAGTTTAACAATGTTTTTCACTGCGTTTAGTCATTCTGCAAAAATGTACTGATTATGATGAGGAGGGGATCAAAACCAGGACTGAGCTGGGTCTGGACCAGGTCCGGACCAGGTCCGGACCAGGTCTGGAGCAGGACTTTGGATGCACAATGTAAATGGGTGATTATCTGTGACGGGTGCCTTTTGGGTAAAATGACCAAAAATGATTGCATTTCTGACCATTGCATCTGACAAAAGAGTATTTGAACCTCTGGTAAAATACTGTTTCCCACCTTGGACTTGGAATACCAAATATTACTAGGAATTTGCAATGCTTTTTGTCACGGGGTTGAAGATTCTAGCTAAAAGTAGCCAGATCTCCCTTGTTAGCAAACATGTTAGTACCACATGGCATTTGGTGAAATTGAATATACTTTTCCACACAGTTGTTTGAGTCGTCCTAAACAATATCTAAATATCGTTTATCTGTATAACAGAGTTGAAAGGTTGAGTATGGATAAAAATGTATGCCAATAATTACTTCTCTTCACAGTATGACTTTGAAAAGACTTTGAGTAAGTAACTTTGTGAAGGTTGAGAATGTTGGACTGAACAATTTATTTTCAAAAAGGGTGGAAGTGGGGTTGAACAAACTTGGGGGACATGACTACAAAGTACCATTTCATGAAAAAAAAAACATGAATTCTTTTCAGTTTTATTTTATTTTAGTTAATGGCAATTTATATATGTTTTAGATTGAATGAAAAAGTAACTTTGGTCACTGGGGACATGCATTTTTGTCTGCCATCTGATAATCAGCGACCCATAAATAAGTGGAAAATGTATTTGTTTCAAATATTTTCTTGTGTTCTATGCAAATACACTTTCGTTTCTTTCTGTTTCTTGGTTAAAATTCATTTTATTGGTAACTTTATTTTTCAATCTTTGCGTTAAACCTGCGTTAACCTCTGGGATACAAAAGGCACCGGTTACAGAGAATCACCCAAACGTTGGACCTGGACCAATGAAAGACAACAGGTTGTATTCATGTGACATCAATATGATCCATAAATTCTATAATTTTACTGTCTCTGGTCTCTCTCTTTGGTCTCTCTCTCTGGTCTCTCTCTCTGGTCTCTCTCTCTGGTCTCTCTCTCTGGTCTCTCTCTCTGGTCTCTCTCTCTGGTCTCTCTCTCTGGTCTCTCTCTCTGGTCTCTCTCTCTGGTCTCTCTTTCTGGTCTCTCTCTCTGGTCTTCTCTGGTCTCTCTGTCCTTCAAACACCACCAGGAAACAGAGGAAAGGAGCACCTCAGGGCTGTGCACTGGGTTCATTGATATGTAAAACTTTTAAAAGCAGGTCTAAAGCGGGTCTAAAATAGGACTAAAGCAGGTCTAAAACAAGACTAAAGCAGGTCTAAAACAGGTCCCTTACTTGCGGTACAGCTCGATGTGGACGACGGCTGGAGCAATCTTCTCCACTACGTCAGCAATGAAGTTGTATTTGAAGCGGAGACTGTCCTCATGCAGCAGCTCTGAGAAACAGGAGACAGGAGTGAGACAAGAGCAGGACAAGAGCTCAACATGGGGGGGGGGGGATGCTTTTCTTCTGCAGGGTCAGGGAGTACTGTAAACATTGAAGGGAATATGAATGGAGCCAGAAAGTGTCTGGGGACATTTGAACCTTTTTCCAAACCCACAGTACGAAAGCCTCTCTCTCTCTGGTCCCTCTTTATGGTTGTTCTCTCTGGTCTCTCTCTCTGGTCTCTCCCCTTTGGTCCCTCTCTCTGATCTTTCTCTGGACTCTCTCCCTGGTCTCTCTCTCTCTCTGGTCTGTCTCTCTCTGGTCTCTCACCCTGTTCTCTCTAATCTCTCTCAGCTGTGGTCCGTGTCAAACGCTCCTCTCTCTCTTCAGACTGTTTTTCTGAGTCACGTTAAATATTTGAAACTTTCAGGAGAGAATGAGAATCAGATGAAGCAGAGGAGGATCTGTTCCTGTTTGCAGACTTTAACAACGTGTGACGGACAGAGAACAGATGTGCAGGGGGCGTGGCTTCAGTCAGGAGGGCGGGGCTTCCATCAGGCGACAGCAGTGAAATATAGAAAGGAGGGATAACTCGAGAAGCTGTTTCAGATCACACACATCAGAACTAAACACTTAAATCTGGAATTAAAGCTCTGCGACGTAACACAACGCCCAAACTCTGGTTATGTGGTCGGTATCGGGCCCCCAAGGACTCTGTTGCCTGGGGCCCCGGGGTACCCTTGGAACGCCACTGGATAAGTGCAGGGTCAGACCAGGAACAGGTCTGAACCAGGACATGACCTGGACTGAACCTGGACAAAACCAGGTCAAGGATGAGACTAAACCAGGACTAGACAGGTCTGAACCAGGACTGAACCAGGACTCAATCAGGACCAGGTCTGGCTTCACAGCCTCATGGGAAGGTCCAGGTCTGGTCCTGAACCTGATCCCATGATAGTTTTATTTAAGACAAACTTCTGAAACGTTGTGAGTGCGCGTGCATGTACAAGACTCACCTCCCGTGCACGCGCCTCTCTGCTGTGCGCGCGCCCTCAGTTCGCAGATGTTGCGGTACTTTCTCCCATCTCTCCCGCAGACCTGTTCCGTGCTCGCGCACGCGCATGTGCCCAGCGACCCTCTGCGTCTCACTGTCGCGGACACCTGCACGGCTCCTGACAGGAACGTGCAGCGCGTGCCCTCCGCGCAGTCTGCGTCTGTCGCGCACGTGTCCCCTTCGCCGCTTGTGCACACGGGACAGCACGCACACTTGTCCAACTTGTCAGCGCGCACGCAATCCGAGGGCAGAGGCGTGCACGCGGACGTGTCACACTTCTCTGGACACGGGAGCTCGCGTCTGTCTCTGCTGCCCTGAGCGCGCGCCAGAAGGAGCACGATGAGCGGCAGGAGGAGCGGGGACGTGCGCATTATGAGAGCCTGAAGAAGAGGAGATTGAAGAGTGATGAAGAGGAGGCTGTGGAGTCTGTCAGAGATGAAGAGGAGAGTGTGAAGAGGGTTGGAGCTCACGCGGTTATAAAGACTACGGAGTAAACACGGGCTGTGATTGGACGAGGGCACTATGACGTCAGAGGTTCATCCTTAACTCTGAACAAACTTTTACTGTTGTCTGTGAGAGACCAGAGAGACCAGATATCACAGAGACCAGAGACCAAAGAGACCAGAGACCTTTTATAGACACATTAGACACATGTTCAGGCCTGAAACAGGGTTGGACAAGGTCTGGACCAGATCTGAACCAGGTCTGAAATGTTTTCTTCTTCTACTTCACAAAACATGTCTGAGGCAGAAGAGCAGTGGGGTTAGGGTTAGTGTTGGTCTCCTCTGTCCACAGCATGATGCTCCCCCTCCTCCACTACAGCCTCAGTTTAAATTAAAGGGGATAGACTCGGGTTATAGTCCTAGGACTGATCCCAGATCAGCCTGTGTCGTACAGAGTGACATCACCAGCACAGGGGCATACTGGGAAACGTGGTTACATCACAGATGGAAAGTATTGACGAGTGTGTTCTAACCCGGCAGGTTACACAACGAGCCGATAGCACCTGCCCCAGGACAGACCTGTCTCTGACCAAGTCAATTCAGCAAACAGTGGATCTTTCTTCCTTCACGATTCTTGGTTGATGAGCTAGAACATAGACAGGGGTTGAGTCCACAGCATTTTGGCTCTGATGAACAAGGACATGGAGACGAGACAGGATGAAGACTACGGACCAGGACCACGGCCAAGACCAGGACCAAGACCAGAGCCAAAAGCAGAGCCAAGACCAGAGCCAAGACCAGGACCAGGACGTGGTTCAGGACCAAGACCAGGTCCTGGTCCTGGTCTCGTGCTGCTGCAGGAGTCCAGCTGCTGTTTCTCTTATGTAACTTTGAGTTTGATAAATGCAACTATTCCACTGGAACAGAACACAACGTGACGCAGACTCCAGATTTATACTGACAGCTCTAAAGCAGGTCTAAAGCAGCTCTAAAGCAGGACTAAAGCAGCTCTAAAGCAGGTCTAAAGCAGGTCTAAAGCAGGACTAAAGCAGGACTAAAGCAGGTCTAAAGCGGGACTAAAGCAGGTCTAAAGCACGACTAAAGAAGGACTAAAGCAGGTCTAAAGCAGGACTAAAGCAGGACTAAAGCAGGTCTAAAGCAGGACTAAAGCAGGTCTAAAGTAGGACTAAAGCAGGACTAAAGCAGGTCTAAAGCAGGACTAAAGCAGGTCTAAAGCAGGACTAAAGCAGGACTAAAGCAGGTCTAAAGCAGGACTAAAGAAGGACTAAAGCAGGTCTAAAGCAGGACTAAAGCAGGTCTAAAGCAGGACTAAAGCAGGTCTAAAGCAGGACTAAAGCAGGACTAAAGCAGGTCTAAAGCAGGTCTAAACAGGTATAAAGCAGGTCTAAAACAGGACTAAACCAAAGCAGGTCTAAAACAGGATTAAACCAGGTCTAAAGCAGGATATAACGGGACTGAACCAGGTTTAACCCTATCTAGACAAGGATTTTTTGGGCTTCCTGGTAGGGGGGGGGGGGGTCCAATTGAGTCATCTCAATTGGACTGTTTCAGTGGCTCAGACTGCTTAAAAGCTCAAGACCATTTCTGAATGGCAACTTAAATTACGTCATAAAATGACATCATGAATGTGGTAAAGTTCCATAACTTCCCAGTAAACGTAAACTAAGTTTTTAGCACATGGTAAACTACAACTAAATTTGCAGAGCATGATGTTCAAACATGTAATCATCACACATACATAATCATTACATAATTGATATAGATATATTGACGTCACCAAATTAGCATAAATCCACTCCAATTAATTAAGCTGACATTTGGTTTAGTAAAGTTATGTTAATATAATGGAATACGTTATGTTTGGGTCAGATATACCTGTCAGACAACCGTTGCCATGGATACGGAACAAATCCTTGAATTAAGCTTTTGGTGAACAAATTTAGTCATCAACATTTTCGGAAAAGTTACCAAGTTTCATAGTTCTATCAATAGTTGTGAAGATATTATACCACGAGAAAGTTAGCGCTCACTTTTAGCCGTTCTTGGTATAGACAGGGTTACATTAGGTCTGTCTACTGTCTGCGTAGGTTTCCTCCGGGTACTCCGGTTTCCCCTACCACTAAAAATATGTACAATAGGTGTGGCACGCGCCTACTGTTCGGCGACCCCGCTCCCATCTCTGTGTGGAGTGAGAGACAAGTGCCCAAAAAATAACAATTGTAAACCGCTTTGTGACTCTGGTCTGTGAAAGGCGGTATATAAATAAAGCTTACTTACTTACTAGGTCTAAAGCAGAACTGAACCAGGTCTGAAGCAGGTCTAAAGCAGGACTAAAGCAGGACTAAAGCACGTCTAGCCCTGCCTTTAGCCATCCGTAAACTCCGGTCAATTATTATTTCCCTTAGTACGAAATGAAATATGTTCGATGGTATGGTAAGACCAGGTTAAACCAGGACTAAGCAGGTCTACTAGAGCAGGAAAGAAACAGGACTAAAGTAGGTTTCAAGAAGGTCTAAAGCAGGACTATATAGCAGGTCTAAAGCAGGACTATACATAGTTCCCACAGACCAATGAATGTCACATGACCTCCTCGGAGACGCCATCTTTGATGGCACGCTGCTGTGTTTGTGCATTCCATTAAACAGAAGAATGAGAATAAATGTAGATATTCAAACGCAAATTGGAAAAAAAAGGGCAACTTTTGAGCAAATAATTGTATATTAATACAATGGCACCACAGTTTAACGTGCTACGGACATGTTTTACATATTTGATCAAATTATGCAGCAAAAATTAACAAGCAATGCAAACATTTCTCAAAAACTTTAGATTTAATACCAGTTGGAGCTCCATTTAATTATTTTAATTATATTAACAATTAATTTAATTAATGCTAATGCCACACGGACACTCTGGATTGCTGTTATTGTTTATTTCCGCGTTTTTGACCGTATGTTTTGGTGAATGGTGGGCAACTGATTTTTCCAGGCGTAAAGAGCAGTTTATTTTATGACACAGATCTTTTTACAGAAGCAATGCTGTTTGTGAACATTGTTTTAGCCCACCATAGAACTATTATTATCTATTTAATACATTTACGTTGCCCTCGAGAGCCTCGGACGCGACACCGATCCTCCTCATAATAAAGTAATCTAACGCTAAATAATTAAACTCTCAAGTTACCAGATATCAGCATACACAAGTTAGTACTGAGTAAATTACGTCTGTCAACACATTATAAGATACGATACGCACCTGACACAAAGTGCTCCGAGCATATTCTTGCGTGTTTTGAGGGAGTTTCTTGCCTGTTTATCTTCGCAAGCCATAACCTCCGTGGTTGTTCTGACAAAAGCTTAGTCTTCTCACATTCATGAAGTCTAATGATGGGTATACTGTAAAATCCAAGTTTAACGGAACCTCCGGCACGATTTGAACATCCATTGACCCAGCAGGAGAGAGACCATTTTCAACTTTATCACGACATTAACACGTTTCAGCTTCTTTTTCTATTGTTTTGCCCACAGCATGCCAATACAAATGGCGCCGGGTCGGCAAATCCCCGTATGTAGTGACGTCATGTGGGAACTATGTATAGAACAGTAGAAAAAGTACTCGCATATAATTTTCTCAAAAGCATTTTAATAAATATGTTTTTACATCATGACGTTTGGACAGAAACAGTTACAAATATATCTGCAGTAAAATCAGAAATCAATCAAAAGTTTTCAAACACCGCGAGAGTTCAGCCTTTGGTTCAAACAGCGCTCGATCACATGTTGATCGAGCGCTGGTTTAAGTCGCCCTCTTGTGGACGAGAAGGCTCATTGCTTTGAGTCTTGGAACTGAGATATATATCTTTGGGGAAACTCGCTTGGTTTTTGGCACTTTTCACATCAAACTGCATCTCAACCATTTGGTAAAGGCCTAAAAATAAAAAAATATATATATCAAAAACTTTATTTGTGTTATTAGTGTCCTACATCTTAGAAAAAAGACAATATATTGCTTTCTTCAAGGACTGAACATTAAAGGGTTAAGAGGCCGAGACCAGTACCAACCCAAGGGTAAAGCAGGTCTAAACCAAGCCAAACCAGGACTAAACAAGGTCTAAAGCAGGTAAGAGGTAAGTAGTTTGAAAATTCCACATTTAAAAACATGTACTTTTTCAACCTGAAGTGACTTTGAAATACTCCACAGAGAGGGAGAGACCAGAGAGAGGCTAGAGGGAGAGAGACCAGAGAGGCCCGAGGGAGAGAGACCAGTGAGAGTGACCAGAGAGAGAGACCAGAGAGAGGCCAAAAAGAGACCAGAGAGAGCCATTACTTCAGGCCACTGACTCGAATAGGCGTCATTACAATGAACGTTTATATTTTATGTGTTTACATGTGGGAACAGCGCGGTAACCACGGAAACGCCCTCACATTAGCGTGGTCTGCAGGTTGTCGCAACCCCGATTTTTCCACGGCGATGCCTCTGTCACGGTGTTGCTGCAGTCGCCTGGATGACCGTCTCCGGGAGCGACAGGCGGTGACGCTGTCTCCACGGCAACAGCCCCAGGAAGTGGATTGGGTCCGGAGAGGGCGGGGTCAGCGTGCAGGTAGAAGGTGGAGGCGGAATCAGAGTCCTGGAGGGAGACAGGAAGTGAGCACACAGCAGGGGATTCTGGGAAATGTTGCCAGAACTGTTTACTGTTTCCATGGAAACAGAATAAAAGGTGGGTTCAGAGTGGTCTCCATGGAAACGTACAGAGAAGTGTACAGGAAGGGATAGCAGCACACCACGTCACTGCAGCAGAGACAGTAGATGGAACACAAGAGTGTTTAGAAACAGAAACGAGATCAGAGGAGCATTTGCGTTAGCATTAGCATTAGTTATGGTAACGACGGATTTATTCTAAAGTGGTGTGTGCTATTTTGAAGGGACGAGGTGGAAGCAGTTGTGATGATGATGATGATGACAACGATGATGATGTGTTTGGACGTACGTGGGGAGCAGGCTGCATAGCGGAGTGTACCGCTCCAAACAAGGAGTGGACAGACGCCAACAACGCACCTGAAACAAAAGAGCCCTGAGAGTCACTTTTTGACTCTTTGGGCTGATTGGCTGAGGCAGGAGGGGGTCTGGACCAGGACTTTAGCTGCAGATGATTCGAACTTTGACTTTAAAAATAAAGTGTGTTCAGTAAAAAACTATGAAGCGACGTGTGTCAGAAGAAAACAGAGAAGAAAGAGTTTAAGTCTGAAGGAAATATTATACTACTGCTACTATGTCTACTCTCCCGGGTCTCTCCCTGGTTTCTCCCTGGTCTCTCCCTGGTCTCTCCCTGGTCTCTCCCTGGTCTCTCACATGGTTCCCAGCTCGTCCTGGTCCTCTCTGGGCCACGATGGCTCCGGACAGTGCTTTGACCCAGCTGTGCATCTCCTCTGGGCTGTCAGCCTGAAGACAAGAGACTTAGTGTTAATCCTGATGGTTTAATCTCAGGTACGTAACGTTAGTGTGAGACATAGCCCTGTGAGTCACTATCTGCCTCTTTGGGCTCAGGCTGAGTGAGGGTGGTTCAATCAACTCTCCGCCCAAAGAGGCAGATAGTGACTCACAGGGATCATACCTGGATGTAGAAAGTCCGGTATGCAGTCACCAACTCGAACAAGTTGTCTCTCATCATGGGATCACTGCAGGGAAAAGAATCTCCTCAGTCCTGGGTCTACAGCCTCAGCACTAGGTCTACAGCCTCAGTCCTGGGTCTACAGCCTCAGTCCTGGGTCTTGGGTCTTGGGTCTTACCTGTGTTTACACTCCTGCACAGTGAGGATCTCCTTCAAAGGAATGGCCCTCAGTGGCTCCCGCTCCTGCAAAGACCAATGTCACTACAGCTTTTAACATGTATGTAAGGTCCTGGCCCTGGTCTCAGTCCTGGTCTCAGTCCTGGTCTCAGTCCTGGTCTTAGTCGTGCATTTAGAGTTGCAGCCTGTGAGCGAACAGGCTGAGACCTGCTGAGGTATTCAAAATATGTACTCTAGTCAGAACAGAGACCAGAGCGAGACCAGAGACCAGAGGGAGACCAGAAAGAGACCAGAGGGAGACCAGAAAGAGACCAGAAAGAGAGCAGAGAGAGAGCAGAGGGAGACCAGAGGGAAACCAGAGAGAGACCAGATAAAACACTTAGTTTCTCACCAGATCTGACTTGTAGTAACTCAGAGTGTGTGTATCCAGCAGGAAGTATCTCCTTTTCCATGTCTTCATCTGAAAGAGATACAAGTGATGTCACCACCTGGAGCTCGCACTGCGGCTTGGGTCTTGGTCCTGGTCTCGATCCTGGTCTCACCACTGCTCCCTGTTTGACGCAGAATCCAGCCTTGGTGACGTTCTGGTCCTGAGCTCGTCTGGACAGGAAGTACGGCAGCTGAGACGGAGGCTTCTTCCTGTCTGCACCATTTACACCATTTGACTCCTACAGAGAACACTGAGGGTACTGATGGAAATGATAGTAATGATGGTACTGGTCTCTCTGGTCTAGCTGGTCTATCTGATCACTGGTCTCTGATCACTGGACTCTGTCTCTCTCTGGCCTCTCTCATGGTCTCTCTCTGGTCTCTCTCTGGTCTCTCTCTGGTCTCTCTCTGGTCTCTCTCTGGTCTCTCTCTGGTACCTGTGTGGCAGTGATGATGGGCACTCCTCCGATGATCTCTGTCTTGGTGGAGACCTGTTTTGATGCTAACAGCTCAGCTCCAGAAGGGGGCGCACTCTCCCCAAGCCGCGGCACCTGGACCAGAATAAGAACCTCCATGTAACTATCAATATAACCCTGGTTCTATGAGTGATTTGAGTCCAGTCCTGGTCCTTGTCTTGGTCTTGTCTGGTACTGGTCTGGTCTTAGTTCTGGTCTTGTCCTGGTCCTGGTGCTGGTCCCGGTCTCACTGTGATCTTTGATGCGTTATTGAGGACACTGATCCACTCCATCAGGTCTTGTTGGTCGTTGGCCTGAAGGTAGAACTTCCTCATACCAGCGTTTACCACTGAAACCATAAAGCAGAAAGCTACAGAGACCAGAGGGGGATCAGAGAGAGACCAGAGAGAGATCAGAGAGAGACAGTACTGAAAGCTGTAGCAGCAACAGCTGTCTGTATGTCTCACCAAAGCAGAACTCCGTCTTGGGACGTAATTTGGAGGCATCGTTCACCTGCAGAGACCAAAATTAGACCAGAAAGAGAGAGACCAAAGAGAGAGAGAGACCAGAAAGAGAGACCAGAGAAAGCCCAGAGAGAGAGACCAGAGAGATGTGCTGTATGTGTGCACTGACCATGGAGATGTAGGAGAGGTTTAGAGAGCCCACATGCTCAGCTCCTTCTGGAAGATTCTTAAACACAAATAATGTTTTACACACAACAACATCAGTAGTAGTAGTAGAAGCAGTAGTTGTAGCAGTAGTAGCAGTAGTAATAGCAGTAGTTGTAGCAGTAGTACCTGTGGGTTGTCCATGTACCACAGTAGAGTCCCTTGGTCTGAGTCCAGGACAAAGTATCGTCTGTAGAAGCGGCCGCTCAGCTCCTGCTCCTCGATGTCCAGGAACCCACAGATCCGGTTCAGCCGGTCCACGTATGGCATGGTGACCAGGGGCCTCTAGGAGCTTTCCGAGGCCTTTAGGAGCCTTCAAGAGCCTTTGGCGCCTCCAGGAACATTCAGGGGCCTTCAAAGGCCTCCAGGAACCTCCAGGAGCCTTCTGGAGCCCTAAGAGGAAATCCTTATGAGTCACTATTTGACTGTTTGGGCTGAGTTATCCAGTGGCCTTCAAGGGCCTTTGGGGGCCTTCAGGGGCCTTTGAAGGCCTTCAGGGGCCTCCAGTAGACTTCAGGGGCCTTCACGAGCCTTCAGGAGCCTCCAGGAAGAGCTGAACCGGGATTGCAGGTACTGAAGACAGACCCCAGCTGGGGCTCTGCACTGAGGACTGAAGAGAGAAACTGTTACTGATCACAGGAAATTACGAGGGCACAGAACACAGCCCTGTAGTACTCCTGTAGTACTCCTGTAGTACTCCTGTAGTACTCCTGTAGTACTCCTGTAGTACTCCTGTAGTACTACTGTAGTACTACTGTAGTACTCTTGTAGTACTACTGTAGTACTCCTGTAGTACTCTTGTAGTACTACTGTAGTACTCCTGTAGTACTCCTGTAGTACTACTGTAGTACTACTGTATTACTACTGTAGTACTCTTGTAGTGCTACTGTAGTACTCTTGTAGTACTCCTGTAGTACTACTGTAGTACTCCTGTAGTACTATTGTTGTACTCCTGTAGTACTCCTGTAGTACTCCTGTAGTGCTACTGTAGTACTCCTGTAGTACTATTGTTGTACTCCTGTAGTACTCCTGTAGTACTCCTGTAGTACTCCTGTAGTACTATTGTTGTACTCCTGTAGTACTATTGTTGTACTCCTGTAGTACTCCTGTAGTACTCTTGTAGTACTCCTGTAGTACTACTGTAGTACTCCTGTAGTACTATTGTTGTACTCCTGTAGTACTCCTGTAGTACTCCTGTAGTACTCCTGTAGTGCTACTGTAGTCCTACAGTAGTACTACTGTAGCACTACAGTAGTACTACTGTATTACTACTGTATTACTACTGTATTAATACTGTAGTGCTACTGTTTGCAGCTGTGTCACCGTGTGAATGTAAATTCTGAATAGTTTGAAAGTTTGTCATAAAGAGGTGTGGGGAGTCAGCTGACAGGTGCACGGAGAGCACAGACACTGCACAGACACTGCACAGACACTGCACAGACACTGCACAGACACTGCACAGACACTGCACAGACACTGCACAGACACTGCCTCACACAGACACAAGAAGTCCTCCATTTGTGTTTGCACTGGTGCCATTATCACATCACACTCCACAGTAAAGCTCAGGTACCTAACTTCCAAACAGAGTCAAATAGTGACTCACAGGGATTTAAACATGTCTTATTTATGATAATAAAGTTTGAGACCCCAGCTTTAACATGTGTTATTGATGAGACTAAAGTTACAGACCCCAGCTTTAATATCAAGTAGAATTGGTGTTAGTCTTCGGTGCTTGTGAGGAACCGCCTCTAGAACTTTACATTGTGGTGACTTAAACAAAATAAACTGGACCTAACCCACAGTAATCTGTACTACTCTGTGTTATTGTGTGTTTTTGTGTGTTTGTGGCTACTTCGGGCGGTTGTTATTGTGTTTCTACTAACTTGCTTCTTAAACCACACACTACATTAGCGTCGCCCTCCCCTGTGTGTCTGCTCGCTGAAGCTCCCGGTGGTCGGAGGTTTTGCGCGTCTCAGGTACTCACTCAGGTCCAGTTCAGGTCCTGTCTCTGCGGGTTCTCTTCGCTTCTGCGGGGAGGAAAGAAAGGTTAATTTGTATATGTAGGAAAAGTAGTTCCGCCTTCGGACGCTGCTGTAAGACAGAGGGGGAGAGAGAGAGAGAGTGAGAGGGGGGGGGGGGGGGGGGGGAGAGCGAGAGGGGGGGGGGAAAGGGGAAGAGAGAGATGGAGGAGGGGGAGGGAGGGAGAGAAAGGGGGGGGGGAGGAGAGAAAGAGAGAGAGGGGGGAGAGAGAGAGCGATGGGGAGGATGAGGGTGGGAGAGAGAGGGGAGGGAAAGGGAGAGGCAGGGGGAAGAGGAGGGAGAGGGGAGTGTGAGAGAAGAGAGTAGAGGAGGAAAATGGTCTCTGGTCTCTCTCGCCTCTCTGTAGTCTCTCTCTGGTCTCTCTCTCTGGTCTCTTCCTGGTCCCTCTTCCTGGTGCCACAGAGGGACTTCCCACTGAACCCTGAATGATGTTACAATAACTGCAGCTTCCTGAAAGTGAAGCCAACAAGGAAGTGAAGAATTCTCCACAAGATACTGTTACAATTATTATCATTATAGTCCTGAATCTACAGCCTCAGTCCTGGGTCTACAGCCTCAGGTCTACAGCCTCAGTGCTGGGTCTACAGCCTCAGTCCTGGGTCTACAACCTCAGGTCTACAGCCTCAGTCCTGGGTCTACAGCCTCAGGTCTACAGCCTCAGTCCTGGGTCTACAGCCTCAGGTCTACAGCCTCAGTGCTGGGCCTACAGCCTCAGTGCTGGGTCTACAGCCTCAGGTCTACAGCCTCAGTCCTGGGTCTACAGCCTCAGGTCTACAGCCTCAGTGCTGGGCCTACAGCCTCAGGTCTACAGCCTCAGTGCTGGGCCTACAGCCTCAGTGCTGGGTCTACAGCCTCAGGTCTACAGCCTCAGGTCTACAGCCTCAGGTCTACAGCCTCAGGTCTACAGCCTCAGGTCTACAGCCTCAGGTCTACAGCCTCAGGTCTACAGCCTCAGGTCTACAGCCTCAGGTCTACAGCCTCAGTCCTGGGTCTACAACCTTTGTCCTGGGTCTGTGATTTGCTGAGACCTGGGCGTCAGGTCTACAGCAGACAGGCGCAATCAGGAAGTGGAAACGTCAAAATAAAACAGACATAAAAACAGTGTAACGTTATGTTAATATATGAACACGTGTGTAAAGGGTTAAGATGAAGCATGACTCTGTTGTGTGACATCACCAAGAAAAATGAATGAATGTGGGTTTGTCTGGTCTTTTAAATATCTGTCTTGTTTATAGACCGCAACAGTCGAACCAGGCTCGAAAACAGTTTACTTTGATCACTGTTGAGGAAATAAGTTATAATAGAGCTCAAGATCCTGGTCATGGTCCTGGCCTTGATCCTGGTCATGGTCCTGTTCCTGGTCTTGGCCTCTGTCACATCTTTAAATCTGCATTTTCAGACAGAAAAGTGAAACTGAAAGGACCAAGAGAACTCACAGAATTTACGTTCCCCGTGTGTTATTAATGAGACTAAAGTTACAGAGTGTTGGTTGCCAGGTTTCTGTCTCTTTAGTGAAGCTTCAGCAGCAGGCGTCTCTCTCACACTGAGCTCTTGTCTTCAGGACGATCTGCTCTGGTTCTGAGCAAATGAAGCATGACTGAAGTGTGCTCTGTTTGGAGCTGGTCTCTGGTCTCTCTCTGGTCTCTCTCTCTGAGAGAATGTAAATGTAAATGTGCACTTTAATGTCCAAGTAGGGAAATTTGTCCTCTGCATTTGACCCATCCTAATGCCACTAGGGCTTACGTCAGGAGCAGTGGTCGCTGTAGTACAGCGCCCGGGGACCCATCTCCAGTTGTTGATACTCGGCTTGAGAATAAGTAAGTAAGTAATCTTTATTCATATACCGCCTTTCACAGACCAGAGTCACAAAGCGGTTTACAATTGTGAGCATTTGTCCACACAGAAGGCGCATTGTACATGTTTTAGTGGTGGGGGAAACCGGAGTACCTGGAGGAAACCTACGCAGACACGGGGAGAACATACAAACTCCACTCAGAAAGACCCTGTTCCGAACTTCTAGGTGAGAAGTGAGAGTGGTATCCACTCAGCCACAGTGCTGCCCAGGATTGGTCAGGACTACCGTAGCTGGAGGATTTTACCATATTTTTAAGTGGTAGGGGAAACCGGAGTACAAGGAGGAAACCTACGTAGACACGGGGTGAACATGCACACTCCACTGAGAAATGCCCTTTTCCGACCGGGATTTGAACCCAGAACCTTCTTGCTGAGAGGCGAGAATGTTAGCCACTCAGCCACCGTGTCTCATCAAGTGTTATGAGACTAAAGTTACAGACCCCAGCTTTAAACATGTGTTATTTATGAGACTAAAGTTACAGACCCCAGCTTTAAACATGTGTTATTTATGAGACTAAAGTTACAGACCCCAGCTTTAAACATGTGTTATTTATGAGACTAAAGGTACAGACCCCAACTTTAAACATGTGTTATTTATGAGACTAAAGTTACAGATCCCAGCTTTAAACATGTGTTATTTATGAGACTAAAGTTACAGATCCCAGCTTTAAACATGTGTTATTTATGAGACTAAAGGAACAGACCCCAGCTTTAAACATGTGTTATTTATGAGACTAAAGTTACAGATCCCAGCTTTAAACATGTGTTATTTATGAGACTAAAGGTACAGACCCCAGCTTTAAACATGTGTTATTTATGAGACTAAAGGTACAGACCCCAGCTTTAAACATGTGTTATTTATGAGACTAAAGGTACAGACCCCAGCTTTAAACATGTGTTATTTATGAGACTAAAGGTACAGACCCCAGCTTTAAACATGTGTTATTTATGAGACTAAAGGTACAGACCCCAGCTTTAAACATGTGTTATTTATGAGACCAAAGTTAGGTACCCCAGCTTTATTCCCCTGGAGCTTCGCCTCCTCACCAGCAGTCTCCTCTCTCCTCTCTCCTCTCTCCTCTCTCCTCTCTCCTCTCTCCTCTCAGAGCCGAGTGTCCTGATGTGTTAGCCGCTTCTTGAGAAGCAATCTGTCTTCTTTTCTCCAAACTCTCCCGGATCCTGATGGAGCTCTGACGTCCACTAGTCCACCCCCCCCCCGGCTCTGTGTCCCCTGGTCCCCGCTCTGGGAGCCCCTTCCCCGGGCCGAGCCTCAGTTCGTGGGTTCCGTTTGTTTGTAGCGCTAGCTCCGATGCTCTCGCTTTCGTGGTTCGAATAAAGTCTCGGATCCTCCAGGCCCAGTCCAAAACCTGGGCTCCTCTAAGACCCAGTCTTTAATGCACCAAGTAAGACACTATCATCACTTCTAAACACAGCTTTTAAATCAAAAATGCAGTTTATTGTATGTTTTGCCTTGTCAATGTGAACCAGTTACAGTTATTGTTAGCATGTTAGCATGTCTCTATCTAGCGCCCATGCTAACAGCTAAAACCGTCTCTTTATGCCTTTTAAACGATCCAGTTTGAAATTGTGTTCATACATCCCAATCCGAATGACCATTTCACTTGCATTGTACTCATAAAACATGTTTCAGCGCCAATGGGAGCGAGTTTCTCGAAGTTCTCAGCTCCAAATGGAAGCTAATTTCGGCTACACTCGGTCAGAAAGCATTCAAACAACTCAAAATGGAAGATTAATATTTGCTCTGTGATTGTAAATTATGACGCCATCTTTGAACAAACAAACAGAGGGTATGTAAACTTCGTTCGATCGGTCAGTTATTGACGTTTACGGGGTGTCAAAGCAACTTTTAGTGCATTTTCTGGGGTTTGTTTTGATTCTGCTGTTGTTCACGGTTCAGGCCTGAGAGCAGAACAGGGACCTAAAGCTGGGGTCCCCAACTTTCTGCTTCATCGACAACATATTTAGTTTGTCCAACAGAAAGAGTCAAATAATGTGAACGAATCAAACCATAACAGTCCGTGTTAGTATGATTTAAAAACAGGTTTTTCTGTGAGTCATTATCTGCCTCTGTGGGCTAAGAGCTGATTGGCTGAGTGGGGGGTTTTCTGTCTGAAGAAAAACTGATCTGAAGTTGTGACAGATATCAGAAATACATGACCTGGACCAAGACCATACTCAGACCTAGACCATACCTGAAACTATAATATATTCTTCTGGATGTCTAAAGCAGAGACAGAACTAAAGACACAGGCTGTAGATTACTTACCACAGCTTTAGCCTTGGTATAAATCCACCATTTCTGTAATAACTGAAAAGATGTGTGATATTTCAGTTCTACAAGATGCTTGTGAATGTGCTTTTGACAGCTATTAAATGTACTGATCGAGGATATCTGCAAATAGGAGTCTGTTTCAAAAGCTTACCTAACATCCACAATACAAACAACTATAATTATTGTTATATTAATGTTGAAAACACTCGTTCCTGGTTCTAAACGAGTTGTATCCCAAAATGTCTTATTTATGTGACGAATGTTACGGACCCCAGCTTTAATCCTTTCTCTCTCCCTGCTTCAGAGAATGAGCCAGACGTCACAATGACCTCCAGATTCGGTAAAACCTACAGCCGTAAAGGAGGCGACGGCGGCTCCAAGTTCGACGAGGTCCTGTCCTCGAAGCGCGGGACTCTGAGCACCAAATGGGGGGACACCAAATACAAGGCCAAAGTGGGGTCCAAGCGCCTCCCAGGACCTGCCAGGGACTGCTCCCCTGAGGCCCTGAAGCGTTCTCGAAGAGGAGGAGGAGGAGGAAGTGAGGACCCCTTCGGCTTTGACAGTGATGAAGAGTCCAAGCCTGTGTCGTCCCGAGCCAAAACCCCGGAGAAGCAGAAGTCTGGGGAGACGTCTCTGAGCTGGGAGAGTGTGATCGGACTGACCAATCAGACGGCCGGTCGGACGGCCAATCAGACAACGACGTGGACGCAAAGGGAGCCCAGGGTCAACCACAGTTCCAACAGTTTAGGTAAGGGATATATGTGGCCTCATTCACACTGAGGGACACAGGTTGCGCTCTCTCCCTCTGGTCTTTTTCTCTGGTCTTTCTCTCTGGTCTCTCTCTCTCTGGTCTCTCTCTCTCTGGCCTTTCTCTCTCTGGTCTCTATCTAAGGTCTCTCTCTCTCTGGTCTCGCTCTCCAGTCTCTCTCTGGTCTCTCTCTCTGGTCTCTCTAGGGTCTCTATCTAAGGTCTCTCTCTCTCTGGTCTCTCTCTCCAGTCTCTCTCTGGTCTCTGCCTCTAGTCTTTGTCTCTGATCTCCCTCTGGTCTCTCTCTTAAACACATCTCTTCTCTCTCTCAGGTAAAGAACACTGGTCTCTCCCTCCTGCGGACTCCTCCCTCAGTTTCTCCTGGTACCAGAATGCGTCAGAGAGCGACAGGAAGCCTCTGGCCCAGACCACCACCTTAAAGACGGGCTCTAAGGCACCCCCCTCCCCTTCTGCCAACGACCAATGGGACACCATATTCGGCCTGCGCCCCCCATCTCCCGCCGCCAAAAAGCCAGAGTCCCCTCCCCCTCACATCCCCCTCACCGCGGACAACTCAGAGTCCTCGTCCACTCTGGTTCGTAACGCGGGGTGTCGGACGTACCGGCGCCCCGGGAAGAACAACAGTGAAAGTGAAAGTAAACACAGGGACTACAACGTGCTGCACCCGTCCTCCATGTCGGACTGCAGTGTGACGTTCCAGCCGCGAGCTGAGATGAAGGCCCAGGCTGACGCGGAAGACGCGTGGAGGAAGACGGAACACAACTCCAGGTGAGAGACTAGAGAGAGACCAGAGAGAGGAGAGCAGCGAGAGAGGAGAGAGATCAAACCTTTTGGTTGTAAGTCTGAGCTGCTGCAGCTGTCAAAAGCCATGCTAACTCTGTTAAATACAGCTAATAAGCTTTAGTTTCTGGCTATTCCATTTCAGACACAACCAGTAAACATTTTCTATTTTCATGTAATGAAACGGTACGGCACGGTGCGGCAGAGTGTGGGTGCTTTTCCATAAAAAATGGTACCTCCAAGTTTCCCCTTAGTGTGGGAGGGGTTGTCAAACCAAGTAATTAAGGCGTGCCGCCTAACTAGTAACATTGGTCTGATGCGTCACTTTTTGTCATTTGAAATAAAATGTTTTTATTTCAAGTTCAAAACATAACTTAGTTGTTTAAAATACATGTATATTGTAAATCTAAGTATCAACTCGAAAAAGAAGTGAGAAGTAAAAAAGGAATATATGATAAAAATCATACGCCTAGTCATTTATTTTGTCCTTGTGTTTTGATCAAAAATAAAACCTTTTTGTATTTAGCAAATATGTCTCCATCCTTGTTCATACATTTTCCACGGTTATACGGATTTACTGACAAATATAATGTATGTAATTGATAGTGGAATTGTACGATTTTCATTGTAAAGAGAAGTAAAAGTAGGTAGGAAATCATAACTTTTGCTTTTGAACCCCTTTTCTGCACGTGTACACACAAATGAATGAAACAAAGTCTTGATACCATCACACATTTATTAAAAACAAAAGTAAAGTGCAAAACCAACAGTTTACAAAGTCCAAAGTACGTATGTCTCTTGAAACCAGGGGACGAGTGGTCTTTCATTGTTCATTTGTAATCTCCTCACTTGTGGGAAGAGATTTGCAAACAAATAATTATACACTCGACAACTTAAGTACAGGCACAAAACAGAAACACGTGAAAGGACAAAATACAGCACAGTGGAAGGACGTTTTAGCTTAGCTTGCTATTGATAGCTAAATGTAGCTAGCTCACTGTGTACAACAGACAATCAAACTTTTACACCAGTAAATACATTTCAGTGAGAGCTTTGGGCCAACGGGATACGTAGATAACCAGTTATTTCCAGGATAACCACAGACTAGTCACAAATCAAGAGCAATCTCCCTGAAAACCTTGTTCCGTGTTGTACATTCGTGCTGCCTTTTAATTCTTTCTTCGGCCTAAAGAGAGTAACGTGTGGACCTCGTCCAGCGACCAGGACGCTGACTTTTGGGGCTTTCGGTGCAATTCCATTTCTCTGGAGTGAGGAGTATGTTATTAAAATAGATCCATGGGAGGACTTATTGAGGCAGAGCAGCCGGTTTTAAAGATGGCGGGGTCGAGTTGTTTTTACCAAAGGGTCAGACGTCGCTTCCAGTGACGAGACTCGTTGACCAATCAGTGTAAGGCAGTCGGCTGACGTCACGTCATGGTATCGCTTCGGCCTGCACAGAACCACTGTCGAGGTGGTACAAAAAAAGTACCCTTATCCCAAGCCCAACCCTAGTGGAAATGCAAAATAACCGCGCCGTGCCGTACTGTACCTTACCGTTACTGTGGAAACGCATTAAATACAGCTACAGAGTACGCCTCACCGAGGATATCTCTCTCTGGTCGTTTTCTGGTCATTTTCTGGTCTCTCGCTGTTGTAACTGTGCACATTCTGTCTTCAGGTTTGGATCACCTCAGTCCCAGACTTCAGACCTGTTTGGGTTCGAGGAGAACTCTACTCAGAACCAGAACATCTCAGACGGATCCAACTACAAACTCAAGTACTTCGGTTTTGACGACAGCGACAGCGACGGAGAGCGAGGGGGCGCTAGAGAGCGGAGGAAAGCCAAACGTAAGATGAGACCTAACCCTGAGGAAGAGGAGACACATGTGGAGGTTAGTCCTGCTTTAGACCTGCTTTAGACCTGCTTTAGTCCTGCTCTAGACCTACTATAGACCTGCTTTAGACCTACTTTAGACCTGTTCTTATATTTAAGGCCTGAAGCCTGTTCTCCTGTGTGTAACAGCCGGTGTGTGAGGAGGTGGAAGAGGAGGTGGAGGATCCGTTCGACCGATTTAACCGCTTGGAACAACTGGAGCAAACTGAGCATGTGCAGAACGAGAGGAGAGAGAGGTCAAGCACTGAGTGGGCGAGCGACAGGAGCGCAGACAAGAAATACTCCCTGAGGACACAGCAACTGTGGAGCCCAGGTACAGCACCTCCTGTCTCTGACCAATGCCTCCTGCTCTCTGACTTACTCCTGCTCTCTGACCTCCTTCTGCTCTGACTTACTCCTGCTCTCTGACGTACTCCTGCTCTCTGACCTCCTTCTGCTCTGACTTACTCCTGCTCTCTGACGTACTCCTGCTCTCTGACCTCCTTCTGCTCTGACTTACTCCTGCTCTCTGACGTACTCCTGCTCTCTGACCTCCTTCTGCTCTGACTTACTCCTGCTCTCTGACGTACTCCTGCTCTCTGACCTCCTTCTGCTCTGACTTACTCCTGCTCTCTGACGTACTCCTGCTCTCTGACCTCCTTCTGCTCTGACGTACTCCTGCTCTCTGACTTACTCCTGCTCTGCTCTGGTCAGGCAAAGTGGGGTCAAGTGTCTTGCCTACACAACAACAGCACACCTCAGTGGGAGTTGGTGGTGAAGGTCTCGTAATGGGCTCAACCTTCAGGCTCAAAGGCCAATGCTCCACCAACACCACTGTCGGCCTAATCATGATTATAGTTATGATTATAATAATAATAACCAAAATGGAGTCAGTTCATGTTATATATAGTCATTGTTACGTCACACATCGAAAGACGTATGTGTCAATCAGAGACACACAGAGCAAATCATCGTCATAACATGGATACACAATCAGAGTCCTTGTATAGTCTTGTGCTTGTCCTGCACGTAGGCCAAATAGCTATTTAAGAAATGGAGAAGACTTTGCACAGCTTTAGCTCCCAAGTGATTTTACTACAACAAAGTAAGAGTAAAAACAAACAACGGGAAACCAAAGTCAACTGCATAATGCAGTATTCACCACTGGGTAAAGAGTTTGAACAAATAATTAAAAAACATTGGTACATACAGTGCCTTGCGAACGTATTCGGCCCCCTTGAACCTTTCAACATTTTGCCACATTTCAGGCTTCAAACATAAAGATATAAAATTTTAATTTTTTGTCATGAATCAACAACAAGTGGGACACAATCGTGAAGTGGAACAAAATTTATTGGATAATTTCAACTTTTTTAACAAATAAAAAAGTTAAAAGTGGGGCGTGCAATATTATTCGGCCCCTTTACTTTCAGTGCAGCAAACTCACTCCGGAAGTTCAGTGAGGATCTTTGAATGATCCAATGTTGTCCTAAATGACTGATGATGATAAATAGAATGCACCTGTGTGTAATCAAGTCTCCGTATAAATGCACCTGCTCTTTGATAGTCTCAGGGTTCTGTTTAAAGCGCAGAGAGAACCATGAAGACAAAGGAACACACCAGGCAGCCGGATTAAGCCGGATTTGGATACAAAAAGATTTCCCAAGCTTTAAACATCTCAAGGAGCACTGTGCAAGCAATTATATTGAAATGGAAGGAGTATCAGACCACTACAAATCTACCAAGACCCGGCCGTCCCTCCAAACTTTCATCTCAAACAAGGAGAAGACTGATCAGAGATGCAGCCAAGTGGCCCATGATCACTCTGGATGAACTGCAGATAACTACAGCTGAGGTGGGAGAGTCTGTCCATAGGACAACAATCAGTCGTGCACTGCACAAATCTGGCCTTTATGGAAGAGTGGCAAGAAGAAAGCCATTTCTCAAAGATATCCATAAAAAGTCTCGTTTAAAGTTTGCCACAAGCCACCTGGGAGACACACCAAACATGTGGAAGAAGGTGCTCTGGTCAGATGAAACCAAAATTGAACTTTTTGGCCACAATGCAAAACGATATGTTTGGCGTAAAAGCAACACAGCTCATCACCCTGAACACACCATCCCCACCTCAGCTGTAGTTATCTGCAGTTCATCCAGAGTGATCATGGGCCTCTTGGCTGCATCTCTGATCAGTCTTCTCCTTGTTTGAGATGAAAGTTTGGAGGGATGGCCGGGTCTTGGTAGATTTGCAGTGGTCTGATACTCCTTCCATTTCAATATAATTGCTTGCACAGTGCTCCTTGAGATGTTTAAAGCTTGGGAAACCTTTTTGTATCCAAATCCGGCTTTAAACTTCTCCACAACAGTATCTGGGACCTGCCTGGTGTGTTCCTTTGTCTTCATGGTTCTCTCTGCGCTTTAAACAGAACCACGAGACTATCAAAGAGCAGGTGCATTTATACGGAGACTTGATTACACACAGGTGCATTCTATTTATCATCATCAGTCATTTAGGACAACATTGGATCATTCAAAGATCCTCACTGAACAGAGGATCTTCTGGAGATCCTCTTCTGGAGGAGGAACTTCTGGAGTGAGTTTGCTGCACTGAAAGTAAAGGGGCCGAATAATATTGCACGCCCCACTATTCAGTTTTTTATTTGTTAAAAAAGTTTAAATTATCCAATAAATTTTGTTCCACTTCACGATTGTGTCCCACTTGTTGTTGATTCATGACAAAAAAAATAAAATTTTATATCTTTATGTTTGAAGCCTGAAATGTGGCAAAATGTTGAAAGGTTCAAGCGGGCCGCATACTTTCGCAACGCACTGTAATCCAGTTGGATGCAGTTTTACAAAACCTATCGCTCACACCCAGAGTCGTGTACAAAAGGCCGCCCAACTTGGGTAACAAACTGATGAGGGCCAAGTTACCCACTCAGCCCCAACCACACTTTCTCCAAACCATACCACATGGTAACTACAGATGTGGCAATTGTATACAGTGCAACTTCATACAAAAAACAACTGCTTTTGCACCACCCGAGAACTGGGAAATCCTAAAAAAGTTAAAGGCACCATAAGCTGCAAGACGAACAATGTGATCTACATGCTAAGATGCCCCTGTGGCCTGGCGTACATTGGAAAAACGAGACCTTTAAAGACCAGAATCTCTGAACTTCGGAGCAATATCCGCAACCATGACACAAAAAGCCCAGTGGCTGTTCACTTTACAGAAGCAAAACACAATGTGAGCACATTAAGATACACAGGAATCAAACACATAAAACTACTAACTACTAAAACGCAAACCTTCCTGGATATACACACTAGACACATTGAGTCCAAAGGGTCTGAATGAAGACTTTGACCTGAGACCTTTTCTATGATCCTTCATGTGTTGCTTTAGATCTTTCTGGGAGTCCAAAACAGGCGCCTCTACTACAGTACGTACTAAGCCTTAATGGTCCAAATACAAACTCATGGCCTCTCCTCATTGTGGTACCGTCTCTATGTAAAAAAATTAAAAAAATGTTTTTGCAAAAGGTGTATATATGCTGTATCTATTTTGCTGTGGTATATTTTCATCACATTTCAGGGGGGCTACACCTCATTGATCTCTATTCTTGTGTGTTTTGGTTATTGAGTAGGTCATGTGACCTGTCATTACTATGTGTATATATACAGGTGTGTAGCCTGCTGTTCCTTATGTCTGATGAAGGGTAGTGACCCGAAACGTCACAACAGTTTGTGGTGATAATTAAAATCACTTGGGAGCTAAAGCTGTGCAGAGTCTTCTCCATTTCTTTCATCCATCGACTTTCAGCTCTAGCACGCTGCTCAGAATTGGATGTGCGCGTCAATCTCACTTTTGCAAATAGCTATTTAATCCTTACAATAGTAACATCATTAATTATTATTATTATTACAATACTTTTCAGATTTGTTGGACTTCTCTGAGGAGGGTCTGCAAGTCCTGGCTGGAGCTCCGCGTAGAGCCGCTGCTCAGTCTAAATCCACAGAGAAAAACCCAGACTCCTTCAGGAGGATATTCAGCGCTCACAAGAAGGTTGGTGTCACAGAGCAAGACCAGAGAGCGAGACCAGAGAGCGAGACCAGAGAGCGAGACCAGAGAGCGAGACCAGAGAGCGAGACCAGAGAGCGAGACCAGAGAGCGAGACCAGAGAGCGAGACCAGAGAGCGAGACCAGAGAGCAAGACCAGAGAGCGAGACCAGAGAGCGAGACCAGAGAGCGAGACCAGAGAGCGAGACCAGAGAGCGAGACCAGAGAGCGAGACCAGAGAGCGAGACCAGAGAGCGAGACCAGAGAGCGAGACCAGAGAGCGAGACCAGAGAGCGAGACCAGAGAGCGAGACCAGAGAGCGAGACCAGAGAGCGAGACCAGAGAGCGAGACCAGAGAGCGAGACCAGAGAGCGAGACCAGAGAGCGAGACCAGAGAGCGAGACCAGAGAGCGAGACCAGAGAGCGAGACCAGAGAGCGAGACCAGAGAGCGAGACCAAGAGAGCGAGACCAGAGAGCGAGACCAGAGAGCGAGACCAGAGAGCGAGACCAGAGAGCGAGACCAGAGAGCGAGACCAGAGAGCGAGACCAGAGAGCGAGACCAGAGAGCGAGACCAGAGAGCGAGACCAGAGAGCGAGACCAGAGAGCGAGACCAGAGAGCGAGACCACACTTCCTCCCTCTCCCCTGGTCGCCCCTCTCTCTCCTCAGGATTCGGGGCTTTGGCAGCGTGTTGTTTTTGCTCGGTTCTTCTGGAGAAACTCTCTTTTGTCTCAAGAGTCCCCCACAGAGAGCTGCTTTAAGTCAGGATCAAACTGAGACCAGAGGAGGCCACACCAGGGGGAGGGGGAGAGGGGAGGAGCACAGAGGCCACAGCAGCAGGAGGAGGAGGACAGAGGAGATGGAGACATGGAGACCTAACCAGGACAGCGCCGTCCCTCTGTTCTCATGTCCAATAGAAAGAGTTAAAACGTTGTGAACAAATCAGACGCAACACACTGTCTTCATCTGCGAGACAGAACCCTGCGAGTCAATATCTGCCTCTTTGGGCTGAGAGCTGATTGGTTAAGAGAGGGTGGTCTTCTGTGTGAGCTAAAGATGTTACAGACAGAAATACATGAAACTAGGGATAGAAGTAAAGTAAGCCTACAGTATCTCAGTCACATGTTTGGACTGGGACCAGATGTCCTTATGTCCTTGGACTTTAGCGCTTCTTGGCATAGGTCTGCAGTGCGCGGCCCAGACAGCAGGAGGTGGGGCTTTTGGCCGCGACGTGTGGCGTCAGGATTTGATTAACGGAGACAAAAGAAGACAACTGGGGTTTGGCAGATAGAGACTGGAGAGGGAGAGACTGGAGAGGGAGAGACTGGAGAGGGAGAGACTGGAGAGACCCGAGAGGGAGAGACCCGAGAGGGAGAGACCCGAGAGGGAGAGACCCGAGAGGGAGAGACCCGAGAGGGAGACATAATGGAATAAGTCTCTCATCCACATGCAGCATTATAGACGCTTTCCAACAGACTTTTCACAAAGACAACTTTCTAAAAGAAAGAGCAGAACATGCAACAGCCCAAACTTTGAGGTCAGAGTTTCATTCACCCAAACACTGTCATTATAAACGGTGCTGTCTCTGTGTGACGTGTATGTGTGTCATACACGTGAGTGGGATAGACAACACTTTACTTTATCTTGTCTAAATTCTTTGTCTGTTTCAGTCTCCCACTAAAGCTGTGTATAATGCTCGGCACTGGGCTGTGAACGGTGAAGAGGAGCCGCCCCCAGCCTTCCTCTGCAGAGCTCCGGTGGGTCTTGTTTCTGTTTCCCTGTCACAGAGGGAGAGAGGGAGGCCAGAGAGGCCAGAGAGTGAGAGACAGAGTGGCCAGAGGGAGACAGACACCAGAGGCCAGAGAGTGAGGGATGTTGGGGCTTAATATTAAAGTAGAAATATGTAATATTTGCATGTCAAGTCATCATTAAATGGCCCCAATATTTCAAAAGACGTTATTAAATCATGTTCTTTTCGAATACATCTTTAACCCTTTAAGCGCCAAAGTCGCAATATTGCGACAAGCAACATTGCTCACTTAAACAGGCTGTATGTAAAAATGTGGTGCAGAATCTTGTTAATACTTTTCACCAGGGGTTAGTGGACATGTGTGCCTGTAATATGAGCAGCATTTGTGGGTGTGGTTATATTGAAAGTTTTTGAGTAAATTGAGTTCGTAAAACACCTGCGGCGCAGCAGCGCGGAGGCGAAGCAGCAGCGGTAGAGCTGAGAGGAGCGAGAGCAGAGCAGAGGGAGAGAGTGTTTTTTATTTTACTCACGAGGTCTTCAGTACCAGAGAAGTACTTGGTCTGGTACTGGCTGACTCAGAATCAGAGGAGGAAGACACGCAGGTGTCCAGTGAAGCAGACACAGACATTATTAGTGACGGGGAGACCGCGCCATATAGTCCACAATCAGCCCCTGTGCAGCGGCTGCTTGTCCTCCGTGTGGCCGCGGTAGAAGCATTCTGTGAACGCCAAACAGGGGCTGTGGTCGAGGGGAGAGGGGCATCATAACACCGGGCATGTGGGAGAAAGTAGCGGGGGTAGACATCCACGGGGAACACGGGAGACGCGGGAGAAGTCGCGGGAGAGCCGCGGGGAAAAAAAACACATCGCTAATCGCGTTCACTGCCTTTACCAACAGTGATGATGAGGATCAAGGCAGTTCTTGAGAGAAAATAATCCACAAAAGTGGACCAGAAGTGTTGAAGAGCCTGTTGTATGTTGTTGAGACGATCTGACATGTTCTGAGCCCATTCATTTCATCTCTCTGTTTGTAAACGGTAAATCCTTGAGTAAGCTCACCACTTCTTTGAAAGGGAAATATTGAAACCAATCTCAAGATTTCATGACTGTAAACTATAAAGAGTGCTGTCTTGATCACTGAAGGTCTTTGAAAATAATACAATTCCATATGGCCGCAAACCAGTGCTAAAACATTATCTATAATCTGGATCAGGGAATTTATTTCTATCCCAAATTCATTTTATACTAAAGATATTTCACATTGACTGTTTATAGTATTCCCTGATCTCGAATAACTCCCAAGCTACAGCTTTTTGAAGTCTTTATACAATAATTAACATTTTCCAAAATGGCCGCCACCTTGATGACGTCACAATATGCAAATTACATGACGAATCAACTTCCATTCCAAAGTTTGGTTCAAACTGAAGATATTTCTAATTTACAGTATGCCTTTATCGCAAACCATTTTAAAGTTATAGCCTTTTGAAATCTTGAAATCAAAATTGTATATTTTCTTGAAAAAACTCTGGCGCCTAAAGGGTTAACTGATAACAGTAGTTCAGCCGAGATATTTGAACATAACAATTTGTTTTACGTAAAAGTTTTTTATTTTTTATTTTGATGTCCACCCGCCGCCGTTTGTCCCACCCTCAAATGTCCAAATAGAAAAATAAAAAAACATCCATTCAACATTAGCACGGCTATCATGGCAATGTGAATGGAGACAGACAAACAACTGATGAAATAATTCCTTGTGTTTGCTACTGTATTTGGTGTGTATCTGGCAACCTGAGTCCGGGAGAGTGGGAGAGGACTACAAAATATTGATTGTGACTGCAGAACTTTTGGCCAGATTTTTACATATTTCTCGTTTTTTTGATTGTGAAACACACTTTGGAATAAACGTATTTCTTTCTGTTCAGAGCGGCATTTTGGGAGCCACCAGCGGCAGCAGTAGCAGCAGCAGCAGCAGCAGAAGTACTGGTGGTGGTACTTGCAGTAGTAGTAACAGTATTGGTGGGAGTAACAACAGCAGTACAGTTCCGTCGCAGCCTCAGAATAAAGACGACGGTCTGTTCAAAGCTCCGCCTCCTCCTCCCAAAGTCTCCAAATGTGTGCGAGTGTCTGCTGATCCGTACCAGGACACGGTGACCGCCCTGCGCTGCCACAAGGAACACAAGGAGGTGATCAGCTTCTCTCTCTGGTCTCTCTCTGGTCTCTCTCTGGTCTCTCTCTGGTCTCTCTCTGGTCTCTCTCTGGTCTCTCTCTGGTCTCTCTCTGGTCTCTCTCTGGTCTCTCTCTGGTCTCTCTCTGGTCTCTCTCTGGTCTCTCTCAGGTCTCTCTCCGACCTCTGGTGTGTCTCTGGTCTCTCTCTGACCTCTGGTGTGGTTCTGGTTCGCAGCTCTACACGGTGGTGCAGCACGTTAAACACTTCAACGACGTGGTGGAGTTTGGGGAAAACCAGGAATTCACAGACGACTTTGAATATCTGGCAACCGGTCTGAAGACGGGTCAGCCCCTGAACACACGCTGTCTGAGGTGAGGGAACCTCTCTCTGGTCTCACTCTGGTCTCTCTCTGGTGTCCCTCTGGTCTCTCTCTGGTCTCCCTCTGGTCTCTCTCTGGTCTCCCTCTGGTCTCCCTCTGGTCTCCTTCTGGTCTCCTTCTGGTCTCTCTCTGGTCTCTCTCTGGTCTCTCTCTGGTCTCCCTCAGGTCTCCCTCAGGTCTCCCTCAGGTCTCCCTCTGGTCTCCCTCTGGTCTCCCTCAGGTCTCCCTCAGGTCTCCCTCAGGTCTCCCTCAGGTCTCCCTCTGGTCTCCCTCTGGTCTCCCTCTGGTCTCCCTCTGGTCTCCCTCAGGTCTCCCTCTGGTCTCTCTCTGGTCTCTAACCTGTGTGTTGTCTCAGTGTGATCAGCCTGGCCACTCGGTGTGCGATGCCCGGTTTCAGGATGCACCTCAGAGCCAGAGGGAAAGTGGCTCAGGTCTTCAAGACGCTCAACGACGCCCCCCAGCACCAGGTAACTGCCCCTTCATGGCCCACCAGTGAAACCAGAACTCTGCTTTAGTCTCTCCTTAGTCTCTCCTTTAGTCCAGTTTCTCTGGTTTCTCTCTGGTCTTTCTTGCTGTCTTTTTGGTGTCCCTCTCATTTCCCTCTGGTCTTTCCCTCTGGTCTCCCTCTGGTCTCTCTTTGGTCTCCTTCTGGTCTCTCTCTGGTCTCTCTCTGGTCTCTCTCTGGTCTCTCTCTGGTCTCTCTCTGCTCTCTCGTTGGTCTCCCTCTGGTCTCCCTCCGATCTCCCTCTGGTCTCCCTCTGGACTCTCACCCTCTCCCCTGTCTCCCTCAGAACCTGTCGCTCTGCACGGCTGCCTTGATGTACATTCTGAGCAGAGATCGTCTGAATATGGACTTGGACCGGTCCTGTCTGGACCTGATGATCCGGCTCCTGGAGCTGGACCAGGACCAGAAGAGCACACTGGGACCAGCTCAGCTCAGCGCCCGCGAGATTGCCAAGATCAAAGAGAAAATCCGCAAACTATGTGACACGGTCCACAACAAGCACCTGGACCTGCAGAACATCACGGTGAGGGGGCGAGATTCTCTCTCTCTATGGTATCTTTCTGGTCTCTCTCTGGTCTCTCAAGTCTCTGGTGTCTCTCTCTCTGGTCTATTTAGTCTCAAGTGTCTCTCTGGGTCTGACTTCTGGTCCTGTGTCTCTCAGACAGGACATCTGGCCATGGAGACTCTCTTGTCTCTGACGTCCAAACGTGCAGGAGACTGGTTCAAAGAGGAGCTGCGTCTTCTTGGAGGACTGGACCACATCGTTGACAAGGGTAAGCTAACGCGTGGTGGCTAAAGCGTGGTGGCTAAAGCGTGGTGGCTAAAGCGTGGTGGCTAACGCGTGGTGGCTAACGCGTGGTGGCTAACGCGTGGTGGCTAACGCGTGGTGGCTAACGCGTGGTGGCTAACGCGTGGTGGCTAACGCGTGGTGGCTAACGCGTGGTGGCTAACGCGTGGTGGCTAACGCGTGGTGTATACTTGCGCGGCGTGGCTTACGTTAGCGGTTGCGGTGGACCTACGTAAGCACAATTGATGTTATACTGGCGCGTTCCCCTTACGGAGTTTTGAGGAGAATGCTGTAATCCCACAACAAACCACATGAGGGCGATCACACAGGAGCGGCCCCATTTACGCTGCTACTTTGTCCTCTTCAGAACAACAATAGCAAACAAAGCTGTTTGAGCTCATTACACGTGTTTCTACTGCAGGTTTATGTGATAGTTTTATGGATTCATTATTTTATAAGTCATTTCAACTGTGATGCTGTGAATAAAGACACAGTTCTTGTTGGAAACATAGTTATTATTAAATAGTTTTCAGCACAAACAGCAAAACAATAATAGTGGTAAATATCTGAGACAAACATGAACGATTTACGAGTGCAGGAGGAAAGCAACAAACGCAAATCGCAGCGATTTAAACAAAGACAGGAACAGTGCAAAACAAACGACTGCACAGTTTATAAGTTATATATATGTTACATAGTCCACAGTCTCCTGTATATCAGGCTCTGAGCCCAAACTGCTTTTCCTTCGAAGCACAAAGCTCTCTGCTCCATAGTGCCTCGTCCATGCTCCTGCAGCCGCTCCGTGCTTCCTTCCGATACACACACACGGACCAATCACAGCGGAGATTCCTTGCGGCGACCCTTACGTAGTTAGAAAATGTCTATGCTGCACGGCAGGCGACGTAAGGGCCTTGCGGTGACCAACGCGTTGCGCAAGTGACGTCACGTCACCTCCGTAAGCTCCGCGCAGCGCGAGTATACACTAGGCTTAACGCGTCGTGGTGGCTAACGCGTCGTGGTGGCTAACGCGTTGTGGTGGCTAACGCGTCGTGGATAATATTAGCGCTCTGTCTGCAGTGAAGGAGTGTGCGAATCATCTGAAGGAGGACGACGAGGAGCAGCTGGTGTCGTCTCTGTGGGGGGCTGAGCGCTGTCTCCGAGTGTTGGAGAGCGTGAGTCTGAGACCAAGACAGAGGACCTCCGAGGACCAAGACCATGACATGGGACCTTAGACCACAGAGGGCTGAGACTATGACAAAGGGCCGAGACCACCGAGGACCGAGACCATTATCTGGTCTCTCTCTCTCTGGTCTCTCTCCGGTTTATTCTGTGCTATATAAATAACATTGCCTTCATTCACAGGTGACAGTCCATAACCCTGAGAACCAGAGCTACCTCATTGCCTATAAAGACTCATCGCTCATCGTTTCTTCTGCAAAGTACGATTATGATTCTCCTCTTCCTCCTCTTTCATCTCCTCCTCATCTTTCCGCACCTTCTCCTCTTCCTCCTCTTGTTCCTTCTCCTTTCTCCTCATCTTTCTCCTTTCTACTCTTCTTCCTCCTCTTTCTCCTTTTCCTATTTTTTCTCCTCTCTCCTTATCTTTTTCCTACTTTTCCTTAGCAGTTGTTGTTGGTGGTGTGTGTGGTTGTTGGTGGTGTGTGTGGTTGATGGTGTGTGTGTGTGTGTGTGTGGTTGATGGTGTGTGTGTGTGTGTGTGTGTGTGTGGTTGATGTTGATGGTTGCAGAGCCCTGTGGAGGTGTGAGCAGATGATCCAGCCGACAGAGTCCAGTCCCAGTGTCACCAGAGCTGTACAGGACTGTATGAGAGCTATCATAGGAGTCCTACTGAACCTGACACACGACAACGGTAACACACACACACACACACGGACACACATACACAGACACAGACACACACCTACTGTATGTACCTGTTTGTGTGCAGAATGGGGCAGCACTAAAACCGGAGAGCAGGACGAGCTCCTCACCACCGCTCTGCACTGTGTGCTGCGAGTGCCTCAGTACCTGCCTCAAGAACAGAGATTCGACATCAGAGTCCTGGTAAGAGACCAGAGAGGGGAGACCAGAGAGGGGAGACCAGAGAGGGGAGACCAGAGAGGGGAGACCAGAGAGGGGAGACCAGAGAGGGGAGACCAGAGAGGGGAGACCAGAGAGGGGAGACCAGAGAGGGGAGACCAGAGAGGGGGGGAGACCAGAGAGGGGGGGGAGACCAGAGAGGGGGGGAGACCAGAGAGGAGGGGAGACCCCATAGTGTGTTATGTATGCAGGGCCTGGGTCTTCTCATTAACCTGGTGGAGTACAGCGCCCGGAACCGGTACGCATTGATGGAGATGGACCTGGAGACCGGCCCCTGGGAAACCACGGTGATCCAGAACGAGCCCGCCGTGATCCAGAACGAGCCCACAGTGATCCCGGGCCAGAACCACCTACAGACCGGGACTCTGACTCTGAGTGCCATTGCAGCTCTTGTGCAGGTGAGTCTGTGAACCTGGGTCTGGATTCAACTGAATATATACCCAAAACTCTGCGTGGGTGGACTCTGCCCCACTCTGCCCTGTCTGACTCCTTCTTTCTCTAATCCAGAGATCTAGAATAACAACTGGATTTGGTGTTACTAGGTTATAGCTGTCCCACTCATGGGCACAGGGGGCGCAGACTAAATTCATGTGGCCTACCCAGAAAAAAGTCCCATAGAACTCAATGCATATTAAAACAGCTCAACCTCAGCTGACAGAGAACCTACAGCTTTCATAAAGGTCGGCTTTTATGGTGATTTTAGTGTCCCTTGTCATCCTGACCTTTTTTCCTTCTTAAATCCTTTGGTTTTCTTTAAATCCACACTTTACTGCCACAAACTCTGCTCGTCTGGCTCCCGCTCTAGCTCCACTCAGATCAGCAGCTCTGATTGGTCAGAGCGCGGCCGAGCCCCTCTGTACATGTGCATGAGAGCCACACACGCATATTTGGCGCAGCGCTTCATGGGAGATCCTCCACTGCTCTGAACCGGGAGGACTAGACGATGCCCAAATATAGCAGAGTTCCTCTGATATGTCAGCGCCCGTCATGTCCCTTGCGCTACTGAGCACAAGCCATTCATTTGAATAGGGCGCCATCTTGGATCACCGGGGCTTGGTCTAATCCCTCTTCTTTCTTACCCCTCCTCTCTCTGACTCCTCCTTTTTGACCCGTACTCTCTGGCTCCTCTTTGACTCCTTTCTCCTTCAGCTCTTCCTGCAGAGAGAGCGTGCGGCGGTTCTAGCAGAGGCGCAGACTGATGACCTCATCAAAGAGCCGCCCAAAGCTCCTCTGGACCAGAGCGGTGAGTGGCAGGAGACCGGAGGCGAGATCCAGTGGGTCGCCAACGACAATGCCAACGACAATGCCAACGACAATGCCAACGACAATGCCAACGACAATGCCAACGACAATGCCAACGACAATGCCAACGTCAACAATGACAACCAGGAAGAGAAGAAGAAGAGTGACGAGGAGGACGATGTACTGGACCTGAACAAAGGTGAGTCCAGAGACAGACACCAGGAAGAGCGGCCAGAGAGAGAGAGACACCAAGAAGAGGGGCCAGAGTGGGAGAGAGGCCAGAGGGGAGAGAGGCCAGAGTGGGAGAGAGGGGCCAGAGTGGGAGAGAGGGGCCAGAGTGGGAGAGAGGGGCCAGAGTGGGAGAGAGGGGCCAGAGTGGGAGAGAGGGGCCAGAGTGGGAGAGAGGGGGCCAGAGTGGGAGAGAGGGGGCCAGAGTGGGAGGGAGAGGGGGGCCAGAGTGGGAGAGAGGGGGGGCCAGAGTGGGAGAGAGGGGGCCAGAGTGGGAGAGAGGGGCCAGAGTGGGAGAGAGGGGGGGCCAGAGTGGGAGAGAGGGGGGGCCAGAGTGGGAGAGAGGGGGGGCCAGAGTGGGAGAGAGGGGGGGCCAGAGTGGAGAGAGGGGGGGCCAGAGTGGGAGAGAGGGGGGGCCAGAGTGGGAGAGAGGGGGGGCCAGAGTGGGAGAGAGGGGGGGCCAGAGTGGGAGAGGGGGGGCCAGAGGGGAGCGAGAGGGGGCCAGAGCGAGAGAGAGGCCAGAGCGAGAGAGAGAGAGAGGGCCAGAGCGAGAGAGAGAGGAGAGGCCAGAGTGGAGAGAGGAGGGAGGCCAGAGCGAGAGAGCGAGAGAGGGGCCAGAGAGAGCGGCCAGAGAGAGGGGGCCAGAGCGGGAGAGCGAGAGGCGGCCAGAGCGGAGAGAGGGGGGCGAGAGCGGGAGAGCCAGAGCGAGAGAGAGAGAGGCCAGAGCGAGAGAGCGAGAGAGAGGCCAGAGCGAGAGAGCGAGAGAGAGCGAGAGAGAGGCCAGAGCGAGAGAGCGAGAGAGAGGCCAGAGCGAGAGAGCGAGAGAGAGGCCAGAGCGAGAGAGAGCGAGAGAGAGAGGGGGCCAGAGCGAGAGAGCGAGAGAGAGGCCAGAGCGAGAGAGCGAGAGAGCGGCCAGAGCGAGAGAGCCAGAGAGAGCGAGGCCAGAGCGAGAGAGCGAGAGAGAGGCCAGAGCGAGAGAGCGAGAGAGAGGCCAGAGCGAGAGAGCGAGAGAGAGGCCGAGAGCGAGAGAGAGAGAGAGAAGAGAGAGAGCCAGAGCGCGAGAGAGAGGCCAGAGCGAGAGAGCGAGAGAGAGGCCAGAGCGAGAGAGCGAGAGAGAGGCCAGAGCGAGAGAGCGAGAGAGAGGCCAGAGCGAGAGAGAGGCCAGAGCGAGAGAGAGCGAGAGAGAGAGAGCCAGAGCGAGAGAGCGAGAGAGGGGGCGAGAGCGAGAGAGCGAGAGAGGGGGCAGAGCGAGAGAGCGAGAGAGAGGGGCCAGAGCGAGAGAGCGAGAGAGGGGCCAGAGCGAGAGAGCGAGAGAGAGGCCAGAGCGAGAGAGCGAGAGAGGCCAGAGCGAGAGAGCGAGAGAGCGAGAGAGAGGCCAGAGCGAGAGAGCGAGAGAGAGGCCAGAGCGAGAGAGAAGAGAGAGGGCGAGAGCGAGAGAGAGAGAGGGCCAGAGCGAGAGAGAGAGAGAGAGGGCCAGAGCGAGAGAGCGAGAGAGAGGCCAGAGCGGGAGAGCGAGAGAGGCCAGAGCGAGAGAGAGAGAGAGAGAGCGGGAGAGCGAGAGAGGCCAGAGCGAGAGAGAGGCCAGAGCGAGAGAGCGAGAGAGAGGCCAGAGCGAGAGAGAGAGAGAGGGGCCAGAGCGGAGAGCGAGGAGGCCAGAGCGGGAGAGAGAGGGCCAGAGCGGGAGAGAGAGAGGCCAGAGCGGGAGAGAGAGAGGCCAGAGCGGGAGAGCGAGAGAGGCCAGAGCGGGAGAGCGAGAGAGGCCAGAGCGGGAGAGCGAGAGAGGCCAGAGCGGGAGAGCGAGAGAGGCCAGAGCGAGAGAGCGAGAGAGAGGCCAGAGCGAGAGAGAGGCCAGAGCGAGAGAGAGGCCAGAGCGAGAGAGCGAGAGAGAGGCCAGAGCGGGAGAGAGAGGCGAGAGCGGAGAGGCGAGAGAGGCCAGAGCGGGAGAGCGAGAGAGCGAGAGAGAGGCCAGAGCGAGAGAGCGAGAGAGCGAGAAGAGGCCAGAGCGAGAGAGCGAGAGAGAGGCCAGAGAGAGAGAGAGGCCAGAGCGAGAGAGAGAGAGAGAGGCCAGAGCGAGAGAGCGAGAGAGAGGCCAGAGCGAGAGAGCGAGAGAGGCCAGAGCGGGAGAGCGAGAGAGGCCAGAGCGGGAGAGCGAGAGAGGCCAGAGCGGGAGAGCGAGAGAGAGAGGCCAGAGCGGAGAGAGAGAGAGAGGCCAGAGCGAGAGAGCGAGAGAGAGAGGCCAGAGCGAGAGAGAGAGAGAGCGAGAGAGAGGCCAGAGCGAGAGAGCAGAGAGAGAGGCCAGAGCGAGAGAGCGAGAGAGAGGCCAGAGCGAGAGAGAGAGAGAGAGGCCAGAGCGAGAGAGAGAGAGAGAGGCGAGAGAGAGAGAGAGGAGGCCAGAGCGAGAGAGAGAGAGAGAGGCCAGAGCGAGAGAGAGAGAGAGAGGCCAGAGAGAGAGAGAGAGGAGGCCAGAGCGAGAGAGAGAGAGAGAGAGAGGGGCCAGAGCGGAGAGAGGGGCCAGAGCGGGAGAGAGGGGCCAGAGCGGGAGAGAGGGGCCAGAGCGGGAGAGCAAGAGAGGCCAGAGCGGGAGAGCGAAAGAGGCCAGAGCGGGAGAGCGAAAGAGGCCAGAGCGGGAGAGCGAAAGAGGCCAGAGCGGGAGAGCGAAAGAGGCCAGAGCGGGAGAGCGAAAGAGGCCAGAGCGGGAGAGCGAGAGAGGCCAGAGCGGGAGAGCGAGAGAGGCCAGAGCGGGAGAGCGAGAGAGGCCAGAGCGGGAGAGCAAGAGAGCCAGAGCGGGAGAGCCCAGAGCGAGAGAGAGAGAGAGAGGCCAGAGCGAGAGAGAGAGAGAGAGGCCAGAGCGAGAGAGAGAGAGAGAGAGGCCAGAGAGAAAGAGAGAGAGAGAGGGGCCACAGCGGGAGAGAGGGGCCAGAGCGGGAGAGAGGCCAGAGCGAGAGAGCGAGAGAGAGGCCAGAGCGAGAGAGAGGCCAGAGCGAGAGAGAGGCCAGAGCGAGAGAGCGAGAGAGAGGGCCAGAGCGAGAGAGCGAGAGAGAGGCCAGAGCGAGAGAGCGAGAGAGAGGCCAGAGCGAGAGAGAGAGAGAGAGGGCCAGAGCGAGAGAGAGAGAGAGAGGCCAGAGCGAGAGAGCGAGAGAGAGGCCAGAGCGAGAGAGCGAGAGAGGCCAGAGCGAGAGAGCGAGAGAGAGGCCAGAGCGAGAGAGCGAGAGAGAGGCCAGAGCGAGAGAGCGAGAGAGAGGCCAGAGCGAGAGAGAGAGAGAGAGCCAGAGCGAGAGAGAGAGAGAGAGAGGCCAGAGCGAGAGAGAGAGAGAGAGAGGCCAGAGCAAGAGAGAGAGAGAGAGGCCAGAGAGAGAGAGAGAGAGAGAGAGGGGCCAGAGCGGGAGAGAGGGGCCAGAGCGGGAGAGAGGGGCCAGAGCGGGAGAGAGAGGGGCCAGAGCGGGAGAGCGAGAGAGGCCAGAGCGGGAGAGCGAGAGAGGCCAGAGCGGGAGAGCGAGAGAGGCCAGAGCGGGAGAGCGAGAGAGGCCAGAGCGGGAGAGCGAGAGAGGCCAGAGCGGGAGAGCGAGAGAGGCCAGAGCGGGAGAGCGAGAGAGGCCAGAGCGGGAGAGCGAGAGAGGCCAGAGCGGGAGAGCGAGAGAGGCCAGAGCGGGAGAGCGAGAGAGGCCAGAGCGGGAGAGCGAGAGAGGCCAGAGCGGGAGAGCGAGAGAGGCCAGAGCGGGAAAGCGAGAGAGCGAGAGAGGCCAGAGCGGGAGAGCGAGAGAGAGAGCGGGAAGCGAGAGAGGCCAGAGCGGGAGAGCGAGAGAGGCAGAGAGAGGCCAGAGCGAGAGAGAGGCCAGAGCGAGAGCGAGAGAGGCCAGAGCGAGAGAGCGAGAGAGAGGCCAGAGCGAGAGAGAGAGAGAGGCCAGAGCGAGAGAGAGAGAGAGAGGCCAGAGCGAGAGAGAGAGAGAGAGGCCAGAGCGAGAGAGAGAGAGAGAGGCCAGAGCGAGAGAGAGAGAGAGAGGGCCAGAGCGAGAGAGAGAGAGGGGCCAGAGCGGGAGAGAGAGGGCCAGAGCGGGAAGCGAGAGAGGCCAGAGCGGGAGAGCGAGAGAGGCCAGAGCGGGAGAGCGAGAGAGGCCAGAGCGGGAGAGCGAGAGAGGCCAGAGCGGGAGAGCGAGAGAGGCCAGAGCGAGAGAGCGAGAGAGAGGCCAGAGCGAGAGAGAGAGAGAGAGGCCAGAGCGAGAGAGAGAGAGAGAGGCCAGAGCGAGAGAGGCCAGAGAGAGAGAGAGAGAGAGGCCAGAGCGAGAGAGAGAGAGAGAGGCCAGAGCGAGAGAGAGAGAGAGAGGCCAGAGCGGGAGAGAGGGGCCAGAGCGGGAGAGAGGGGCCAGAGCGGGAGAGAGGGGCCAGAGCGGGAGAGAGGGGCCAGAGCGGGAGAGAGGGGCCAGAGCGGGAGAGCGAGAGAGGCCAGAGCGGGAGAGCGAAAGAGGCCAGAGCGGGAGAGCGAAAGAGGCCAGAGCGGGAGAGCGAAAGAGGCCAGAGCGGAGAGCGAGAGAGGCCAGAGCGGGAGAGCGAGAGAGGCCAGAGCGGGAGAGCGAGAGAGGCCAGAGCGGGAGAGCGAGAGAGGCCAGAGCGGGAGAGCGAGAGAGGCCAGAGCGGGAGAGCGAGAGAGGCCAGAGCGGGAGAGCGAGAGAGGCCAGAGCGGGAGAGCGAGAGAGGCCAGAGCGGGAGAGCGAGAGAGGCCAGAGCGGGAGAGCGAGAGAGGCCAGAGCGGGAGAGCGAGAGAGGCCAGAGCGGGAGAGCGAGAGAGGCCAGAGCGAGAGAAGCCAGAGCGAGAGAGCGAGAGAGGCCAGAGCGAGAGAGCGAGAGAGGCCAGAGCGAGAGAGCGAGAGAGGCCAGAGCGAGAGAGGCGAGAGAGAGAGAGAGAGAGAGAGCGAGAGAGGCGAGAGAGAGAAGAGAGCGAGAGAGGCGAGAGAGAGAGAGCGAGAGAGGCCAGAGCGAGAGAGGGAGAGGCCAGAGCGAGAGAGAGAGAGGCCAGAACGAGAGAGAGAGAGGCCAGAGCGAGAGAGAGAGAGGCCAGAGCGAGAGAGAGGCCAGAGCGAGAGAGCGAGAGAGAGGCCAGAGCGAGAGAGCGAGAGAGAGGCCAGAGCGAGAGAGAGAGAGAGAGGCCAGAGCGGGAGAGAGAGAGAGAGAGGCCAGAGCGAGAGAGAGAGAGAGAGAGGCCAGAGCGGGAGAGAGAGAGAGGCCAGAGCGGGAGAGCGAGAGAGGCCAGAGCGGGAGAGCGAGAGAGGCCAGAGCGGGAGAGCGAGAGAGGCCAGAGCGGGAGAGCGAGAGAGGCCAGAGCGGGAGAGCGAGAGAGAGGCCAGAGCGAGAGAGCGAGAGAGGCCAGAGCGAGAGAGAGAGAGAGGCCAGAGAGAGAGAGAGGCCAGAGCGAGAGAGAGAGAGAGAGAGAGGCCAGAGCGAGAGAGAGAGAGAGGCCAGAGCGAGAGAGGCCAGAGCGAGAGAGAGAGAGAGGCCAGAGCGAGAGAGAAAGAGAGGCCAGAGCGAGAGAGAGAGAGGCCAGAGCGAGAGAGAGAGCAGGCCAGAGCGAGAGAGAGGCCAGAGCGAGAGAGGCCAGAGCGAGAGAGAGGCAGGCCAGAGCGAGAGAGGCCAGAGCGAGAGAGGCCAGAGCGAGAGAGGCCAGAGCGAGAGAGGCCAGAGCGAGAGAGGCCAGAGCGAGAGAGGCCAGAGCGAGAGAGGCCAGAGCGAGAGAGGCCAGAGCGAGAGAGGCCAGAGCGAGAGAGGCCAGAGCGAGAGAGGCCAGAGCGAGAGAGGCCAGAGAGAGAGGCCAGAGCGAGAGAGGCCAGAGCGAGAGAGAGAGGCCAGAGCAAGAGAGAGGCCAGAGCGAGAGAGAGAGAGGCCAGAGCGAGAGAGAGAGAGAGGCCAGAGCGAGAGAGAGAGAGAGGCCAGAGCGAAGAGAGAGGCCAGAGCCAGAGAGAGCGAGAGAGGCCAGAGCGAGAGAGAGGCCAGAGCGAGAGAGAGGCCAGAGCGAGAGAGAGAGAGAGGCCAGAGAGAGCGAGAGAGAGAGAGGCCAGAGCGAGCGAGAGAGAGAGAGGCCAGAGCGAGCGAGCGAGAGAGAGGCCAGAGCGAGAGAGAGAGGCCAGAGCGAGAGAGAGAGAGAGCGAGAGAGGCCAGAGCGAGAGAGAGAGAGAGAGAGGCCAGAGCGAGAGAGCGAGAGAGGCCAGAGCAAGAGAGCGAGAGAGGCCAGAGCAAGAGAGCGAGAGAGGCCAGAGCGAGAGAGCGAGAGAGGCCAGAGCGAGAGAGGCGAGAGAGAGAGAGAGAGAGCGAGAGAGGCCAGAGCGAGAGAGAGAGAGAGAGAGAGGCGAGAGAGAGAGAGGCCAGAGCGAGAGAGGCCAGAGCGAGAGAGGCCAGAGCGAGAGAGAGAGGCCAGAGCGAGAGAGAGAGGCCAGAGCGAGAGAGAGAGGCCAGAGCGAGAGAGAGAGGCCAGAGCGAGAGAGAGAGGCCAGAGCGAGAGAGAGAGGCCAGAGCGAGAGAGAGAGAGAGGCCAGAGCGTGAGAGAGAGAGAGAGAGGCCAGAGCGTGAGAGAGAGAGGCCAGAGCGTGAGAGGCCAGAGCGAGAGAGGCCAGAGCGAGAGAGGCCAGAGCGAGAGAGGCCAGAGCGAGAGAGGCCAGAGCGAGAGAGAGAGCCAGAGCGAGAGAGGCCAGAGCGAGAGAGGCCAGAGCGAGAGAGGCCAGAGCGAGAGAGGCCAGAGCGAGAGAGGCCAGAGCGAGAGAGGCCAGAGCGAGAGAGGCCAGAGCGAGAGAGGCCAGAGCGAGAGAGAGAGAGAGAGGCCAGAGAGAGAGAGAGAGAGGCCAGAGCGAGAGAGAGAGAGGCCAGAGCGAGAGAGAGAGAGAGGCCAGAGCGAGAGAGAGAGAGAGGCCAGAGCGAGAGAGAGAGAGAGGCCAGAGAGAGAGAGAGAGAGCCAGAGCGAGCGAGAGAGAGAGAGGCCAGAGCGAGCGAGAGAGAGGCCAGAGCGAGAGAGAGAGGCCAGGAGCGAGAGAGAGAGAGAGCGAGAGAGAGAGAGAGAGAGAGAGAGGCCAGAGCGAGAGAGCGAGAGAGGCCAGAGCAAGAGAGCGAGAGAGGCCAGAGCGAGAGAGCGAGAGAGGCCAGAGCGAGAGAGGCGAGGAGAGAGAGAGAGATGCCAGAGCGAGAGAGAGAGAGAGCGAGAGAGGCGAGAGAGAGAGAGGCCAGAGCGAGAGAGAGGCCAGAGCGAGAGAGAGGCCAGAGCGAGAGAGGCCAGAGCGAGAGAGAGAGGCCAGAGCGAGAGAGAGAGGCCAGAGCGAGAGAGAGAGGCCAGAGCGAGAGAGAGAGGCCAGAGCGAGAGAGAGAGGCCAGAGCGAGAGAGAGAGAGGCCAGAGCGTGAGAGAGAGAGAGGCCAGAGCGTGAGAGAGAGAGAGGCCAGAGCGTGAGAGAGAGAGAGGCCAGAGCGTGAGAGAGAGAGAGAGGCCAGAGTGAGAAACCCTCTAACACAGATGTCTCTGTTCTCAGCTCTGCAGCATGCAGGGAAACATATGGAGGACAGTATCGTCGCCTCATACACAGCACTGCTGCTGGGCTGTCTGTGCCAGGGCTCTCCTGTAAGTACTGCTACTATTACTGCTACTATAACTGCTACTACTACTGCTACTCCTCTTCCCTCCTCCCTCTCTCTCTTTCTCCCTCTTCATTCTCCTCATCTGACTCCTCTGACCCTGTTGTTTCAGAGTAATGTGACAACAGTGAGAGAGAATCTTCCAAAAGGAGACTTCTCCATCATGACAGAGATGTTGAAGAAGTTCCTGAACTTCATGAACCTCACGGTGAGTTCAGGATTAATTATCATTATTATTATTATTATTATATATTTATATACAGTATATATATATGTGTGTGTATGTATACACCCCATCACTCTCCTCATTGGTCAAACAGCCCTTACACAGCCTGGGTGTGAATCTACAGTTAATAGTCATGAAAAGAAAGAAACTCATTGAATGGGAAAGTGTCCAAATTATTGCCGTCACTAGTGCTGTTTGTTAAAGCTGTTTAAACTATTGTGTCAAAACTGTCACCAAAACACATGTCATAGGGGTGAGGAGGTCAGGCACCTCCTCGTAAGGAGTTCATGTTCCTCAGGAGGAGGATCAGAGAGGAGCCACCTCCTGCAGGAAGACCAGTGAAGAGTACCTCAGTCATGATCCTTATTGTACGAGAATCTCACTCGTATCCTGGATCTTTAAAGCCTAGCGCACATCGACAGAGAAACTGGAGACAACTAGTTGCAAGGCGGCTTTTGGCAACTGAGAGGAGATGATGGAGATGATCAGTTGCTGAAATCAGTCGATGTGCGCGCTCTTACAACTGGAGATAAACAGTCGGTCTCCAGTTTCAGTCAGTTGCCTGTGTTCTACTTTTCGGCAACTAGTTGTCCTCAGTTTTTGAGATATGACCCGATGTGCACGCTCCATGCGCCGCTCCGACAACATGTGTGTGTTGCGAGCCCGCAACAGTTTATGTCAGAAAACACACTGTGGTTGAGGCCAGTTGCTGTCGATGTACGCGCTGTTATTCCCGAGACTGGTCTGCTACTGGGAGTTGCCCGTTTTCGTCAGATTGTCGATGTGTGCGGGGCAGCAACTCATATGCGACGGATATAATCAGTGGCCAGTCCGATGTACGTTAGGCATTAAAGGAGACAGATGCTCAAATGTCTACATACTCCACGATGTCTCTGTTCCTCCTCACTGACCTGCAGCTGTGTTTAGTTCTGCCCACTCGGCCTCAGAGACTCCCTCCTCCTCCTCCTCCTCTGTCCAAACTCTCAGTTTAAACCTTAGATTTTGTTTGTTTTCAGTGCGATGTCGGGACGACGGGACAGAAGTCCATCTCCAGAATCATCGACTATCTGGAACACTGCTGAGACCCCACTAAGACTCTCTCTGGTCTCTCTCTGGTCTCTCTCTGGTCTCTCTCTGGTCTCTCTCTGGTCTCTCTCTTTGGCCTCTCTCTCTGGTCTCTCTCTTTGGTCTCTCTCTTTGGTCTCTCTCTCTGGTCTCTCTCTCTCTCTGGTCTCTCTCTGGTCTCTCTCTTTGGTCTCTCTCTTTGGTCTCTCTCTTTAGTCTCTCTCTTTGGTCTCTCTCTTTGGTCTCTCTCTTTGGTCTCTCTCTTTGGTCTCTCTCTTTGGTCTCTCTCTTTGGTCTCTCTCTCTGTTCTCTCTCTGGTCTCTCTCCACAAAGCACTTTGAGGCTCTGTCTCTTTAGATTTTCATGTGTTTTAAAAAGCAAAAATCTGCTAAATTAAAAACTAACCTAAAAAAGATACTTTTAAAAAACTTGTATTTATTTTATTTTGAAATATTTGAATCGGAAGATTTTTTATTTGCACAAATTTAAAAACTTTTCTTGGATTTAAAGAAAATTAAATGGTTTTTTTTAACAATTTTATTTTTTATGATTTTTATTTTGAACAAATTTGTGATACGTTTTTTTTGGCAGATTTTGTTTTTTGATTGAATTCAGGTCAGCCGAGTTTCATACACTCACCCCTCTCCTCTCTCTCCTCTCTTCTCTCTCTCCCTCTCCCCCTGGTGCCTCCACAGCTTTACTCCTGTACATAGTTTGTTCATAAATGTTCGGTATGTGTCACATATTTAGACTTAAGCTTTTCGTTTTTTCAATGTTTTTGCTTTTTTTCATTTTGTAAAAAGTTGTTGTGTCCGAAACAGAAGAGTTCGGTTTGTAAATAATTTTAAAATAATAAAAAGTTGCTACTTTCAGAATCTGTGTTTATTCAGTGAGAATTAAATAGCTGTAGACCCAGGACTGAGGCTGTAGACCAGGACTGAGGCTGTAGACCCAGAACTGAGGCTGTAGATCCAACAATTGTGCAACATAAACAAATAGGAACAGGAGGAAGACAAAAAAGCCTTATAAACCCTGTCCCTCGTTTTGCTGCAAAGACATTTGAACATTTTCACCCCCAACATCACCTGTCACCAAATCACCAACGTTCTATTCAATAACAACAAACTTACTGCACACTTCAATATTTTCGTTTCGTTCATATTCAGTCATAATTTTGTCCTTATAATTTTTTTTTTAAATAGAAGATATTAGAAGACGGACACTTCTGTTTCATCAAGGATCTTGCAAATGCAGTTTTTAAATTATATTTTCTTCTCTGGGTCGAGTGTGATATACTATGGAGGACCGTGGCTGCCAAAACAATAAATATATACAGAAATAAATAAATTTTAAAAAGATAAAATTTGCAAAAGAAATGCATGCAATTATGAGAATAAGTGCATTTATGTCTGTATTTATTTATTTATATATTTATTTATTTTTGTATTTATTCATACATTTATTTTTGCATTTATACATTTATTTCTCTATTTTTGTATTTATTTTTGTATTTATTTATTTCTCTATTTATTTATTTTTGCATTTATTTATTTATTTATTTATTTCTCTATTTCCGTATTTCTCTTAATGTATGCAAATCACACCGCACCGAGCCATATTCATGGTACAAACGGTGGCGCGAGTGTGGAAGGGAGTGTGGGGTGGGGGAGTGTGGGGTACAGAGTCCGGTCGTTTTCCACACTCAGAAACGTGTTTTCGTTGCTGCGGCGCAGTATTCTGCACAGACCCAGGCCCAGCTCATTCAGCTGCTTTTGAAAAGGACCTCACTCATAGGTTCAAGTCTGAGTGGAAGGACTCACTCCCCTCCCTCCACACTCCCCTCCACACTCGCGCCACCGTTTGTACCATGAATATGGCTTGGTGCTGTGCCGCGTCCACTTTTCAGTCTCTCTCAGCCTTCACTGCAGCGACCACTGCTCCTGACGTAAGCCTTAGTGGCATCAGGATGGGTCAAATGCAGAGGACAAATTTCCCTACGGGGACAACAAAGTGCACATTTACATTTACATTATTTATTATTATTTATTTTTCCTTTGCTCCACTTGCTTGCTCCGTATCAAAAGCGGACCAAACTTTTTTTCTTTTGCTCCGGTTCGTATTCAGACTGTCCTTTTTGCAAGTGAACTTTTTTATATAAACATATTGACACGTGTGACAATCGGCGCTCCTATTGGACAGCGAGAGCTCACGGAGGATAGACGCGGAACCGGCGGAAAACATTGAGGGCTCCTATGTGCAGCACGTCTGCTCTGCCTATGTTTGCTCTTTTTAGAGCAAAAGCACCTTCAACATCAACAGAAGCTCATATGCTGCCAAACACGTTGTTTTAAATATTGGAGCAGCGTCAGAGAATGCGTGAGGAGAAAGCCGAAGGAGACTGTCTGTGCGCTCCGTGCCCTGTCCCACACATGTGTGTGGACAGACAGTCTCCTGATAATAACGGCCCTGTTCAGCATTGTGGATAAACCATGGATCTATAATAACCACGGGACAAACAGACGCTGAGGATCAGGTAGGAACCAAAGAACTAGTGATGGCAATATGAAGCCCCATGAAGCCTTGAGGGATCGCAGCCTATTACTCGGCCCATGAGTCGAAGGCTCAAGGTGAATCATGCTCCATTACGCCATCATGTGGACAAAGAAATACATAACACTCTTAAGTGCTTACAATGAATGGTGAGATCTAATGTTAAAATGTATATTTACAATCTATGGTCTAACGTGTTGTGTTTGAAATGATGCTTCATGAACTATGAACTATTTGAGTCTTTCAGTCAATTGTGTTGATACAACAAACACATCCAAAGTAATACAGTTCTACAGAAAGTGATTAATGGAGGAAAAACTACCAAGAGGTGGATTAATTAAACACAACAAACCATTTGTTCCCAATAAATAAATACATTTACTTTGCAACACAAAATTTATTATGGGTAGACCAGGATTCGAACGCTATATCTTCTACTTCGGAGTCCGTCATATACCGACTGCGCCACACAGCTGTTGTGAAATGTATTATCCAGCGTATTATTACTAATAACTTGAAGCCTTGATATATGAGGTTTTACTAAAGTGAAACGTTTTTAATTGTATTTCATATGAAGTTGTTTCTCTATACTTAGTACAGGACTGCTCCACATCACGCACACACACGTACGCACACACACGTACGCACACAGAGGCAGACGGGGACAGCCAATACAGTCTATGGTACAGCCGCGGATCACAAAGCACCTGTCAAAGCAATGCACTCTCCGAACTATATGAAGCACTATATGAACCGTCACGTGATGCGGCCGCTACGCGAGGCTTCGAACGTCACCACAAACGTCACCAACACACGCCTCGAACCACGCTTCACAAGAAACGCCCCCAGATTACTCGGTCCACGCTTCGAAGACTCGGTCCGCTCAGCACATCACTACAAAGAACACAATTCACTACATGATGCGGAATATTGCTCTTTGAGACGTGAGTCAAACAGTGTCAGGCTTTTAATAATGCAAATGGTCTGAAGATGCTGCCATTGACATCCCTGTAAACTGTGAACAGTTGTAACTCCATAAGCCTGTTGCATAGTGTCTCCTCACTGCTCCAGGTCTGCACACGGCTCATTGTTGTTGTGTAGCGTTAGCAGCATAGTTAGCATCATAGGGGTGCGTACCGATGTTCCCCGGGTCCGATGTTCCCCCACTTCTATAGGCGGGGGAACATCGGACCCGGGGAACATCGGTACTTCGCGTATTAAAAAGTCCCGATGTTCCCCCGCCAACAGAAGTGGGGGAACATCGGGACTTCAACAACGAGACTAGTCCCGCTGATTGATATGGTGGTTCAATCAGTGACTGATAAATGCTCACCATGCCTCACTGTGGTGAGGCATGGTGCCGCCTCACACGGGCGGCACGGTGGCTGAGTGGATAGCACTCTCGCCTCTCAGCAAGAAGGTCCTGGGTTCGAATCCCGGTCGGACCAGGGCCTTTCTGAGTGGAGTTTGCATGTTCTCCCCGTATCTGCGTAGGTTTCCTCCGGGTACTCCGGTTTCCCCTACCACTAAAAATATGTCCAATAGTTCTGGCATATGCCTCCTGTACTGGCGACCCCGCTCCCATCTCTGTGTGGAGTGAGAGACAAATGCCCAAAATTAACAATTGTAAACCGCTTTGAGACTCAGATCTGCAGTGAAAAGGCGGTATATAAATAAAAACTTACTTACTTACTTACTTACTTACTGTCAAACCCTCACTACTAGTGCCTTCATCTGGCCATGATGCTTCTCTTCCTGAAACTGAAATAAAGTAGCTTTAATGGGTTGCAAACAGATACTATATTCCATCATTACAGTGTATAGCTATTACGTATATGCCTGCATGCCTTTATGTGATATGTGTATATGGCTATTCATATAAAATATATAGTATATCTCATCTTATTTGTATGGACCATGAGTAGGTAAGTTACTTATTTGTTATTGTACAAATATACAACAAAATACTTTTTATGGTTCATTATTATCCACCAATTTAGACTTTGTGGCAAAATTCAAATCGATGCAATCTTTTTTGAAATAAGCCTATTCCATTTTCAACTAAACACCTGTGCCTAGCCTTACTCCGCCCACATGAACATTTGACATTTTTCTGTAAAAATGGCACCAGTGGAGAAGAAGGGGGGCTTACAGTTGGGCATGGTCTGGGCTGTGATTGTCAGTTGTCATTTCTGGCTTAAAAGCAATAGTTTACACACCAGAAAGTCTCATTTCACCCTTGTTTACACACTAAGATAATTGTAGAGCTAGAAACCTTGACCATTAGACTTATTTACATTATTTTGACCACTAGATTTCACCAAAAAACTCCAAATCGGTGCGGGGCGTGTGATTAGTATGGTTATAACCAGATGATCCAATGCAGAGGCCAGTGAGTGACCCGTGACTTATGACTGCAAGACTCACGGACGGACAGATTATGACAATAGTGGGAATATAGGGTACAGGGTTGTACATGAAAATAACTCTTTGCTGCCTGCCTTTGAAGGAGAAGTGGACAGCAGTGTGTGTGAGCTCCCTTTACAGCTGCGCGTCTGTGTGTCACTCTGGATAACGTTTTTTTTTTCCACGTACACAGCACACTGTTAGCTCTCCGTGAGTTTAGAATACAGAAACAAATGTCTCTGGGTTTTCTCCTGATGTGGCCTTAACACGTCCATGGGCGTCGGACTGGGGGGGTAAAGGGTACCGAGTACCCAGGGCCCAAGGCGGGGAGGGGCCCTCTAAAGTGTGTCTTTATATTTATATGTATTAGGCATTGTGGTATATTCATATTATTACAATTTGAATGAAAGGGGCCCTGTATAAAAATAACCAACGTTTTAACCTCAGTTTTCCTCTAAAAACAAATTTGTATGCTATATCAGGGCCCTGCCACCCCCTTACAAAAGATCAAATGGTACGACCCACATGTGCGCTTGTTGCTGTGTTGCTGCCGCTGCAGCGAGTTGATTTGTTTGAGCAGCGGCAGAAGCGGGAAAAATAGAAATGTCTTTTCCAAAGAAAGGAAAATTAGGATTTCAGAAAAGAAAAGAAAAACAGGACAGGGAGAAAAAGTGTAATGAGGGCAAGCAATTGCTTACTCAGTTCTTCCACACGAGAGGTGAGTATATAGAGACGTGTTAAGGCCACATCAGGAGAAAACCCAGAGACATTTGTTTCTGTATTCTAAACTCACGGAGAGCTAACAGTGTGCTGTGTACGTGGTAAAAAAAAAAACGTTATCCAGAGTGACACACAGACGCGCAGCTGTAAAGGGAGCTCACACACACTGCTGTCCACTTCTCCTTCAAAGGCAGGCAGCAAAGAGTTATTTTCATGTACAACCCTGTACCCTATATTCCCACTATTGTCATAATCTGTCCGTCCGTGAGTCTTGCAGTCATAAGTCACGGGTCACTCACTGGCCTCTGCATTGGATCATCTGGTTATAACCATACAAATCACACGCCCCGCACCGATTTGGAGTTTTTTGGTGAAATCTAGTGGTCAAAATAATGTAAATAAGTCTAATGGTCAAGGTTTCTAGCTCTACAATTATCTTAGTGTGTAAACAAGGGTGAAATGAGACTTTCTGGTGTGTAAACTATTGCTTTTAAGCCAGAAATGACAACTGACAATCACAGCCCAGACCATGCCCAACTGTAAGCCCCCCTTCTTCTCCACTGGTGCCATTTTTACAGAAAAATGTCAAATGTTCATGTGGGCGGAGTAAGGCTAGGCACAGGTGTTTAGTTGAAAATGGAATAGGCTTATTTCAAAAAAGATTGCATCGATTTGAATTTTGCCACAAAGTCTAAATTGGTGGATAATAATGAACCATAAAAAGTATTTTGTTGTATATTTGTACAATAACAAATAAGTAACTTACCTACTCATGGTCCATACAAATAAGATGAGATATACTATATATTTTATATGAATAGCCATATACACATATCACATAAAGGCATGCAGGCATATACGTAATAGCTATACACTGTAATGATGGAATATAGTATCTGTTTGCAACCCATTAAAGCTACTTTATTTCAGTTTCAGGAAGAGAAGCATCATGGCCAGATGAAGGCACTAGTAGTGAGGGTTTGACAGTGAGGCATGGTGAGCATTTATCAGTCACTGATTGAACCACCATATCAATCCCCACCATATGGTTTGGTGCTACCCCCCTGCCCGTGCGAGCACAGTTCGAGGACCCTGCCTGAGAAGGCAGGGTCAGACCGCCTATGTTAGATTAGATTAGATTAGATTAACCAATGAGTTTAAAGCAGAGGCATCCCGGCCCCTCCCCATGACTTGCATACATTAAGAGAAATACGGAAATAAATAGGGAAATAAATAAATAAATAAATACATACAGAAATAAATAAATAAATACAGAAATAAATAAATAAATACAGAAATAAATAAATAAATGCAAAAATAAATAAATAGAGAAATAAATAAATAAATGCAAAAATAAATACATAGAGAAATAAATAAATAAATGCAAAAATAAATGAATAAATAGAAAATTAAATAAATAAATGCAAAAATAAATAAATAAATACAAAAATAAATACAGAAATAGGGAAATAAATGTATGAATGAAGAAATAAATGTATGAATAAATACAAAAATAAATAAATAAATAAATACAGAAATAAATGCACTTATTCTCATAATTGCATGCATTTCTTTGCAAATTTTATCTTTTTTTAAATGTATTTATTTATTTCTGTATATATATATAATATATATATTATGGAGGACCGTGGCTGCCAAAACAATAAATATATACAGAAATAAATAAATACATTTAAAAAAAGATAAAATTTGCAATCTTTTTTAAAAGATTTTGCAATTCTGTAAACCCGAATTAGTTATCATTACTAAAGCCGTTTAGGGTAACCGATTGCAACAAAGAGAAGTTAGTGCGCGGACGTAGCGCTCCTAACTTCTCTGCGCACTAACTTCTCTCTGGAGACTTCTCTCTCGCTGCTACTGTGTGTATTACAAGTCACGCTGCTCCTATTGACGGAAGTGAGCGAGAGAGAAGTCTCCGGAGAGAAGTTAGTGCGCGGACGTAGCGCTCCTCAGATTACTACGCCTCACAATATAGTACCCGTTTTATCCGCTGAGAAAATCGACTGTTACATTTCTGTGTTACTATACTTTGCAGTGTAACACGTCACGTAACTATATACATTTAATAGGGAACACTTGGAAGAGTTTGGTAGCTTCTAGCGGGAGCTACCTTTTGGTGCTACAAAATATACAGAGGAGGCTGCGGTTGTGCTCCCGTTTTTGCTCCGTTTGCATGACAGAGCTCACGGACTAGACCAGACAGGTACGTATTAACTAGTCTAAGGTAAGGTAAGAACATATGTCAGTATGTAAAAACGGTGAACTATTCCTTTAATCTAGGCTACAATCATATGAACCTTTTGCATTGTCAACATTCACTCATGTGTGAACACAAGTGAATTTGGAAGGTATCTAATAAAACTGTACATACACTGTAATGAACTGTATCTACTTTTGAAGTAAAGGTTTGTGAAATGGTCCCTTTACTATTTGATATTAGCACTGGCTAGAAATAATCTCTATTTTTGAAAGCATCTATGGTTGATGCATTTATCTATTTCTATTTCTCTATTGTGACTCCAAAGCTCGGCTGCAGCTTGAGCTAAGGCATATTTCTAGTTTGTGACTTCTATCACTTTTAATATCTACTAAAACGCTACAATACTCATACTTTATCATTTTAAAACATTTTAACAGTTGCTCAGTCTCCCAGACTAAAAAGTCAAAGTTTTTTGTCTGTCAAATGTCTGAATACTTAACATGTATATTGCATTTGGTCACAGTTGTGGTTCTGGTTGTAGCAATAGCATCGGCAATAGACGTTTTTCATTCGCTGGTTCTTGTTCTGCAAATGGCTGTGTCCAATAGATCATCAGATGTCCAGAAGCTAGGGACAAACAAAACAAAAGAAAGAATTGTGAGATTTCATAACACTTTGAAGCAACTTTTGTTAAAGTTAAACTCATCATTCTATCAATGTGCAGAAGCCAGTACTTTTCCCTTGTTTTGTCTATCTGAAGGCCAAGCTACATGGCACCGTGGAAGCTGCTGATTGGAGGTCTCCATGCCTCCGCTCTGTATAATACACTTGCATTCTCTTGTATCTGTGATTGTGTGCTTTGTTCGTGCTGTCTCTACCATCGACAATAAAACATGTCTTCTGTAAGTAAGTAAGCTTTATTTATATACCGCCTTTCACAGACCAGAGTCACAAAGCGGTTTACAATTGTTATTTTTTTTTTTTTTTTTCTTCTGTCTGAATTTAAGACGCGATCCCAGACTATGTCATCTTCTTCAGAATCATGAGTATCTCTCTCATTTAGCACTCATCAATGGTATGATTTCAATAATATAAACATCACTCCCCAGTTTTCTCTCTCGGGTCCTCAGATCCTCAGGTCCTCAGGTCCTCAGGGTCCCCTGAGGGTGAGTCTCAGTCGTCATCAGGTCAGGTCATATTTCGAGAGATGTCATCTTGGACATCAGTAGGGTCCAAGCCAGGGTTTTGGTCTTTCCAGATGCACATCAGGATCTCCAGATACAGTCTTTTCACTTGAAGCGCACATCAGGTCATTCGCGATGCACTTCTGGTCAATGGTGCAGTGTCTCAGTTCCTGTACACAGCTTGTTATGCAATAGTTACTCTCTATGGTTAAGTCACTCTGATTCTACTTTAAAGACAATTTCTATTCATGCTGTCGCAATGATTCAGTTTACTTCTCTAATTTGTGTTTTTATCAGATGTAATCAATGGAATTACTTCACACAGTACAAAATCTACAAATCAAAACAAAAAATGTCAAGACAGGCCAATTAAGTCCATGACAATATGAATTCAAATGAACATTTCTGGTCTCAAAAAATACAGATTCAAGTGATAGACAATTACAAATATTTGTTTATATTGGAGTAAACTTTTCAAATGCTTTTTTCTCATGTTCTGCTTTTTCATGTATCTATATGTGAATGTGTGTGTGAGTGTATGAATGTATGTGTGTGTGTGTGTGTGGTGTGAATTTTGGGGTTGTGTCTCCAGACTCCTCGAACCACCTGCAGGTGTTAAAGGTCACACTGTGGTGATGCAAACCACGTGGACACACTTTCAACTGCCTCTAGGTCTCTACCTGAGGCCTCCACCCATCACTGCCTCCAGAAACCTCCACTTTCATGGCCCCGGTCTCACTCCCACTTACTTCTGTAGTGGGGGGAGGGGCGTAGAAGTGGCATTGTTGCCCTTTTGCTCTTAGCTCTGTGGCCTGTGGCTGGGTGGTTGCTGGGCTCCTGTGGTCTGAGCTCTCAGTCCACTCCCGCAGTCCAGTGGCCCCTGTACAGTGTGTGCCCTTGGTCCTGGAACACAACCTTATAGTCAAAATCAAAACAACAGATATCAGTTTGTGAATGAGATGTTTTTCTCTGAAGAAGATGACATGTCTGGGATCGTGTCATTAATTCAGACAGAAGACATGTTTTATTGTCGATGGTAGAGACAGCACGAACACGAACACAGATACAATAGAATGCAAGTGTATTATACAGAGCGGAGGCATGGAGACCTCCAATCAGCAGCTTCCACGGTGCCATGTAGCGTGGCCTTCAGATAGACAAAACAAGGGAAAAGTACAGGCTTCTGCACATTGATAGAATGATGAGTTTAACTTTAACAAAAGTTGCTTCAAAGTGTTATGAAATCTCACATCTCTCTAAAGTCTAAACAATTTTGGAGCGCTCTTGGCTTTCCCACATGCGCTATATAAATAAGATTACTTATTATCTTACTAATGATGACATTTGAAGACCAGAAACTAAAGAAGTTATAAAAACAACAATTACACACAAAACAAACAACCTTTTAAACTTTGAAAAATGTGTACTTTTGTACTGTGTGTTTAATTACCTTGAACATTTATCTCAGCATATATTCTACTAATTTAAAATAATTGCAGCATTTTCAAATTAAGTCAATATGAATTGGAGCACATTTTAGAGCCAGTCTCCTCTGCTGTGTGCATCAGCAGGAGCAACAAGGTCAGGCGTGTAGTCAAAACATAAGTCACCGCTTGAATGTGAATTGGGTAGTTTAACTTAATAATATAATACTTTTACAGCTAATCCTAATTCCCTCTTTCTTTTTAGACGAAGTCTATAATCAATAATCACTTTTAACACAGATTCTAATTTAAATGTTTGAAAAACGGCTTTTGTAACTAAAATAAAAACATAAAAACAAACACAACTCACAAAAAGTTAAGAAATAAGCAGCAGATTTAAAAGAATGGAATCTAGAAATATGTTAGGTCTAAAAAGAATTGCACAGCTTTAGCACTAATCTTTGGGTTTCAAAAACATACTAATTCAAAACTTCTATTCCCTAATGGTGTTTAAAAACGTTTAACTGTGTCATAACACAATGTTCAATAGCAAATTTCGCAAATTTAACGGAATAACAACTATGAAAAGCCAAAATCCTAAAAGCAGGTTTGTTCTGATTCAGAGCCAGAGCAGCAAAGGAGGGGGCCGTTTCCCTGACAACGGCAGCAAGATAGAGCGGCGCACACACACACAGGCAGAAAGTAGTGTTTTAGCAAAAATGCTAAAACAGAAAGAAGAAGAACTTTTAAGATTACTTTTTAAAGCGAATATAACTGTCATGGTTTAGATTCATTTCCTGTTTTATTTTGTAGTTTGTTATATCCCTGTGTCTGCTTTGGTTGCTCTTCCTGTGTGATTACCTGCCCTGCCCTCCAGCCCTGCCCTCATGTGTCTCACCTGTGTCTCGTTAGTCTTGTATTTAGCCCTGTGTGTTCCTTCACTCCCTGTTCCATCATTGTCATTCCTCGTCTGTTTTAGTTCGGTCCTCGTTCCCTGTGTTTTTGGAAGTTTTGGTGTTTGCTTTTTATTAAATCCATTATTTGTTGCAGTTTTGCATTTTGGGTCTCATTTAATTTCATACACGTGACAATAACTGATGTCGCAGTTTATACTCTTGTCATCCAAGTCTAGAAAGGGCCACTTTCCACACTTGTAACAAAAGGCACTCTTTAGTGTTTAACGTTTCCCTTTTTATAATTACTTTTAATTTTACACCATGGTTTCACTAACTATTTTCTATTCTCTATTTTCTGCCCCGGCTACTCC